TTTTGCTATTTATAAAATTTGATTTTGCGAATTTTATTTTTTTTTTTGTGATAACCCCTATAGGTCAAAATAAAAATGTTTGTGGACTGCTAAAACAGGTAAAGAAACTTGCTATACGTATGCTTCAAGTTATTATTATTTTTTTTTTTTGTAACACCAACAAGTTACAATAACCACAAAAATCTCATTAAATCTTTCCATTTGTATTGCATAAATAATGTAAATGCATTTTCTGTGTTTTAGAAACAGCATATCTATTAATTTGAATAAGTATAGTCTAATACTATTAATAACAATACTTTACTCTCAAATTTTTGCGAAAGTGGGGTGAACCGATTTGATAAAAAAAAAAATTACTTCATCATTTTTATTTCCTTATCGTAATCAAAGGAAGTATTGTAATCGAGTCCGTCGGCCGACTCTCTACTTTTAAATTCTCTCGACTTTTCGTGACCCCTAGTGTACGAAACAATAAGTCTCCCGTTTCCGTCTGTCTGTCTGCCGTCACGGATTTTTATTAGACAGATCATCTCCGAAAGTACTGGGCTGATTGTTGTCAAATTTTGTATGTATACTAGGGAATTTCATGTAGATGGTAAAACAGTAACCAAAATTTGTCTAATCATCCCCACCAATAATGTGATGATCTCACTTCAAAATTGTACTTTGTAAATGGGTTTTAAAGTGTATAACTGTATAAAATAACATAGTCCTACACACGTAGTTCATGACTTCGTGATGAGTTTTTACCCGAAACGTCCAGATTTTTGGAAAAAGAATCAAAATTATAAAACAACATTTTGCAATTTAATTTTGAATCTGCAAAACCGAATATTTTGAAATCTTGCAGATGTTTTAAAGTTATGATAAGCATAATAATTTTTTAATGAAAATATAACTATTTACTTATCCCCTCCAAAAAATTAATGACATCAGCTCCAAATTTTGCCGAATAAATCCTATCTAAAATGTACAAAATATGATGAGTCGGTAGTTGTGAATTATCATTCCATTCATATTTTTTGGATTTGCTTATACAGGGTGACTCAAAAAAATTAATTAATAACTCAATATATTTTATTGATTAAATCAAGAATTGCAAAATTGAATACTTTGAAATCTTGCAGACGTTTTAAAGTTACTGTAACCATGGTAAATTGTTAATCAAAATATATCTGTTTATCCTACCCAAAAAATTGATGACGTTATCTCAAAATTTTGCCTAATAAATTCTACCCAAAATATGCAAAATATGGTGAGTTTTTACTTGTGATTTACAAGTGGCTCAAAAAAAAAATGAATGAGTTTATTTTATTGATTAAACCAGCGACGGCTCATTCCATTTTCCCACAAAATTTTGGGAATACAATACTGTTATATTTAGTATTATTACACTGCACCAATCTAAGTTGATATACGTGTTCTTGCAAAAATGTTGATGAAGTCATCACAAAATTGTGTAAATAAATAATTCAACTCGAAAATGCTGGATATTTTTCATTGTACTTTAGGAACGAGGAAAGTTCTGTGGAAACAACTTTCGACCAATTTTTTAATCTGTCTAAAACAATTCTAAAAAAAACATTATCGAAGATTATTTCCACAGAACTTGCTTAGCCCAGAAAGTGCACCACATCAAATTCAGGTCTTTCGAAAAACTAAAAGATCTGATTTTGCAAATTATATTTTTTTATGACAACCATTATAAGCTAAAATAACAATATGGGTGTAATGTTCAAGTAAAAGTAAAGAAACGTGCTACGCGTTTGTTTCTCGTGAGTTTTTTAATACAAAATTTTGTGATGACTGTAATTGTTGTCGTCGAATTACTAACGGAAACGGTTTTAGTACAGGTTTATTTACAATACCAACTACAAAAATGATAACAAGGTCCAAGGTTGTATGTGTATGTCCACGTGGAGGTCTTGAAGAGGAGAGGACGTCTGCACACGGTGAGTGGTCGGAGAAGAAGAGAGTCTGTTTTACGTTTCCACCGTGGCGTTTCCTCTTTAGGCTTGCGCGGTGTAACTGCCAATCCGGTGGCTGCATTATGTATGTATAACTGGTTGCCTACTTCCAGGCGGCCACAGTAGTCCCCTCCCAGTGACTACGTTTCGTAGTCGCGGAATTTCACTGGTGGCCTGGCTGTTCTTCCTGACCTTGTAGTGGTGCTCGTCGACGCAGGTGTTGTCGGGACCTGTTGCGTTGGGGGCTGTACATGAGGCGGAGTGCAGGACTCTGCCGATATGAAAGCCGGTTTTACTCGGTCCAGGCTCACTGTGGTTTCTCTTCCATTCTTGCTTATCACTATCACCTTGTCTGTACGTCGTAATACGTGGTGTGGTCCGGTGTATGGTGGTTGTAGCGGCTTCCTGACTGAGTCATCTCTGAGGAAGATGTGGGAACAGTCAGACAGCTCTGGGTGGACAAAAGTCTTGTGGTGGCCATGGTGGGTTGCTGGCCTTGGTCGGACGTTGCGCATGTGGAGCCTCAACTTGTCGACGAAATTGCTGGGGTCGACTTCTGGCTCGTCGTTTGCGAAGAAAAATTCCCCCGGGATTCGTAGTTGCGTGCCGTAAGTCAGCTCGGCTGGGGAACACTGAAGGTCGTCCTTGATTGTTGTCCTTAAACCTAACAGCACCGTAGGTAGGATGTCGTACCAGTCACTGGTCTCGTGGCACATGATGGCGGCTTTGATCGTTCTGTGCCACCTCTCGATCATCCCGTTGCACTGTGGTCGGTATGGCGTGGTTCGGCAACGTTTAGTGCCCAAAAGGTCTGTGAGGGCGGACATCAGTGTGGCCTCGAACTGCCGGCCTTGGTCAGTTGTAATACGGTGGGGGCAACCGAACCGCGCAACCCAGGTTGCGTAAAAGGTTTTCGCCACCGTCTCCGCCGTCATGTCCGTCATGGGAATTACTTCTGGCCATCGGGTGAACCTGTCTGTCATCGTGAGGCAGTACCGGTGTCCCTGTGATGGTGGTAATGGCCCAACGATGTCCATGTGTACATGTTCGAATCGGCATTCTGTAAGTTCAAAATGTTTTAGGGGTGTTCTAGTGTGCCTACTCACCTTTGACCGCTGGCAAGGAAGGCATTCGCGCGCCCATTTTTTTATGTTGCGTTCCATGTAAGGCCAAACGAAACTTTTATGTACCGCCTTGAATGTGGCTTTGCCGCCTGGGTGTGATTTGGAATGTACCATGTCAAATACCCTTTTTCGTAAGTGGAGGGGTATGTAGGGGCGAATTCTCCCCGTGGCTGTGTCGCACCAGATCGCCGTATCCGAATTCATGGGTGTGAGATTCTGGAGTTTCAAACTGGTACTGGAATTCAGCAGGTTTCTCAACTCCAGGTCTTGTTCTTGGGCGGAGGCGAGTTCGTCCGGGTCGATCACTGCTGCCGTGTGAACTTCGCTGATTCGGGATAATGTGTCCGCCACCATGTTGTTTTCGCCCGGTATGTGTTCTATCTCCGTAGTGAACTGACTGATGAAGTCGAGTTGGCGTAGCTGCCTCGGGGAAGCTTTCTCTGAGTTCTGTTTGAAGACGTAAATCAAAGGCTTGTGGTCCGTTCTAACCGTGAAGACTCTCGCTTCTACCATGTAGCGAAAGAATTTGATGGCTTCGTATATCGCGAGCAGTTCGCGGTCGTACGTGCTGTACCTTCGTTGGGTGTTGGTCAACTTTTTTGAGAAAAATCCCAGGGGTTGCCAGTCGCCTTTAACCTCCTGCTCCAACACAGCCCCCATGGCTGTATCTGAAGCATCGGTGGTCAATCTTAATGAGGCGTTCTCGGAAGGGTGTGCTAGCAGCGCAGCATTGGACAACTCGCTCTTGCACTGGCTGAATGCTTCTTCCGCCTCGTTGGTCCAGCTGATTGGCGTCTTGTCATTTTTTTTCGAATTTCGCAGATACACATGTAGAGGTGCTTGGATAGATGCGGCATTTTTGACGAAGCGACGATAAAAGTTGATCATGCCGAGAAACTTTCGTAAGTCCTTCACAGTTTGCGGCTTAGGAAAATCACTTATCGCCGTCACTTTCGCGGTTGCTGGACGGGTCCCGTGAGTCGAAATGCTATGTCCTAGGTACTCCACTTCGCTTGCCCCGAACACGCACTTTGCTGCATTAACCACGATTTGATGTTGCTTCAGTCTTTCAAACAGCGTTTTTAAATGTCGCACGTGCTCCTCTGGGTTCGCGGAAAAAACTAAAATATCGTCTATATATGCGAAACAAAAGTCTAAATCGTTGAGCACATTATTGAGGTGTCTTTGAAAAGTTTGCGCGGCATTGCGTAGGCCAAAAGTCATCACTGTGAACTCAAATAAACCGAATGGCGTACACACTGCAGTTTTTGGGATGTCCTCGTCGGCCACTCGAATTTGGTGGTAAGCACGTACCAAATCTATCGTGGAGAACACCGTTTTTCCCTCTAGTCTGGCCGAGAAGTCCTGGATGTGTGGTATGGGGTATCTGTCTGGGATTGTTACCCCGTTCAGCCTCCGATAATCCCCACAAGGACGCCATTCCCCAGGATTCTTCTTCTGTACGAGGTGCAGTGGGCTGGCCCATGGACTGCTGGAGGGGCGACACCACCCTTGCTCCAACATGTACTGGATCTCAGCTTTGGCGGCCTTGAGTTTCTCCGGTGGTAGTCTGCGTGGTGTTTCAGCTACAGGAGGGCCTGTTGTGTATATGTGATGCACTACGGAGCTGGATATTTGACTTCCCGGACGTGGTGCTTTCGTCAATTCCGGGTATTCCGCCAGCAGGTTGTGGTAGCTGGAGGTTTTTGCCACCGTCGTAATACGTGGTACGGAGCAGGCCAATACGAAACCAGGGGAAGAGAGATGTGTCAAGGGGTCTACCAGCTTCCGGTTTCTCAGGTCCGGTAGGAGGTGGTAGTACTCGAGAAAATCGGCCCCTATTATTGGTTTCTCGACGTCCGCGAGGATGAAAACCCATTTAAAAGTTCTGCGTAGCTTCAAGTCAACCACCATGAATTTCTGGCCGAACGTGCGGATGGGTGTGTTGTTCGCTGCAAATAGGGCGGGTGTATCTTGTGTCTGTGACTGAGCCTTACCTGAAAACGTTTTCGGCAGGACTGAGACCTCTGCTCCGGTATCGACTAGATACCTGATACCGGATTTGGGATCCGTGACGAAGAGACGATGATGACGCGCGTCGTCGTGTACCGCCTCGATACCCGACGGCGCCTCTAGTTTTCCGGCTGTACAAACGTGCAGGGTTTGAAACACTTTCGGGCGTTTACACCGAACTTGGCGTGGTAATGACAAACGCCATTTTGATCCGTGCGTTGCCTGCTGTGTGTCCTTGACCGATTTCGGCTGTCATTTTGCCGTGCTTGTGGACTGCGCCCTCTCGTGTTGGTTAGATGAGTTACGGCTACCGATAAGGCCGCCATCTGTTTCTGGAGGTCTGCAATTACCGTAATGAGGTTGGTTTCCTGCGTTGGTACGATGGTGTTCTGCCGCGTCGTGTCGCTGGTGGCGCCTATCGCGTTGATACTGGAAGCCATAGCGTTGCTTCTGTGTATTTCCGCCAATTTGTCCGCGATTTCTGCCATCTTTTCCAGCGGTACTCCCTCGCTCGCAGACAGCACGAGTTGGACATGTGGTGGAAGTCGCTGTAGCCAGAGCGTTTTTATGACTTCGCTATTCATCTGTTGCCCCGCGAGTGCCTTCATTTCGCGGAATAACTGGGATGGTTGTCGGTCCCCTAGCTCCATCTCGTTTATCAGCTTTCGTAGCTGCTTCTCCTGTGAGTCGGTGTAGGCGGCTATCAGTTTCTTCTTAATTGTATCGTACCTCTCTTTGTCTGGTGGGTTCGCTACGATGTCTGTGACTGGCTGGAGTGTGCTCTAGCTTCCGGATGGCTTCTTGCTGTTTTTCGAGTTGCTGTTGCAGTTCTTCGGCAGTCGGCATGTTCGTACCCGTAGTTCTTCGATCCCGTCGGGATGTTCGTACCCGTAGTTCTTCGATCACGTCGGGGTCACCAATTGTAATTGTTGTCGTCGAATTACTAACGGAAACGGTTTTAGTACAGGTTTATTTACAATACCAACTACAAAAATGATAACAAGGTCCAAGGTTGTATGTGTATGTCCACGTGGAGGTCTTGAAGAGGAGAGGACGTCTGCACACGGTGAGTGGTCGGAGAAGAAGAGAGTCTGTTTTACGTTTCCACCGTGGCGTTTCCTCTTTAGGCTTGCGCGGTGTAACTGCCAATCCGGTGGCTGCATTATGTATGTATAACTGGTTGCCTACTTCCAGGCGGCCACATGACCAATATTTTTTTTAAGTATTTTATTCCCAAATTTTCGGGAAAATGGAGTGAGTCGTCTTGAATCTCGAATTATAATCAATAAAATAAGAAACAATTTAATCACTGCAAGACTTCTACCGTGTGTAATAACAGAGATGCGATTGAAGAATGAACTGTACTCGTAGTTTAAGACAAATAGCGATAATGCTTGTCGAGCTGTTTGTGTACGTGAGAGTGAAACAGGCAGTGGTGTCTCGTGACCTTTTGAAATGGGGGGACACAATTTAATTGATGAGTTAAAAATGAAAATATAAAACAGGCTGTTATTACCAATTAATAGACCAAATTGTGTGACGGAAATAAATACAAAAATACATTCAAGAAAAGTAAAAAAGTACTCGTCCACATACCTTTGCTTTTAAATCATTACTGAAGAGACACACAAAACAAAACAATTTATTATTTTTTTCACAACCGCATATCAACAAAAATTTACCATGCTTGTTATGTCATTGCCAGTTCAGTGTCGCACGACCGAACATGCAGCGATGGGCGAAGCGAAGCAATAACATCGTACGCTACTGAAGGAAAGTGGTGGGAGTCGCATGGCCTAAAACTGCATCTCCTCAATTATGACACAAATTTTCGGATAATTTTTTAAATATTGAAAATTACTATTTTGCTATGTCCAATGTGTTTGTAGTCGTTGTAATTTCGGGAGGGCACGTGCCCTTGTGCCCCCTGGCACCAGCCGTGGAAACAGTACTTTCGGGGATGATCTGTCCAATAAAAGTGCGTGACGGCAGACAGATATACGGAAACGGGAGACCTACTTCATCGTACTCTAGGGGTCATGAAAGGTCGAAAAACGTAAAAGGAGAGAGTCGGCAGACGGACTCGATTACAATACTTCCTTCGCTCACGCTCGGGAATTGAAATATGAATATGAACTGCAAGGATAGACTCATATATTTTGCACATTTTCCTACTTCAAGGACAATATTCATCCAAATAAACTTTGACCAATTTTTTATCACTGAATTTAATGTGCAATTGATTCAAGTGTGCTAACAATGTATTTTTTAACGCAAAGGATCTGAAAAACAAAAAAGATATATATATTATTATTAGCAATTAATGTACTAAGTTAGTGTATTAAAATTTAAATTATCCACATTTACTACAGCTTACATTTTTAAAACACTTTTAAATTTATACCAAAAAACTCCTACTATTAATCAATATTAAATAATTGTGTACATTAGATATATGGTGCACGATTGTTACTTAGTGAAAATACAAAAAGTAGACGAGTGTTAATCTGCTACAAAGCTTATATAGACAGAACTTCCGTTGCCCCTGAAGTACAGTACATACAACTATAGCCCATAGAAATACATGTTTTCTAGAGGCTATACATACAACATGCTTACCTTTTTAAAAAATATTTAAAACTTCATTTTGTTTTTTTGTTGTCATAACCCTTACAAGTTAAAATAAAGATATGTGCATATGTATATAGGCTTAAAGTAAAGGTACGGAATCATGGTATCCGTACGCTTCAAGCGAGTTTTTCCAACACAAAATTTTATGATGACGTCATGAACGTTTGTTTAGTAAGGACAAGTATGTGTGCAAAGTTTCTGGAAAATGATGTGAACCGGGGGCTGCAATGTTTTCCCCAATGCTTACAAGTAAAAATTCTACTGCAACCCTGATCCGTATGGATTAACGTGTTTCCAGGATAATGGCTGAATATTGTCAGTGGTTTTTGAATGCGTGGTGAATTAGCGATGCGGTATGGGCCTGTCTAATTTGCAGACCACAGTTTATCTTGCAGACTGGGGGTTAAAAATGCTGCAATCAAGTCGAAACTCGACATTTGCTTATTTCCCAATACGAAGATTGTTGGTACAAAATTTCAACCCCTTCGGAGAAACCCTTAAAAACCACCCCCAAAACAACCTTGCAGACTGGGGCTTAAAAATACTCCAATCAAGTCAAAATTTGATATTCGCTAGTTTTTCAATACGAGGATTATCGATACAAAATTTCAGCCTATTCGAAAAAACCCTCAAAAATCACCCCCAAAACAACCTTGCAGACTGGGGATTAAAAACTCTCCAATCAAGTCAAAACTCGACATGTGCTTATTTCTCAATACGAAGATTGTTGGCACAAAATTTCAAGCCGTTCGGAAAAACCCTTAAAAATCACCCCCAAAACAACCTTGCAGACTGGGGGTTAAAAATGCTCCAATCAAGTCAAAACTCGAGATTTGCTTATTTCTCAATACGAAGATTGTTGATACAAAATTTCAACCCGTTCGGAGAAATCGTTGAAAACTACCCCCAAAACAACCTTGCAGACTGGGGCTTAAAAATACTCCAATCAAGTCAAAATTTTATATTCGCTAGTTTATTAATATGGGGATTATCGATACGAAATCTCAGCCTATTTGAAGAAATCCTCAAAAATCACCCCCAAAACAAGCTTGTAGACTGGGGATTAAAAATGCTCCAATCAAGTCAAAACTCGACATGTGCTTATTTCTCAATACGAAGATTGTTGGCACAAAGTTTCAAGCCGTTCGGAGAAACCATTAAAAATCACCCCCAAAATAACCTTGCAGACTGGGGGTTAAAAATACTCCAATCAAGTCAAAACTCGATATTTCTTAATTTCTCAATACGAAGATTGTTGATACAAAATTTCAACCCGTTCGGAAAAATCGTTAAAAACTACCCCCACAACAAGCTTGCAGACTGGGGCTTAAAAATACTCTAATCAAGTCAAAATTTGACAATCGCTAGTTTTTCAATACGAGGATTATCGGTACAAAAATTTCAGCCTATTCGAAGAAACCCTTAAAAATCACCCCCAAAACAACCTTGCAGACTGGGGATTAAAAATGCTTCAATCAAAGCAAAACTCGACAGTCGCTTATTTCTCAATACAAAGATTGTTGATACAAAATTTCAAGCCGTTCGGAGAAACCCTTAAAAATCACCCCCAAAACAACCTTGCAGACTGGGGGTTAAAAATACTCCAATCAAGTCAGAACTCGATATTTCTTAATTTCTCAATACAAAGATTGTTGATACAAAATTTCAGCCTATTCGAAAAAACGCTCAAAAATCACCCCCAAAACAACCTTGCAGACTGGGGATTAAAAATGCTCCAATCAAGTCAAAATTTTATATTCGCCAGTTTATCAATATGGGGATTATCGGTACGAAATCTCAGCCTATTTAAAGAAACCTTCAAAAATCACCCCCAAAACAACCTCGCAGGCTGGGGATTAAAAATGCTCCAATCAAGTCAAAATTTGATATTCGCTAGTTTCTCAATATGAGGATTATCGATACGAAATCTCAGCCTATTTGAAGAAACCCTCAAGAATCACCCCCAAAACAACCTTGCAGGCTGGGGATTAAAAATGCTCCAATCAAGTCAAAATTTGATATTCGCTAGTTTCTCAATATGAGGATTGTTGGCACAAAATTTTAACCCGTTCGCAAAGACCCTTAAAAACTACCCCCAGGCAGACTTGCAGACTAAGGGTAAAAAATACTTCAATCAAGTCAAAACTCGAGATTTGCTTATTTCTCAATACGAAGATTGTTGATGCAAATTTTCAACCCGTTTGGAGAAACCGTTAAAAGCTACCCTCAAAACAACCTTGAAGACTGGGCCTTAAAAATATTATTACCAAATCCAAACTTGGTGTTTAGTTTTTATCTATACGAGAAGTGATAATGCAAAAAAACCAGTCTTTTTTAAGTAACAAGTACCCCAAAGCAATCTTTCATACGGAAGCTTAAAAATACTCCAATTGAGTCGAAAGTTACCACTTGCTGAGTTCTTTACACAAAAAATTATCATGTCAAATTTTAGTCACCTTGAAGCAACTTATAAAAATGATTGATAGTTGACATTCATTTAAAGTACAAGTACCAGAAAAATTTCAGACACATATAAAGAGACAGTACATTATGTGTAAAGTAGGTGCGCACCATAGAGGTAGAATGAGAGGAGGGAAGATTGATTGAAAAAATGCCTGGTACCGCGCTTTCTACTAGGGTCATAAATGGTTCTTCCAGGTCCTCCGAGAAACTGGTTGTTCCAGTGGCGTGCTCGAAAGCATTTGCGGGATACTAGGCATAAAACAAAAATAATTTCATAAGAAAGCATATAAAAGCAGCAGCAGCAAATTTACTTGAGTTTTTAATTGGTTAAGATTCGTTGCTACGGTCGTTGTGTTATCTCCACCTTTGCCCAAACCGAGCTAATTCCTACAATAATTAATCACCTAATGATCTTAATATGCATTGTTAATTATGAAAAATATTGTTTTGTTACCTTTTATAACTGTATTTTAATGTATATACACTGACCGGCAAAAAACCTGCTACGCTGTAAAATTTCGCAAAACCAAACTTTAGAAATTGTTAATTTAACTAGTGATCGTTATTTTATTAAAGAACCATTCACTGTTGACACATGATGTATAAATTAACAACAAAAAAGAAGACAAATAACCGCAGAATTAAATTTAATTTAACAAAATAACAGAAACAGAGCGACAATTTGGGAGACGTCTGTAAGCGTTAACGGCATTATTTTCGCGTGAAAACGTTTATTAACTGCCAAACTTATAATCAAATGATGAAAAACACTGTTTACAACAACAGCCTCCTTTATTATTTTAATTAAGAAAATATCCTAGTTGGTCTGTTTCTGTTATTTTGTTAAATTGAATTAAATTTTGGGTTTATTTGTCTTTTTTTTTGTTAATTTGTACATCATGTGTCAACAGTTTATAAATAAGGTATGTAGTGCCATTGGAAAGATTAAAATCATGTATATTCTCAAATTCTATATTTTTTTTCTTCAATTTTCACATCTATATCGTTATTTCCATCTAAGAATTTAATTTATCAATACAACTAAAATTTCCCTAAATACATACACTCAACTAGATTAGTCTTAACTGTAGTCATCTTTACTTTTACAAAAATTTTCCAATTCTATGTCACTTTTACCGCTAGTACGTAAAAGAGTTTTGAGAAAAATTTACATATACTCCTATCTTTTTTTTAACTTAAAATGCAATCCAATCAAATTACATTTGCAACAGCGTAACCAAACAAACTTTCTTATTTCCCATTTTATACAATTTATGTCATAGATTTATGTCAATTAACGCTTAAACAATGTCATACAAAATAGAGTTGCAAAGAGCCATATGCCAGTTAGTTACCCAAGTATCTAAAAGTGAAATTGTGAATATATTTTGGACCAAATATATTACACGCGCAACTATATACAGAACAATTAAAGACTGCGAGGTAGCAATATCACAATAAGTTTAGAAAAATTAAGAAGAAAGACAAGAGCCTGGAACATCAACAAGAAGATTGGCTCGATTGTTTAGAGTTCCTATATAACAGTTTCTAGAGAAATAGGCAAAAGCAACTTAAAATACAGCAAAAGAGCTAAATGTTCAAAACATACAGCATCGCAGTTAGAGAGAATTCTTAGATGTTGCCGGCTATTGAGAATTCATCATTTTCTGAACAATCGTGTGGTTGTGCTGGGCGATGAAAAATATTTTACGTTTGCCCATTCAGAGATGGAAGGTAACGATGGATTTTATACAAACAATATAGAAGAAATTAAAAGTAAAATTTAAGTCGAAGGCAAAGTTTGAAGATAAAATTTTGGTTTGATGGGCTATATCTCCGGCCGGCGTTTCAGCACAATTCATTGGCCGTACTAAAGGTGACGCGGTCAATACATAACAATACATGGGAACACCATAATAACGACGATGTAATATTTTGGGCAAATTTAGCAAGTTGCCATTATACTAGAATGTCCAGGGATTGGTTAGAAAGCAATAATATAAGTTTTGTACCTAAGAAAAGGTAATCCCCCCATAGTGCCCCCAGTGCGAACAATCGAAAACAAAATTTGGGGAATACTAAGTAGAAAGGTTTACAACAACGGCTGGGAAGCCAATTTAGAAGAACAATTAAGAAGAACAATTTACCAGACAGTTAGAGAAATGGACGTGGACACCATCCAAAGGCTGTAAGACCTACATATGAAGACAATTTTGCGTCGTATTGAATATAACGAATCTTTATCTGTTTTCCCATTAATAATAATTAATTAAGAAATTAGCATATATCTGGGTTTTTTTTGAAATTCAAATAAAATTAAGTTTGAGCTTTCTATTATTAATTTAAACTTTTTCTCAAAACGTTTTTTTTTACGTTAGGTTTCTCGGAAATTAAAAATGTCTCTAATTTTCTTTAAAATATCTTTAAGATTTTGTTTCCTCTGAATTTTAAATTTTCTCTTCGGGACACCACTAACGTTGTATTTTTTGACTGATGATGAAAGTTGAATTATATCTCAAAGAACTCAAAACCAGCATATAGTATGAACTGAATGAACCAAGTTAATAGCAAAAATGACGTGTAAAAACGCACAAAAAATGAGAGATTGAACGAAAAAATGCCCAACTTATGCATTCTTACATAGTAGCAACAATTATCTAACAACGATAAACATGAACTCAAATTATCACAATTCACGTATCTGTAACAAATACTCCTATATGTATTCGTAATTTATATATTTTTAAAATTTAAATATAAATAAATTAATTAATAATTAACAATAAAATAATAAAAAAATAAATTAATGTCAAATTTTGACTTGTTTAGAGTATTTTTAAGCCCTAGTCTGCAAGGTTGTTTTGGGGGTAGCTTTTAACGGTTTCTCCAAACGGGTTGAAAATTTGCATCAACAATCTTCGTATTGAGAAATAAGCAAATCTCGAGTTTTGACTTGATTGAAGTATTTTTTACCCTTAGTCTGCAAGTCTGCCTGGGGGTAGTTTTTAAGGGTCTTTGCGAACGGGTTAAAATTTTGTGCCAACAATCTTCGTATTGAGAAATAAGCAAATGTCGAGTTTTGATTTGATTGAAGCATTTTTTACCCCCAGTCTGCAAGGTTGTTTTGGGGGTGATTTTTGAGGGTTTCTCAGAATGGGCTGAAATTTTGCATCAATAATCCTCGTATTGGAAAACTAGCGAATGTCAAAATTTAACTTGATTAGAGTATTTTTAAGTGCCAGTCTGCAAGGTTGTTTTGGGGGTAGTTTTTAACGGTTTCTCCGATCGGGTTGAAATTTTGTGTCAATAATCTTCGTATTGAGAAATAAGCAACTGTTGAGTTTCAACTTGATTGAAGCATTTTTTACCCCCAGTCTGCAAGGTTGTTTTGGGGATGATTTTTGAGGGTTTCTCCGAATGAAGTGAAATTTTGCATCAATAATCGTCGTATTGAAAAACTAGGGAATGTCAAATTTTGAATTGATTGGAGTATTTTTAAGCCCTAGTCTGCAAGGTTGTTTTAGGGGTAGTTTTTAACGGTTTCTCAGAACGGGTTGAAATTGTGTATTAACAATCTTCGTATTGAGAAATAAGCAAATATGGAGTTTTAACTTGATTGGAGCATTTTTAACCCCCAGTCTGCAAATCTGTTTTAAGGGTGATTGTTAAGGGTTTCTCCGAACGGCTTGAAATTTTGTATCAACAATCATCGTATTAAAAAATAAGCAAATATCGAGTTTCAACTTGATTGGAGCATTTTTAACCCCCAGTCTGCAAGATAAACTGTGGTCTGCAAATTAGAAACGCCTATGCGGTATTGTCAACAAGATGGTCTCACAGCACATCATAAAAGTTAAGGAAAATCTTTTTTGGAATTCTTGATATAATCAATCAAATACAAATTCGACTGTCTGGCATAGAAAAGTTACATATTTTTGACTTAGTTGCTTGGCGAAAAAGTGTCGGAGACACAGACGACAGACTGAAAGGGGAAACTTTTATTTCCGATTCTAGGTGTCACAAAACACGAAGAAAACATGGAAGTAACCGTTTTTCGGATGACTAATTCACAATTCCGAAACCCCATTAAATGGGTAAATAAAAATGCTTGGCCAATGGTCAAACGTCCAGATTAATAAAGGCAGATTATGAATAAGTCTTCCAGATTCTCAACACGTACATACTAGGAAGAATTTATAACACGGAGATTTGGAAGCAATGTCTCGACGAAGCAAAAAACCTACTGCGCCCTATTCTGGCAGCAAATCAGAGAATATAGCTGTAATAACAACAAAAAAATATGTAAGCACTGTATGTGAAATTTAAATTGAGTTAATCTTGTCATTGAAAGTGAGCCAGAACTGGCGGGAAACGATAAGTTGGATATAAATTATCATTAAAAAAAAACAGAGTGATTGGCAGTGAGCTGAAGCATTAACCTTTTTCCTAAACAATCAGGTGACAACTTGGTTAGTGTTTCCTTAGGAAATGGTTTGTTAGAACGGAAGTCTCGAGAGTGAACAAACTGCATCTTTTATCGTTTTGAGATAAGTACATATACAGCACTTTAACTACTCTTATTCTCGCTGCAGTGTGTTTTGAAACATAGGTACATGTATATAGTTTCTGTGAAAACCATATTAACGGGATGGGGACTTTATACTCTTTCGAAGTACATCCTAAATGAAACGAGTATATAGTATATTTGACTTCGTTGAGTATTACAACCCATAACCCGAGTAAAATGTCACAACGTATTTTTTAGAATCAAAACAATTTGTAGCGCTGAAACCGCTGCCTGTTCTGGTGATTGAAGTTCTCTTTATTGACTTTCTCCAGGAGCATTGAACACTTTTAATTTGTTGACAAACAGATTAAGAAAGATAAAAAATAGAATAAATAGAAGACAATGCACTGAATTTTCTTTTATTTTTTGACGAAAAATTCCTAAATTAAAGAAAATAACACAAAGCTTAGCTAACATTCCTCGAAAATTCAATAATTAAAAAAATGAATATTTAAATTTCCAATCAGTCAAAGTCTTTAGTATACTAAACATTTTTACATTTAAGTCCTACCTAAATATAAAACTTTTTACATTGAACTGAATATAAAAAAAATATCTAAAAACATAGAAAACTATTTCAATACTCTACATCCTATATATAAATGTCGAACGTACATTAGTTGGAATGGTAATATTAACTGAAATAATGAAATTTAAAATCTTCCATATGGTCGTTGGGCTCGACCTCTAGCACGTCTGGCTACTCTAGGTGAATAATTTGACTGTATATTAGGTCTTCCTCTTGGTCCATCTATCAAATCATTCATTATTTTACGCTTATCTTGTTTGTTTTAAATTTGAAACTAACCTGAATGCCGCTGAGGTGCATTCCTTTGATCACCCCATACGATGGGTGTAGGCCCGGATCTATTCATCCCTCGATTAGACATCTGTCTACCAGAGCGCCTTGCTGTTGATCCTGAGCCGCGCGTTGACCTCGACCTAGTGTTTGTACTAGGAGATGCTTCGGCTTCTCTGCCTTCTTCTTCCCCTCCGTCTTCAGTACTAGGCTGCTTTTCCCCTTCTGAACTAACCTAAACGCAAGAATTAATTTCAGAACCCAAATTTTATTCAATGCTTAATACCCCATCGTAGCCTTCAGCTTCTTCGGCTTGGTTTGGTTCCTGAACACTTTCGGCTGATGTTCCAGCGACGCTTGGAGGGCCCATACATTCTTCTGAACTTCCTTCTGCAGGAGGTTCATCTTCGTCAGCTCCACTCACAGTGATGGAGGGTATTTCAGCTGGAAAAATAATACATTTCTATGGAAGTTGTGCATAATTGCGTTATAAATTGACGCCAACATCGTCAATATTTAAAAACGTTTTAATCTTAAAGTCAATATTGCACAAAATAGAAAGGTACGCATTTTATTTGTGGTGTCGCAAAAGGATAAATATTTATTTCAAGTTTCATTTCGTTTGAATTGTGCTCATTAGTATCGAGATATTTTGCCTATATAATCGATTTTTACATGAATTTTCTAAATATCATAAAAAATTCTTTTAATAACAGTGCAAATACACACAAAATTGCAGAAATAAACATTTTATAATTTCTAAAATATATATTAAATATCTGGAAAAATAATTGAATTTTCTGCACCCCTTAATAACTAATAAAAATGCAATCTTTTGCTTCTCGAAAATATAAAATATTGTACCACTACTTTAACTTTGCATTTTAAGAACTGGCACTAACCACTAATTTACAAGTTTTTGTAAAATTGTCAAGTTAATTTTATTAAAAATTTCAGAACTTATTCTTTTGGTATTACTAAGGTCATTATGGTGACTCTACTCTTCTTACACGACTCTATACACTACCCAAGAAACTTCATCGATTTTTTTTCGACAAAAACTGATTTGACTGTATCTCATTTCCGATAAAAAAGTTGATGTTTCTTGTTATTTGTGGTTAGTGGCAACACGAAATAAATTATTCATTTATTCCGTGATTAAAACTAGAATTGCACGAAGTCTGTGGTTTTAAAACGGCAAAACAAAGTATCACTGTAACGCATTACGTGTAAAATAAGAGCTTATGGAAATAATTCTCTGAAAACGGGTTTCACGAATCCATCAGAATTACGTATTAAACATGTAAACAATTGTAGTAATGCTCAGAGGTCAATCACGCTATTATTTTAAATCGGAACGAATTTCTGAAATTTTTCTAGGCTCAAAATATGGACTCCATAGAAGGGATACTAGGTTACTTTCCCATTTCCAGGAGGGATTCCTACTAATGAAATACATAACTTTTGGATAGTTTCCATATTGTGAAAATTCTTAGTTTGTCTCTTAATAAAGTCACATAAACGAAAACCTTTATTTCATTTACATGGTGAGATCTCTTTAAGTTGATATTGTATGACCATGTACATTAACTTTAAAAACAAAAATCGTAGTAATAATTTTACATCTGTTTTTATTTAGGATATATTTATTATTGCCACACTGAATTTGATACATGTAAAATTCAGATTTTTCTGAAGCAACAGGACATTTTCTTTATCGTCAATAACCGAAAATATTTTCAGATCATTGATTAACAGTGAGAACAAAATGGGCACCAAATGGCTGCCTTGGGAAACCCTAGATAATACCTCATATGGAGACGGTGAGTTACGTTTAGATGAACAAGTTGTGTTTGTGTTAAATATTATAAATACAATATGTCTATAAATGATCCAACTTCGAATCCCGCAAAGCAAAGTTTTTTTAGCAAGACCAATACACTATACGATGAAACCTGTATTAACTGCAGCTACCTGATGACCTTGTCCTAAAACATTGACAATATAAAATGTATAAATTGCAAGATTTGAAGCAATACTACGACCAGGTAATAATCCATGCTGATGACATCGAAATGTAGTATGTCGGTTCGATATTAATGACTCTAATAATCTTTATAATACAAGAATAATACAAACTGGTCTAAAGTTCATTACATCAAACCTATCACCCTGTCACCGAACTTGTATCCAGCCACAACGTAATTTTCTAGAATTTTCGACATATGTCTGAATTAAGGTATTTCTTAAAGCTAAGTACACTGCTTGAAAAAGTATAAAGGTACTATTAATATTCGTGTCGAGTTCTATATCTAGATTCACCTCATTGCAAAATCACCATGTTGACAATGACAATGACAACTAAGATAGCTGAGACCACGGTTTTGAGACGCATAATGCGAATGGGAGAATATAGTTCAGTTCAAAGAATATATTAAAATAAAATAATCAACAAAAAACGAAGAAAAGGGCCAAGAAAAAGTTGAACAAGAGAAAGTTAAAATTGTTGCAGAAAAGGATATTTAGTGGAACGAGCTATACAGACAAGCACAAGCAAAAAATGATGGAAGGGAGCATGGAAAAGGAAATCAAGACAATAAATATCAACCACCCGCCTGACACCCTCAAGGGTAAACAGGCTTAAGGTTACCTAGGTAAGTAATATTTAAAGAAATAAGTATATATATTTAGTGGTAAGTTAATTAAGAGAAAGATGATTGTCATCCACTAACTGAATTTTCAACTGTAATATATAATATCACAGTTCATACAGGGGTAAAATATCTGAATAAATTGTTGGTTGTTGTCGAGACTACACACATTTTGGTAATAAAGATTCAAGCATTTGTTTTCTTTTTTTGCCTTGGTTTGATAAAAATTTTCGGAACATTATGAATAAATTTAATTGTTTTATTGTTAACGCCAGCCTTCACCAACTTGTGCGATATGGTCGACACATAAAAATAATTTTTGTCTTAATTATTGAAATTTTGTATACACCGTCAGAGCTGTTCAATATAACTTTTAATCGGTGACATTTGTTATCCATAAATTTTCCAAGTTTGGTTCAGATACACTGTAAAGAATTAAATTGCATTGGTGCTTCTTTCTTTCATGTTTCCCACATTTCGCAAACTTTTCCCAAAATGGCTTTTACATCAAAATGGTTGTCATAAAAATACTTTATTTTACTCCATATGAATCCGAGTTCGTTACAAGACAAACCGCTACAAGAAACACAATGGCACCCAAAATATCGGAACCATCCTGATTACACTTAGTTCAAACACCAAAACACGCTAGAATGGAGAGTGTTAAATTGTAATGTTAATTACAACAACGGTCAAATAAAATAAACAATCCAAAGTATTTTTGCGAAGTTATTTTTCCATTTACGTTTTCTTTGGCAGAAACCTCACAAAATAAATAAATTTGCAAGAGTTACAAGCTCCAAAACTAAAAAATTATATGATGCAGGATATTTACATTTATTTTCCTACAGAAAATTAACTGACACAAACACGTTACACACATCCACGACACCGAAAATTTTTTGTTGATGTTTAACTTCGTAATGTCTTCAATATGTTACCGTCAAAATAAAAGCGTATATTGGAACAAATTAAAGTTCTAAAAAGTAATGTAATTATATTATTAACATTAACATTGCTAACGCAAAAATACAATCAATTTGGCGTTCGTTTCAACAAATTCCCATTGGGATGGATCAAATTCTAGATACAACCAGAATTTCCTTTTTAGAAATATCGAAACATTAACCAATATTTTGAAACCAAACTAACAGAACTCTTTCAATTACCGTCTGATTGCGTCGTTTGACTGGAACCTTGCTCTTCCCCTCCTGGAACAGCTTCCTGGGGTGACGCTTGCAAGGGTGTGCTAGGAACACTTCTGCCCGTGCCTACAACAAAGGAGAAGAATCGTTAATAAATACCGTAGGCACTGGTGCAACAATCCATACTGTTCTCATCCATATTTGTGACTTCTAAAGTTTGCTCGGGAACGACCTCACTAGAACCGGCAGTGCTCGGAGGAACAGACTCGTTAAAAGTAAACCTCCCGCTCGTGGGCACATGAGGAGAACTAACGGCCTCACCGAAACCGTCAGATCTTCTCGGCACAAATAACGTAGGCGTTGATGGCACAATACCATCATCGCCGCCTTCTTCCAGGCCGTGCGACAACAACAGATGAGATTGCTGCTGTCTGGATGGGAGTGGGGCTATAGGTCTGGTTCGGGAGAAGCAGGGCATTGTCATGGACACTGATGTCGAGGCTTGGGATAAGGTTACACCACCAGGGCCCCCTTAAAGCAAATTTAAAAAAAAATTAAACATAAACTAATAAATGTATTTTAAGAACGTTAAAGGTGCACCTATTCTACAGACTGATATTTAATGACCAAAATAATTATATCTGTCAGAAAGTTTTATGAGGGTGCAACTGAAACATTCTCACAGTAATAATAAAACTAAAATTCAACTAAAGTACTCTTGTGGTAACAACTAACAAAATACACCTGCCATTAATAATCCTCCTTTACTGATTGAAATTTACTTACTACCAACACCAAAGATACACCTATTGGACATACCATCGGTTCCACTGCTAGTAGCTTCGGGTTGTGCTGGTTCAACGATTTCTTCTTGAGAAGTACCTTCCTGAACAGACCTCTCGCTCTGATTTGGTACCTCGCTAGAATCTTCGATCACCTCGACTTCGTTTCCACCTTCCTCATCTTCAACGTCTTGGCAATCGGCATCTTCGTAATTATCTTGTTCCTAAATCAATGTGAATTAAATAAATCTGACAAATATTTCCTTGTAACAACATACCATCCCTTCCATGTCATACCCTTCCGTGTCAGGGTCATCTGGTTCATCGTCTGCTCCTTCACCTTCATCAGCGCCGCCTTCTTCATCACTTTCCACAACTATGACATGATCGTCATCGTGATCTCTCTGACTACTAGTTGGTACTTGGTATTCCACTTCTAAACCGCTGTCGCTTACAGTTCCGGCTTGTTGAACCCGACTTCTTTTACTCTGCTGCTGTACCTTAGTTTGATCATCTACTGTGTCCGTATCAGGATCTCTTTGACGTTTTAATCCAGCCTGTGTGGTCGTAACAGTATTAGAACTGCTGCTGCTGCTCGTTCCTTGTTCCTGTGTAGGCCCACTATTGGGTGGTTCTACTCTAGGTAGTACTAAAGCTACAGCTTGTTGTTGAGGAGCAGTTTGTACCTAAAGATATAAAATAATAGAATGTTTCAGCTGAAAACAGTGATGAAAACCGCATTCCTAAATTTCCACAAACAATCGAGATATTGATTTTTAAAGATACGTGATGAAAAACTTCACCAAACTGCCAAAAAGATGATAATAAAGAAATAAAAAAAAAAAAAACTGTTGTGGTGTTATACGAGTAAAGAGAAAGTTCTAGGCTGATTATACCTTAAATTTCATAACAATAATTATTGTAACTTGCATACAAAAACAAGCAAACTTTTTTTTTAATAAAATGAAACAAACATTTTTATCTCACGCTAAATACCATGCTTTTCCTTCTTTCTTTCTCCAAACGTGAAACCGAATGTACTAATTTGAAAAGTAACAAATTATATCGATGTTTCGTAATTTTTAACAAAGTCAAGTACTTTTATAGTCAGGCTGACATAATACGAGTTACATTTAAAAACAAATTTATTATTATTTTTTAAGGCACCGTTTCCACCGCCAATCACTCGCTGCGTTCAGATAAATATAAAAAATTAATAAATCATACCTGCATATTAGCTTCTTCATCTTCAGTATCTTGGGATGATTGTGTAGGAGGAACAACGACTTGCCGCGGTCCCAGCATAGCAGGACTAGCCGAACTAGTTGCAGGAACATAATCAGTGTGCGAACTAGTTGGGCTACTACTAGAAAGTGCCTCTATTGTACTTGATCCTGTAGTGTGCACCTGTGATTTCAATTAGATCGTCAAACTACTGTTAGTGTGCTACAACAAATTGTTTACCTGTTGCTGTGGAGGAACCATAACCGCGCTAGGACTTTGACTTGTTGGTAAAACAGTAACAGTTCTCACTTGTTGTGACATTGGTCTAATACTAGCTAATGGAGTCTCGCCACTACGCCATGGGTGTATCGGTACAGACTGAGTTTGAGTATTAGTAGAATGACCTAAAACAGTAATTAGTAGAAAAGCAAAGAACTTTAATTTGTACTATGTTACTACCTGCCATAGGCTTAATGTTAGCAGTTGGAGGCTCACTAGCAGGTTTTTCAGAGCCTGTACTAGTACTAGGTTTTGAACCTTGTTGACCAAGTTGTCGTTGTAGTTGAGTAACTTTCTGCGCCAAAGTTTCAATTTCCGAAGCATACTTCTCATTCTCTTGTCTCTTTTCAGCCAAAATATTGGCCTTCTCTTTTTCTAGATTATCGATTTTCGTTAAAAGATCACTATTACTGGTGGAAGAACTACCTTCCTCTCCATTATCATTTGCTGAAACTGGTCCTTCTTGACTGCCCAGCTGACTTTTCAAAGTGTTGACCTGTTCAGTTAATGTTACTATTCTTTCTTTAGCGTTTTTAAACAGATTCTTAAACCTTTCTTCTCTATCTAAAGCACCCTGTTTGAGAGTTTCTATTTCTTTCTTATAATTCTCATTTTCTTCTGTTAATGACGTCACCTGCACATTTAATTTTTCAATTGATTCCTTATTTGCCTGTTCCATTTGATTAATTCTCTCTTCTAGTTCACTACGCTGTTCCTGCAACTGTTGTTCGCTAGAATTTCGTTCATTCTCTTTCGCTTCTCTTTCCTCTCTTAAGGTTTTAATTTCATTCATCTGATCCTCGCACTGGATCTTATATTTCTTGGCAATTTTGCGAATCTGAGTGAGATTGTTTTTAAGTTCAGTAATATTCACATCCTTTCCAGCAGTGTGTTCCGTCAGCACCCTATTTTCTTCCAATAAACGTTTATTGGTATCTTGAGACTGTTCAACGCTTTGTGTGAGTTGTTGTACCTGACTCTGCAATAATGTGGACTCTTCTTTCAGTCGGCTTATTTCTTCCGACTGGGTATTAATTTGTGCCCGTAAGCTCTTCAGTTGTTCTTCGAGTTTGTTCTTGTCTTGTTTCAGTGTGTTGACTTCGTCAGTTAATTTTGCTACGTTACCTCTCTCAATAGTTAATTGTTTAGCAAGAGTTTCACGTTCGTTCATTAACTTCTTCCAGTCTTCGGGACTAGTTCTGTTGGATTTTTCAATCAACATCTGGGCCCTTTGTCGCCACTTGGTACATTCGGACCTCAGCGAAATATTTTCAGTTTGCATTGCTTCAGCTTTAATACTCAATTCTCTATTCTTCTCCTGAGTTGGTGCCAATTCTGAAGCTAAACTATCCGCACGCTCCTTCAATTCGTTAATCTGCGCCTTCAACGAATCTCGTTCTGTGCGTAACGCTCTATTGCTATCAGTAATTGCGTTCAAAGTTTCGACTTTGCGTAATACTTCAGCGTGTTTAGCCGCAGTTACAACGGACACTTCCGACTTTTGCCGTTCTGCTTCAACAGCTGCCTTAACTTCAGCTAACTGTTTACCCTGAACTTCAAACTGAGATTTCAATCTTTCGTACTCGGCTTCAATAATTTCCGCCTTGCTTACGGATATATCTTTTTCTTGACGTAAGTATCTGATGATTGTTAACAATTGTTCAGATGACTTGACTTCGTCTTCGGTCAAAGATTTATTGAAAGACATGTCCGCAATTGACTGATTTGACTGATCGGAAGTTGCTTGCGCTTGAATTAAAGATAGTTGTGTGTTGAGAGCTTGAATCTGATCCAACAATAAACTATTCTGGGCATCTATATCTTTAAATCGCTTTTCTAATTCTTCTCTCTCTTTTTGAATGATCTTCTCTTGATTTTCCCAACTAGTTTTGTTTTCGTTCAATGCTTCTACAGCACAGTCTCTATTCTTCTTGACTTCATCTAATTCGTTTGTCATCTGTTCAAGCTCGGCTTTCATGTCCGTCAACATCTGTAGATCTGTAGAATGTAACATTACTTCTCTCGCATATTTGTTTTCAACCGCTTTCAAATTTTCTATTAGCGATTTATTTTCATTTCTTGTACTCTCCAACTGTTCTCGTGCAGTCTGCAAATCCATAGTCTTGACGTTCAATTCTTCTTCTAACTGATGCGATTTACTTCGGGTGCTTGCACTGGCGATATCTTGATCGTCCATTTGAAGAGAAAGTTCACCTTCAAGCTCTGCACATTTCTCTTGCAACTGTTTTATTGTATTCTTATGAGTTTCAATCTTCTGTTCAAATTCTTTTTGTTGTTCCATTAACATTTTCATTTGATTTTCTGCAGTACTAGCAACATTGCAATACTGCTCTGACGCTTCTTTCGTCGTTTTCAATTTTGTTTTTAAGGCGTCGATTTCCGCCTTGCTGTCGCCCAACTGTTGCTCCAATTCACAAATCTTATGTCCGTCCACATTGGATTCTGGAATAAAGAATGTAGATGTTTTCAATTTCTTAGTCAAGTCTTCAACTTGATTAGCTTTTTGAATTAATTCGTCTCGGTTGTCGGCCAATTGTTTCCTCAACTTATCAGCTTCTTCTTTTTCTTCGGTCATGCGTTGTTTAGCCACTTCAGTTTGCTTTTCCAAGTGTTCTGTAAGTTGTCTAAAACGATCTTGCTCTTCTTGTAAGCGACGGCGCAAAGCAGCACATTCGCGATGCGCTTCGTCTAATCTTGCTTCTAACCTTAACTTACTTTCGGCATCAGTTCTTTCCAAAGTGGCTTTAATCAACTCTATGTTGGTCTGTATCATATTTTGGGTATGAGATTCGCGCTTCATGTTCTCTCTTTCTCGAACTAAACGCATCTCAGCATCTTTCAACAACGCATTTTCTTTTTGCAGGTTTGCCAACATTACTTCGGCTCTTGATAGCTTCGTCTGGGATTGCATCGTCTCATCTTTTAGATATGTTATAGCTTGTTCGTGTTTAATTATGGTCTCGTTGTAGATCTTATTCTGCTTTTCCAAAGCGTTAATTTGTTTCTTGTAAATCTCAATGTTATTCTGTGCAATTTTGAACTTCTCCTCGTTGTTTTCCAACTGCGATGATAACTTACAATTGGCTTTGACCAATTCTTTTATTTCTGCTCTCATTCCCTCAAGCTGCTCTAAAAGTATTTTTTCGTTAGCGGTCTTCTCTTTTCGGTAGGTTTCATTCTCATTCTTCAAATGTTCTATCTTTTTCTTATAGTTCTCGATCTGGGTAGTCAGTTCTTGGATCTTATCATCCCCTTGAGACTCGTTGTCGTTTTGACTCTTATCGTTTTCTCCAGCGGCATCCCTTAACGTAAAAGAAGATTCCAATTGAGATGGAACTTCCTCTCCGTTAGCTTTAACAGCTTGTGTGTACAAATTCCTGTACATATCTCTCTGATTACTTAACGTCATCATCATTTTATTTTGTCGATCACGTTCTTCGAGAAGTTCATTCTGAGATTCACGCAAATGGTCGAGTTTCATCTTTAAATCGGATATCGCAGCTGGATCAAACGCTTCGGCTTCCTCCTGACGCTCGGTTAGTTCTCGTACAATCGCAAGCAGTTTTTGGTTATTTTTCTGTAGTTCAGATATGTCGTGGAACGTAACTAATTTCTTCGTGATTATATCAGCTGAGCTAACGCTATCACTCAAATCCATGTCAGTCGACGTCGACGAAGATCCCACACGTGAGTTTTCTATTTCTTGTAATAAATGACAAACTTGGCGACTTAAGTCAGCCACTTCCTTTTTGTACCTGGCATTCTCCCTTGAAACTGCATCTTCAAGTCTTGTACACTGAGCGTTTGCATCACGAAGCTGTTGAATTTCACTTAACAACTGTTCATTGGAGTTCTTCAACATTTCATTTGCATCTAAAGCGTTGCTGTAGTCTTCCCGCAATTTTTTAATAAGAGGACCTTTCTCTTCGACTTCATGCACAATACTGTTAATGTAATTCTTCAACTGGGCATTTTCTTTTTCCATATCAACCAGTCTCTCAGAGATGGTTACATATTGTGCGTAAATCTCCGTTACTGTCATTCCAGATTTTAATAAACGAGAAGCGGAAGCTGCAGTTGGTGATAGACCTATCAAAGAGTACATATTAACATTACAGACTCATGTGACAAGAAATAAACTGACCTTCGATTTCTTTGTGAAGCTGTTCTTGTTTGCAATTTTCAACCAATTCCTTTGAAATCTCCAATTCCTTTTTCAACATAGCAATGCATTCATTCTTTTTGGCCATGATTTCCTCATGAGTTAATTCAGATTCTTTGTGTTTTGTTTCTAGATCTCCATACTGATCGGTAGCGTGTTTTAAAAGCTGTTGAACCTAAGAAGATAATTTCACTCAATTAAAAATGCAGAAATTATCCCACCTCGTAGAACTCAATATACTGTACATTAGGAGGTCTTGAGGTATTTTAAAAAAGAAACTTCTTGGACTTCATTTGTAATAATAGTGCACTTAATTATTTTTCAAAATAAAAATAAAAATGTAAAAATAACAATTGTTTTGCAGCCACTGTAGATACATGCAACAACGGTGTCTGTACACCAAAATAAAACTGTTGTGAACGTACACAAAGAAAATGATGTTTAATAGTGCTTCCTCTCAAAAATTACCCTAAAAATAATAAAATATGCCGGTTTTTTATATTTAAATGTTTTTTTTCCTTTTATTAATAATTCAGGCACATGTCACTAAACATTGCAAATATAAAATTTCCATTTTTATTTTCCCGAGCGTAAGCTTGTAATAGTGTGCCTTTAGCAAACTATTACAAAGTAGGTGTGCCGTTTCCGTCTATCTGTCGTCTGTGATTTTATTAAGAAAGATAATCTGCAAAAACTATTGAAGTGATTGTTGTGGAATTTTAGATTTATTTTAAGAATAATGCGTAGATGGTAAAATGTTATCCACAATTTGTCTGATCATCCAACTTAGAAACTACATCAACTGATTTGAACTTTTACTAACAATTTCATCTGTTAATCCCTTCCCTTTTATTAGAAAATGTAATATTGTTTCGTTTTAGTAATACGTTTTTACATTTTGAATTTTTTTCTGCCAAAAATTATTTCGCTATTATTTTTTGTAAATATGTACTGTTTTGAATGACAATGTATTGTCATTTAGATAGAACTTTCCGTACTCCTGAAGTACTGTCCAACAATATGAGCTTCTTCAAAAAATTATAAAATTTGATTTTGCGAATATGTTTTCTCCGACAATCCCTTATAAATTAAATAAAGATATGTGCGGACTCTTAAAGTATGGGTAGAGAAGCAACACCAACATTTTAGCAATGACACGCGTATCAATTTGCGTTTTGAATAGGTGTCGTGTTTGGACTAATAAAATTATTACAGTTCTGCACTTTCAAATATCCGGGATAATGGAGTGAACCGTTTTTTATTTGATCAATAAAATAAATTATTTCATTCATTAATTGTTTTTTTGAGTCACTCGTAAAGCAAATTTAAAAAATATGAATGGTTTGATGAACTACAAGTACATTCTCTACATTTTAAATGGCATTTGTTCAACGAAATTTTAAATGACGTCATCCAAGTTTTTGGGGGAATAAACAGATAAATTTTGATTAACCATTTACCATGATTACGATAACATTAAATTGTTTGCAAGATTTAATTGCATTCCGTTGTGTAGTTTTAAAGTTAAATTGTAAAATGTTATTACATACGATCATTCAAAAATGGTGCACTCACTACTGCTAATGTTAGGAATAAATTGGGCAAAGAAAAAATTATTTTATAAATTCTGGCATGGGCCTTCAAATTTTAATTTGTCTTTAAACTTTTGACTACATTTTAATTCACTACTCAGTGCTGAACACATGAAATCGATCGCACTTTCGTTATACAAAATAATTTTGGAAGTATAATCTCTTTACCTATATATTTTCAATTTATAATATTGGAAAAAAACTTAAAAATTGTTCAAAATGAATCTGACAACAATCGCTAATTTTCCACCTTCGTTAATCTATTTATATGAATCGATATTTTGTACACCCGTTTCGGAGATTATTTGTCTAATAAATAATAATATCAACACAAACACATAATCAGACAATAGACAAACGGAAATAGGAGACTTATTTTTCAGACCCCTCACAGTATATCTTAACGGCAAAAGTTAAAAAATGACGCTAGAAACAGTTGCCATCTTCCGTTAGCATTGTAAATAAAGGTTTAAAAATTATAAAATTTTAAATTTAACCTCATCCTTTTTTCCTTAAAAATTTAAAAAATGTAATTGTTGATTTTTTTTGTTTCGTTTGTTAGTCTAGATTAATAAATAATCGCTCCTGAAGTACAATGAAACATATTCAGCATTTTTGAGTTGAGTTTTTTCTTTAAACAATTTTGTGATCACGTCATCAACATTTTTGGAAGGACACGTATATCAACTTGGATTGGTGCAGTATAATACTAAAAATAACAGTATTGTATTCCCAAAATTTTCTCAATCATATTTTGCACAATTAGGATAGAATTTATTTGGCAAAATTTTGAGCTGACGTCATCAATTTTTTGGACGGGATAAGTAAATATATTTTGATTAAAAATTTATCATGCTTATCATAATTTTAAAATATTTCAAAGCATTCAGTTTTGCAGATTCAAAATTAAATTGCAAAATGCTGTTTTATAATTTAGATTTTTTTTTTCCAAAAATCTGGACGTTTCGGGTAACAACTCAACACAGAGTCATAAACTACATGTATAGGACTATATTACTTTATACTATTTAAAACCCATTTTGAAGTGACGTCATCACCTTTTTTTTTCTTAATAACTTGTTCATGATAGTAAATTAATAGAGAGCGGATTTCTGTCGGGCTAGGCAAGGCCAAACTCGGTACGGCTCGTACGGGATGGGAATTCATTGCAGTTACGGGCTGCACCTCGTTTATTTGAGATTAGATTAACACTGCTTCCTTGCAATCTGCTGTTAATCCCCATTCTCATTTACTTAGCAGTTTAATTAATAAATCGTTAATTGTATTTATGGAATAAATGACGATTAAATTCAGTGGTTACTGATTATTATCTATCACCCGCTACTGAGTCCCTGCGATCCAGCGCGTCCCCACCTATAATCGTGACGTAGCCCGACAGAAATCCGCTGTCTATAAATTAAACAAGGGATTTACCCAATTAAAAAAAATACCAATAATAGTAGAATGTTCAGAAATGATCTAAACAAAATTCTACAACTGCCTTTTTCAATCTGTTGTCATAATTATCGACACCAAGAAATTTAATTTTATAGCGTCTCTAGTAATGAAGAGACTCTGGACAGAATCTCCAGCTTGCTCTGGCCATGGTTCAAGGCCCCTTTTGCCCAGAAAATGTGAATCATATTTCAGATGATAAATGGCAACCTGAATTTTTAAAGTCCCTGATGTGCCAGTGGCCTTTATAGTCTTTTTAAATGCCGTTAAAACAGACTTCAAGAACTTTATTCACTGCTTGGATAACCCGTAAGAAAGCTATTGTGCCAAGAATATCGGGATCTATTAATTTTTATCAATTCTGTAAAAGCTGTAAAAGCCACCATTACCTTCAAAAACATCTCCCTGATAATTTTTTGGTAACAGTTTCAACTTTTTAGGCCAAAGTAATGCTTTTTCATTGCCCAAGAGAGCAACCATACCATTCCAAAATATATGATTTACGAAGTCTTGCAAAATATGTAGTTCAGGTATAACACATTTTTCAACAACGTACACATCGTCATTTTCTCTTAAGAAAGGCATATTTTTCCTCATAACCGAGTTTGCAAAATTTGTTATAGTCTGTTCTTAATAAAAATACTTCTGCCACGAACTTGAAGGGGATAATATTTATTTCTGTTAGATCAAATAATATGTATTTTCAAATTGTCATACGTTTCTTTGACTTTCGGAACTATTCATAACATTATTAATCTTTTCACTGCTGTTAATTTGGTCTTTGAGCAAACACTTCCATCTTACTTTTTTGTGATGGGGGAATGTCTTCTAAATTTTCTTTGTTTTCTTCCAAAATTCTTTCAGGAAGGACAGACATACACATTTTTAGAAAACCTTGATCACCATCCACCATAACTTTTACAAAAATTTGCCTGTTTCGGCTATTGATTCTAAAAAACAGTCTCAAGTAGTTCACTAGCGATAGCTCAGACAGCGAGACTCTTTGTTTTGCTATTGCTATTGTCGAAATGTTCTTTCCTTTCCACATCAAAGTCAAAAATAGAGTATTTACACGTATTTTCCCAAGATTTAGAGACCCTTTGGTTTTTTTTATTATATGTTCCTTGTAGTTAGATGGAATTATTTTTGCCACACAGAAGTTCACTTTAAAATTGTGGGGTGATCAGGTGATTGCAACAGTAGTTGCGTTTTGGCGTATTTATTTTGATGTTGTCGGTACGGCGGTTGAAGTCCTGGAGTTTGTGAAATTGAAATGAAAAGAAAAGTCGGTAGAAAGCGGTGGAAACAGTTGTGTCTAAAGGGTTCTTGGAAGGTATTTTGAAATCTGGGAAAGGATAAGTATTACTGAGAAGGGTGAACAAAAGATAGGTTTTACGACATGCAGGTGGACGAAGAGAAAGTTTCGGGGTGATACTGGGAAGTAATTAAATACAGATTATATACAAATATACAAATGCTATACAATTTTGTGGGACTTGACAGCCCCCACAAAATTATCAAGTTTTTCGTACGAAAAAACAAAATCGTTTTTGAACTTCGGGTTAATAACAATTTTGGACTTACAACGTTTAGTAGATAAATTTAGTTCGACATTTTGAAAACCACTAGTATTACTACCACCGAGAAAATTTAGATACGTGTTTTCTGCGACGATTAAACAGAAAAAAGGATCAGCTATATTCTCTTACCTGAATGAATTATCAACTATTATCAATTATTATTAAAGGACAACAGTTGACGGAATTTATAGATAATCAAGGTCTCAAAATTATGAAAAAAAAAAATAAATAAAACACATGTGCTGTTTTTAGCCTAAAAATTATCTACAATTTTTATCATAAAATCCCAAATTTGTATGCTATTAATATAGTTTTTTTTTTCATTGACTGCAAAGTGATCAGATACACTGGAGGTACGAAAAAAAAGTAAATTTCTAAAATAAACTTATAAGTATGATTTGTTTCTGTAAAAGTCCGGAAGTTTTTTCTAATTTTTTCTAACTAGATTTTGACTACTCTTGAAACAAGACTCCACTTCTTCTGCATTTATAAAACGAAACTCGGCTTATTATAAACTTTTCTGTCTGAAAATTATCAAACTAAAAAAAGCCTATGGATTTCATCAAACTGATGTAAAATCGCACGTTTCTTATAATTATATCTAAAATTCATATACAACAATGACCGTGACTAGTACATTCAGTGATACTAAAAATGAATAGAATGATATTTGTCACGTCAGAATTTTACAAAAATTAATACTGGAATGTATAAAACAATATAGAGACCAATGCAAACAGCAATCAAACATTCACCTTTTGGCATAATTTTAAATGTTTTTTTTTTTTTATTTTCGTAGTATTCTCCATTATTTCCTCCTGCTTGTTCTTTCCCATTTTTGTTTTGAAACTTTCATTTATTACTAATTACCCACTCACTTTCGAAATTTGTCTATTTTGCATTATTTTTCAATTGAATACCACCAAACAACAAAACATGTATCTACAGAATTTTAAAAATAATTGAATAAAAAATATTATCGCCAAAAACTTATAATTAAAAAATCTAAATTTATGTAATGTTCAGATAAATAATTCCTACTTGTGAAAGTAAAATCTTATATTACTTACCTCTGCTAAAGCATCCTTAAGACTCTCTGCATGTTGCTGACTTTCTTCGAACATTGACTTATATGCATTAGCCAGTTTTGTCTTTGCTTCAATTTCATGAAGATACGAGTCATTCATCTTGGCATCACTTTCCCGTTGACTCAACAACTTTTGAGACAATTCTTCATTGCGAGTAGCTAAATTATCGTTCAGTTCAGTTACAGATTTTATATGATCATTGGCAACAATCAATTCTTGATTTTTTTCAGTCAACTTAGTTTCAAGTTGAATACAACGAGAAGTATTATCACGTCGCATGTTAAGTAATTCTTCAGTTTTAACATTTAAATCTTCAGTCAAGCTCTCAATCTGACTATTCAATAATTGGCGTTCTTGCTCTATTCTTTTTTCCCTGTACTCAAGCCTCAATTTCATCGACGCTACCTCATCCGCTTGCGCCAGAGCTTCACATTTTGCATTAACAGCCCCTTCCAGTTGTTTAGTCAATGTTGAAAGATCCGCCTGTAAACGTTCGATTTCATTGTTCCTCCTCTGCAACATTTTAAGATGTTCATCGCGCTCGTCCACCGCCAGATTTCTCTGATGGCGGAATTCTGCAGCTTCAGCCTCCAATCTATTCGAGGTGCTTTGCAACTTCGTAACATCATTAGTGATTTGAGCTATTTGCGACTCTAGTTCAGAAATCGTGTTAGCAGCCGTACCAAGTCGTAACTTTAATTCTTCGTTCTCTTTGGTAACAGCATCCAACTGTACTTTGAAATCTGCCGCCGCTTGCTCTAAAAACGGCGTGTGTGTATCAAAACTAAACAATGGCACAGAAACTTACCTGCATTATGCCTAGTGGTTTCCAACAAAGCCTTGCAGGTTATCAGTTCTTCAAACTTCCCTTCCACGAAAGCTTCCACCTTTTTAGCTATTTCGTTCGGTACATTTGCCCATTCATCCTGCGAAATTACAGGCGCAAAAACAAACGAAACTTCCATCTTTCCTACGCTCACGATCGCGCTCAGTCCGTTTGTCTACTGATATTTCATTTCAAAGAGTATTTCTTTTATCAACACTATTAAGTGAAAATTCACAATAATAACTTTTAACAATGCAAATATAAGTGCATACCCAAAACTACCCGGTATTTCTAAATGCTACGAAACGGCGAGAAATTAGCTCCAAGTTGCATTGTGGGAAATAAGCGCTACGATGCTTGCACTACGCGAAGCGGTAAATTTAAATAAATAAATTTCTGTTATTGTTAATCTTTTTCTGACTTCATTCCTCTACTTAAATGTTTAGATAAACATTTGTACATAAAAAGCTTCAATTATTTTAACGATGTAATATAAATCGATGTCTGCGCTTTTTTAAACGTACCAATGATAAATTTATTATTTTTATTATTTGGTATAAATTACTGAGTGAGAAAGAACGCTCCTTAGAGTTTTTAGTATTGAATGATGAAGCAGGAAGCGCTTATTTATAATTAAGTAATAATTTGCAAATAAAGAAATTAATTTCATAAAAATGTCTTGTTTTTATTTATTTGATTTTCCCGCTTCTAATTTCCGACGCCAAACACGAGCGCCATTGCGCTTTGTTTGACATTTATTCAAAAAAAAACTGATGAAACCAAACCTACACGACTGACAACAACCGAAAAAAGAATGGAAAAGAAAGTTTACAAAAAATTAGTTTGAAAAATGTCTGATCGAATACAAAATCTACTTCTCGCTACAGCAGCTAGCAACTGCACTAGTGCCCAAAGGCAAGAACTCAACGATCTGAAGCATTTTTACGAAAAAGAGTATGGGAAGTACAATAAGTACAAAATATTATTTGAAGCAATTCGAGAAACCGCTTTTGATTATGATTCGTTGGAGCCTGAATTGAAAACGAAGGTGCAAAATATTCTACTTGAAACAAATTGTATTCAAGTGATTGATTTAGATGGAATTGGAGATAATCTAAATTCTAACAGTGCACTAGGCCTTACAAATTTTAACAGTGCATTACACTATAGTGAATCATTGAAACTCAAAGAAGTTGTAAAACTAAGGTTACAGGACCTATATAAAAACATATGTGAAACGTTTCGTAAAATAACTGGTGAAAATATTGATAAAATAAAGTATGATGATCAAGCGCCGATTGATTTAAAGAATGAATTGGAACTGCAACAAAAGAAGTATATTTGTAATTTATTAGAAGAACAAAGGATATTGCAAGATATGGTAAATCTAAGATTACAGAAGGTGCCTCAGATCTGTATGAATAAGGTGCTGGAATTTCAAGTAAAATCGCAAATGAGCTCACTTCAGTCAAAAATTGTAGAGGAGAAGGCAAGGATTGACATCTTCACAGAAACAAGTAATTCATTGTCTGCTTATGAGGAACTGATGAAAGACATAAGAATGCAACGACAAGAATGCCTTGCGGATATCCAGAACTTACAAGATTTGAAAGAAAAATATAAACAAGTTTCCTGTGGAAAGTATGATGAAATATTAAAATCATTTATTCAGTACAAGTCCTCGTTGGCAAAGAAGAAAATGATTTATGAATCACTGCAATGTTAAGGATAATGCTTTATGTAAATAAAATGTTTCTCTATTATCATTTATTACAACTTCTATTGCTATGTTTTTTAACACAATACAAAAACATTAATTAGTACAAAAATGCCAGCATGGTTAGTTTGGTCTTTCAGCAAGTATATGCTTAAAATCGAATGAACAGGCACATAATTTTCTTTCACACAAACATACATGCAACTTTTTATATTATAGACATCGACATTTTACTTAATACAATTATTAATTTCCTGTAGATACAGAGCGCCAATAAGCACTCATATCCATTTGCCTTTGTTATAACAGCGTTTTAATAATAAATGCAACAATATACATATATTAAATAACATTGGACAACTTGTAAACTTATTAATAAATATCTATAATTGTTGACTCCCTCAAAAACTGAAAGCAACTTTACAAAACTAATGCACCTAATGAATAAAAAAATCGAATGTCATTAATGAATGAGTACACTGAACACATTTGGATATTTGACATTTTGTTGATGTTCAACATTTTAATTCATCTAAGTAAAAAATTAAATGGTCAGTTACTATTTTAATGCAACTTAGCCTCTTGCATGAGATCAAGATTTAACAAAAGATTGACTAAAGGGAATGGGGTGACTGTCAGTTGTGTATTTTTTTTTATACTTATGTAAAAAAATCGAACCTGAAGTATCTGTTACAGTAAACTACTTTTATGCCCCAGTTTAGTCACTGTCACTATCATTTGTTGAGTCCTTTATTAGCAAAGGAGTACAACTTTTATCCTCAAGCATCCCATGCTCTACTAAAAAACCCTGAATATCTTCTGGTTGAAAGTCATTCCCTAAGTCATCTGATAATCTTATAAAATTTCCCACCAATTGGCCACCTTTATATATAAGCAATGCAGGTACCCCATCTGCTTTAAAACGTTTACTCATGCCAGCCCTAGAACTAAGTATTGCACAGAACTTCACATTTTTGTAAATTTTACACAGCTGTTTTAAGCATTTGTTCATAGTGTGACACGCTTCTACATTATTTTCATATATATGAACCACCACTGTAACTGACTTATTTTCTTCATCAATTGCATTAAGAAGTTCCTCACTGTCCTTTAAAACATATAACTCGCCTGAAAAGTACACCGAATAGAATTTGATATACAAAAATGTTATTAATTTTACCAAATGTAATGTTGTGATTTGTTTGTAAAACCATTTCTTGTAACCGATCTTTCTGATACTTTAGCAGAAATGCATCACTCAACAACTCAGCCATTTCAGGATCCTCCAGGGCTGCTTTTTCTCGTTCTTCATCCAACGCTGACTGAACTGTTAGTGTTAATTTTTTCATAAGAGAAATTTTTTCTCTTTCATCTTCTGACCGTTTTTCATTTTCAAGTTGCTTGTATCTTTGCCAATCTTTAATTACTCCTTTAGGCCCTGTATTGGTAGACGTACCCTCCCATTTATTTATTTCTGGAACGGCCGATGTTTCAGGGGAACCTGCTTGTTCTTGCTTATTATGATCTAAATCTGAGTCACCATCACTTTCTTCGCTACTGCTACTACTACAGTAATTGTGTAACTTTTCGCCCAGGATTTTGTCTTCAAGAGTAGCCATTTTTGAGTACTGCACTAATGTAGTTAATTGGATTCACAGAATAAGCTGCAATTACTTAAGAGTATTGCAAGGACAAACACATGTGTGTGTGTATGATAAGTGGACCCTGCAACAAAAGTTAATTATGTATGAATGTGGAATGTTTATTTAGGCTCATTATCAAGTTACCAATAATAAACTAATCACAGTGTGCTGAATATTCGTCATAAACAAAATATTAACCTTATCTATTGTTTTTGACTTGATCTGACAGTTGTACGTAACAAATGGTGACCATGAATATAAAAAAAATCTGCAATTTTATATTTTAGTAACTACGTAGACAAATTTTTGCAATTAAACAGTTTCGTAACAATTTTAAAAAACAGAAAAAATACATAGACATAATAATGAATAATATTATTTATGCAAGAAATGTTTTTTATTTTTGTTTTGAAACGGTAGGGATTCTGTTTTTATTATGTTGTCTACCAACCACTACACTAACCAAAACTAACAACGTGAACACAAAATATAACTAGTATGGCCTCAAATTAGGGACTTTGTGATGACCCAACCTGTTAACTGTCATTTGAGAAGCGTTTGTAGAATTTGGCGGGTTCATCGAAGTTGTGCAGTTCTGTGAGTTTGTTAGCAGTTTATTTTGTAAAATGCCACCCAAGAAAGCAGCAACAGCGGTAACAGTATTTACAATCTTTTTTTCTATATTATATTTTTTTATTGTTACGCAATGAATTCCACAATCAAATCTCCAAAAATCAAGTTTTCCCTTTTTATTCGTTGTCGTGCCGTCTCTGTACCGTTAAATGTGTAGTCAGCTTAGTAATGAATGCCATAATTTGAAAATAACTCGTAGTGATAATAAACGATGTTTTGCTTGTTAAAAGTGTGTTGCGGAAATAAACTACCAGCAACTTCTTTTATAAAAAAAGTTACATCCTTACGGTACCAAGGTTGGAAGTTGGAACAAAAACGGCAGATACACGTACCGAGATTTCATCAAAAGAATAGACAAACTAATTGCTTAATAAACAGTTTTTTAGATGAAAAATGGGAGGCAAACACTCCAAATCTTGTATATGATGTAGTAGGTTATGTTTTAATAACTATTATAATGAAAAAAAAATGCTCTGTAGCAAATTTTATATACTGTATTTCTGCTTTACTGTATTAATTTGTGTTTATTTCGTTATTTTCAGACAAAAACTTCGAAGAGAAAGGAGGCAGAAGCCAAACCAAAGGAAGAACCAGAGAAGAAGATGAGAGTAAGTGTACCTATATATTTTAACGTTTCCTATGCGAACTATATTACTGTTACACATTTTCATAGGTATTAGTAGTAATAAATAAAATAATAGTGGGTAATGTTTATTAGCTTGTTATAATAAACTTCTGACAAGGGTTCGAGTTTCAAGTTTTTTTTTGTTTAATATATCATTATTAAAACAGGACTAGAACCCCACCCTAAGGTAGAAAGAGTTGACATGTAGTGTTTGATTCTGGTTTATGTTTATTGAAAAGATGATTATTACAAATTACAACAGTGGCGGCTCGTGAAGTTTTCAGGCTCAAATTTGAAAAGCACTACTTTTTATATCTTTTATTATCTGAATAATTTTTTTCGTCATGCCCACGAAAAGAATACTCTTGCGTTGACGGATAAATTATATTGCATCGATTAATCTTTTCAATTTTCACCAACTTTCTCGTAACAGTTCTCCCTTTTATGAGCCGAATCTAAATTATTGGCAATGTTTTGCTTACCAAGCATTTCTAATTTAATCGAAGAAAATATGTGTTCCTGTGATTTTTCATGCCTTTCTATAGCTCGTGACAAATTTTGTAAATTATTATAGCCTGTTTTACCCCAAGCGGAAAATTTATCAGTTTATCACTTATAATAATACACAATTCCAACAGTATAATTTGTTTCTTAAAACCGAAGCCGTTAACTATTTAGTTTTATTATAATTATTTTCATGAAATGCTCTGTTTTGTTTCTAATTGTAACTGTCAATACCATTAATGGGAGTGATGGTGTTGGTCTTCCCTTTTATACCCTTACCTACGTAAAGCCTAAACACCACCACCACTGAACAGGGAGCTCGCGAAACCACCTCAATGTTTTTCCTACTTACACCCGATTGCTCCAACTAATAAGAAAGAGATAAAGTTATCTGCACGACTTGATCTGAAAAGAGATGAACTAGCCGGAGGCTAGCGGCTTGGAGCGGCTGTCCGATCAACGTTTTAGCCAATGCAATGCACACTGACGGTGCGTCAAGGTTACGGTCTCATTATTCAGATGCATCGTCGTTCGGAGGCTAGCGGCTAGCAAGCCTCTGCCGCTGAAACCAAACGCGGAGTGGTGTGAATGTGAATTATGATTGTGAGGGCGCAAATATAAATTTTTCCGACATTTCAACCTGATATATGATGAAAGTAAATGAAATCTAAGAAAATATTCTGAAAAATAACAAATGTCTACAAAAATATAAATTCTTTCATCAAAAAAAATTAGAGGAAACTCAGCTCCAAAAAATAGAGGAGGCTCAGCCTCCCCTGCCTCCTCTGAGGAGCCGCCACTGAATTACAATATAATGAACAATAAAATAAACCATGCGCATTTTTTTCAGAAAAAAGCTGATACAACTGAGAAAGCTTCAAAACAAGCAAAAGTAGATGAGGAAGCACCACCAAAGAAAACAACAAGGGTGTGTACTACTTTGGATTCACTTATACATGATAAATTATGTATGTGACATACCTATAGCTTAATTTTTCTATTTTAGGCCGGTGCCGCTAAGAAAGAAAAAATAACAAAGGAAGAGATTTTAGACGAAAATGAGACTGCAGTGGTGAAGAAGAAAGTTACTAGGTCTAAGAAAACAAAGGTAAGTTTTCAAATATGTAGCTCAACACTTACAGTCAGGGATAAAATAAAACATTTAAATTTTTAAAATGAATGCAGAAATAGTAATTGACGTTACGAGTCCGAGATAAGCCATTTTGTATTTAATCATAAAATAAATCGCTTCGTTAATTTTTAAAAAATTGAGGTCCCATGATGTTTTGCACATTTTAGGTAGGAATTATTTAGCAGATTTTGGAAAGGACGTCATCAAGTTTGTGTGTGAGCTAAAACATAAATTTTAACTAGTAATTTACCATGTTTAGAATAACCTTAAAACGTTCAAAAGGTGATGAAAATTTTTTATTTGGTGTCAAAAATCTGAATTTGGAACGTAAACAATAAGAGCGGATCGCATAAATCTAAAACTGTACTGTTTTATAAAATTTAAATAGCATTTACCTATAATATAGCAAAATTTTGAGATAACGTCATGAAATTTTTAATGGGGATGATAAGACAAATGTTGGCGAGCGTTTAACATCTACATGATATTGATAAAATAGACCTAAAAATTTAATAACAATCTAATAAAATTACCAACAAAGAGTGGAGACCCTTTTGATACTCTTGGAAACCTGAAATTAGTGAGTGGGCAAATGGACTATATTTGAGTTTTAAATGGAGCCTATTACAAACCTAGTTTAACGAGATCCAAAAGTTAAAAAAATCATTTTTATAATACGCCAATCAGAATTTTTCTATTCACATCTCAACACCATTTAAAGATTTTGGCAAAAAAAATCAAAATTATACTACATTTTAACTTTGAAACTGCAAAACCGAATGCTCTGAATTCTTGCAAACGTTTTAAGGTTATCATCAGCTTGATAAACCGTTAATCAAAATGTATCGGTTTATCCCTTCCCAACAAATTCATGACGTCATCTCAAAATTTTGCAGAGTGAACCCCATGTAAAATATGCAAAACATTATGAATCTTATAAACTCCTGGTTTGTCAGTGCATTAATATTTTTTAAAATTGCTTATACAGAGTGACTAAAAGAAAATCATTGGGGCAACTTATTTTATTAAGAAAATCAAGAACGGTATACCCCACTTCCCTGAAAATTTGAGTATACAGTACTGTTATTATTAGCACTACACTGAACACTGCTCCTGTTCAAACGTGTCGTTGCTAAAATGTCAATGACGTTATCACAAAATTTTGTTATGGAAATTCTCACTTGAAACATACGCATAGCGTGCTTATTTACCTGTAGTTTAACACTCCATACATGCGTTTATTTTAACTTGTGGAGATTATTATAAAAAAAATCAATTTTATAATTTTTCTAAAATGCCTAAATAACTTGGACCTTTTTTTTGCTTCGCGCCGCCGAGCACACCATCTTAAAAAAGATAAAGTGTTACCTAAACATCACAAATTGGAATTATTTTTATTTCAGGATGAAGACTTACCAGTGGAAAAAGTATTAGATTCGAAAAAAGCTACCAAATCTCAAAAATTAAAGGTAAGGTTTGTTCTCTCTGTGTCTGTCTGTCTGTCTGTTTGTCCGTCTGTCTGTTTTTTTCTGCTGCGCAGAAGTATAAAAGAAAAATTTTACAGAAAGATAAACCGACTGAAAAAGCTTCAGGCAAAAATGTGACCGTTCGGGTGAGCTTTAATTTCAATTAAATATTTTCTAAATTATATTTTTAATACACAATGTCCAGCGAGAGGTTAAACGAAATTACGTTAGATTTGGGAACATATCTGTTTCTGAAGTTTGTAACGATTAAATAAATTTTAGTAAATTTAATTGCACCAAAATAATCTATCGTTGGCATGTGTATGTCAAATAACTATTCGAGTTTCAAATTTGCAGTTTTTTTATATAAATGTGTATTAATTCAAAGGCCTTGGTAAAATATTGACGAGACACTGACTTGATATTAAAAAATAAAAAACGAATTGATACAAATTTTAGTACCATTCAAATTAAGTAACGTCCACAAACCCTGGAGGCAATCGATTTCGATGTTGACTTTCTTTTATATAGCTATAAAATTAAACATAACTAATTTTATGTATGATGCTAGGGTAAACAAGAGAAAAAAAATACAGAAGAATCTCAACAGACGGAAGAGGAAGAAGGTAAGTACTTACGAAATCTTTTCTTTTTTATATAATTGTGTGTGAAAGTTTCATGAATTGTTGTGCTATGACTATGGCTGAATAAAATTAAAGATTGATAATATCAATATCAATTTGATATATGTATTTATTTTGATTTATTGTAGCATTGAAAATATGTTATAAAAAATATGTGGGTAATTTCATAGCAAAATATATATATTTTTTGGTCTATTTTTTAACATAATTCAGGAGTCATGCAAGACATAAAGATGTATGTCTTGCCTTTTTTTTGCTAAAATACATTGCCATTTTTTCACAACTAGAAGCTTAAAACATGGTTAAAATGGTAAATTTGTATAGGGAAATATCGATTTTGCAATCACGCTCCGCCCCTCGGTTTCACAACAAATGAAAAATTTATCACGATTGAGATCGAGACGGATGGGTGGAGCTTCTCTTTAGGTTTTCTTTTTTCATTAATACATTTAGTTTTCTTTGTATAACACGATTACTTAAGAACATATTGCATATGGTAATTTCTCGTAGAAAAATTAGGATTTTACAATTAAGCTCCGCCCCTCGGCTCACGACGAATAAAAGAAATCATCAGAATTGAGATAGGGCGGGTGGGCGGGGCTTATATTTTGCCTTTTTTTTTTCGTAATATACATAGCCATTTTTTCACAACAAGAAACTTAAAACATGGTTGAAATAGTACATTTTTCAAGAAGTATGGATTTTGCAATTATGGGGCGGAGCCTAATTGCAAAATCGATGTTTTCTTATAGAAGTTTTCCATCTGAAACATGTCCCAATTGTGATGATTTTTTTTATTCGCCGAGAACGAAGGAGGCAGAGCTTAACTGCAAAATATTTATTTCTTTACAAGAAATTGAAAACTTGTTTTGAGTATCATGTTGTTCAAAAAATACTATGTATACTATATAAATTGATGTGCCAAAATCTTATTATGAAAATTTTTCTTTTACTGACTTCATCATTAAGAAAATGCTTAAATCCCCATATCTTATTAACAAATAATTTTGTTTAACTGTGTTATATAAAATTTTCATTCAACTTGTATTTTCTTTCACAAGTAAGTATATATTTGTCTTTAACGTTTATAAATCTATTTGGTGAATTATATTGCTAAACATGCATTTTCTTAATAGATAGATACATAGATAAATGGTATTTAAATACTAATAACTTCTAGACAGTGTTGTCGTTTCACATATTAGTTTTTAAAAGGACAGAAGACAGAATGTTACCAAAACTTTTTGTTATAAACTAACCATATCATTATAAAAGCACACATTTTCTATATACTTCAATTAAAAGTAGGATAAAGCAACATTTATGCTATATATTGTTTTTTATAAACCCAGAACACAGTTATCCATTTTGCAGAAAAAAAAAATCTTAGTGAATAATTGAATTTAATTTTAAAAACGATAGTAATGTAATTACATTACAAAAGTTATTTAGAATTGTTAGATAATTTTAGAAAAACTAAAAGTTTGCAACTTTTATAAGCTCAAATGGTTTTAAGAAAATCCAAGATATATACACCATGTGCAGATTTTCTGTATACGTTAAATTTTAACATTTAGTTATATGTACCTTTTAATTTCAACACATAAACATATTGCGTGTAAATTAACACAAAAATTATACTGAAGTACAATAACTGTTTAAACAAGTTTTTTTTTTTTTTTTTTAATATGACAATTCATTTAAACAATGACTAAATTTACAGGTGCAAAGAAAGGAAAAAAACGGAGGGGAGCAGTAAAAGTAGAAAAAAACGAATCTAAAGATGAACCGCCAACCAAGTTAACAAAAGCCAATGCGACAGTCACTACTTGGGAAACTATCGACTTCAAATGTGTTTCTAAAAATTCTAAAGGAGAAACGTCAAATTTTCACATCACTTCGTGGAATGTGGATGGATTGAGAGCCTGGGTGAAGAAGGGTGGTTTAAATATTTTAGAATATGACAAACCCGACATATTTTGTATGCAAGAAACGAAATGCAGTGCCGAAAAATTACCTGAAGAAGTGAAAACTCTCGAAGATTACGAAGTATTTTGGTGTTCCAGTGACAAAGAAGGATATGCTGGAGTTGGCATTGCAACAAAGATCAAACCTATTTCCGTAAAGTATGGCATTGACTCGGAAGAACATGACACCGAAGGTCGTTGTATTACTGCGGAATATGAAACATTCTTTTTAGTTAACGTATATGTGCCAAATGCAGGTTAGTGTTGTTTTATTGTACTTCTATTATTATACATAACTATAAAATTTTAAGGGCGAAAATTAGTAACTTTACCAAAACGTTTAGATTGGAATACGTCTTTTAAAGCGCATATTAAAAAACTTGATGAACTTAAACCGGTGATAGTATGTGGAGACATGAATGTATCTCACCTAGAAATCGACTTAGCAAATCCTAAATCGAATACGAAAAATGCCGGTTTTACCGAAGAAGAACGAAATGGTATGACGGAGTTTCTGCAGGATGGATACATTGATACTTTTCGGAAACTCTATCCAGATAAAGAGAAGGCGTACACTTTTTGGACTTACCTATCAAATGCAAGATCTAAGAATGTTGGATGGTAAACTTAAAAAGCGTGATTGTCGTTACCTACATAAACATAAAATTTTCGTTTCAGGCGTCTTGACTACTTCATTGTTTCAGAGAGGTTGATGGAACATGTCTGTGACAATATTATTCACAGTCGTGTGTTAGGTTCGGATCACTGTCCGCTTACTTTACATATTAACATTTAATGTTTGTATCTCTTACTTTTCTTTTTTAATTTAAAATAAAGAGTTTGAATATTTTATGTTGAGTAACGTTTTCAGCCGACCTTATAAAAATCACACATAGACTGGCGCATGCGTGCTAACGAGTTTCATCTTTTTACAGTTTCGATATGCGATGATGCGAATAATCAGAAAACAACTAAACAAAATTAAAGTAATCTGATATTGGATGTGATATTTCACCAAAAAATAACCTAAAGTTACCACGTTAGAATAATTACGAATATTCCATGTTACGAATTGTCAAGTCATTATTTTAGAGAACTACGGATAGCACAAGCAAGTGTAATACTTGAAAACCCCCGACAAGAAAAAACCTTAAAAAGTCTGACATTGCTTAAAGGCGGCCATACACACAGAAGGAAGACTGCGCAGTTAAAAGTGTGCACGCTTGTCTTAAGTTAAACCCGTACTCTCTAATTGCACACACACACTCATGCTTTCCCGTCAGTTCTGTAGCAAATGTGCATCGCTATGCTAACGAAAAAAAATTGTAAAATAAGTCAAATGTCATTTTAAATACGGCGCTAATGAATTAAAACTCAAGCGTGCAGCGACTTGTCTCCACATACACTGAGTTTTCTAAAAAAATAGAGGGCGGGTGCGCGAGGCTAGTACTTGATAAGATAAGACTGATTTTGGTAAATGACTGAACAATATTAAGAGTAATCACTGGAATGAAATTACTTGTTTATAAAAGACTCTGTAGAAAAAAGTTAAAATCATAGTATACATTCTAGGAGTGAAAATTCCTGCTGATGACAATCTACCCGTGTTTTCACACGTCGACATTAAATGCGTTTGGTCGTGGTAACATCGTTCCGGATGAGTGTTTTAAGATGGACGCGAAAATGTCTTCACTTGGAAACACATTATCAATTATGTCAACGAGCCGAAAGCAATTAAAACAAAATGACTGCCAACGGTTATTAAGGCATGAGCCTAATTACTAAAGTTTCCTTGCATTGTCCCGCCAAATTACGTATTGTGCGGTCGCCATTGTATAGAATGACTAAGGTTCGGATATTATGCAAAATGCATATTTTTGCATATTCTGCATATTTAACTATTTTTTGCATTTTCGTGGTAATTGGACGGGTTTTTCCAAGACTTCATTTATGGGCACCCCCAATTAGACGTGTTACTGGAATTCTTTACTTAACGGCCTCTTCAAATTGAAACAGAAAATTCATGTGGATATAAAAATAGGAGTTATAAGCCCAGAAGATCACATTACCACATTATAGTGAAATTTTTATTGTGTGTATAAAATACGACAGTTCTACAAGTTGATACATTGGCCTGTCCAACACTTCATATGGTTTTCCTCGAAAAAATCGAGATACTATTTTATTATTAATTTTATGGATCAAACGGGGGTTCGAAGGGGATTAACCATCAAAAAAAAATGTTTTAAATCGGAAGATACTTAGGGCCGGTTGCATAAACGCAAATCAAATTTAATCTCTGATTAAGAACAATTGTAACTATGATAATAACAATCGTTACTATGGAGTTAATCAGAGATTAAATTTGATTTGCGTTTATGCAACCGGCCCTTAATGTTTTGTAATTGTGGCTTTTAATTTATTGAAACCGTTTAAACAGTGTGCTAAAATGTAATCTTTTCAATTCCTGGTAACTCAACATGATGCATGACCCCATTGTTATGGTTACGGTGTTACGACTTTAAATATACTTATGTTTCATTAAAATCATGAAAGCACAAAAATATTGTGCATGCTTTATTTAGGTACTGTATCTTCCTAGCTTTTACAATTTTTAATATTAATAAATTAATGTTCACTTTGTTTTTGGTCAGCATGTAGTTTACCTAAGTCCGTTTCTTGGATTGCTCCAGTTTCTTGTAACAATTCCAATTTGTCTTTAAAGTACTCTCTAAACCACAACACATGCTCTTTTTTGGCTTCAACTGTCAAGTATGGATTTTTTGAGAGTCCAACACACACCAACTCCATAAAGTGTCTTATAGGACCCTTAAGTGGACACCACGGCTCTAAATGTTTTTCCAAAAATACGTGATCAGTAAAGTACACTTTTTTCTCTTCTTCGAGACCTATAAAAAATAATGAAACCTCAACATGCAAAGACAAGTAAAATGTAACCTTGTTCATTATCTATAGGAAATTTCCAAATTTTCTTTTGCTCAGTCCACAAAATCATTTGTTGAAAATAATTACTTGGTGGGTGAGTAACAGCCAATTTCAAATCTTTATCATACAAATGATTCCAAGTTTTATTTACAACTCCTTCTGTTAAATCATTCTGATTGGGTGAAAAAATTCCCAATGGTTCACTTCCAAATAGACTAATTTTCTCAACAACCCTGTAATCAGAAATCTGTAATAATGAACAACAGAATTGACCTCTTTTTCTTACACATCTCTTTTAGGAGACTTAGCACTTTTTGATCTAGGTTTTGCCATGTCTCCTTTTCTTCTAGGTGCTTTTGACTGCTCCTGCAAAATTTGTCTAACTTGTTGTGCTTTGGAAAGGCCTGCCCCTTGTGCACTTTCTTGATCAATTTTCATTCCTTTCACAAGATCCCTACAAACTTTGATTACAATTTGCGTGACAAAAAAAATAACGAACTGACTTTAAATTTGTGTTCACTGTTGCATCGCCATTGGCCACATTCAAAAGTTTCATTAATAGTTCTGACTGGGTTTGTTTTACATCACCTCCAATTGATTCAGCCACGTTATTTGCAGCATTCACAAGTGTTTCTGCAGATATATTTTTCATACCACAAAATGCATAAATTATAAATTTGTTACCTGTTGGTGTTGCCTTTGATTCTTTGAAATCTTGCTTTTCACGAAGTTTTTTTTGTCGTTTATTGGTAGGCTGAGCCAAATTCAGTTTAGTTTTAGAAGAAACATCGTCCTAAAAATCACCATTTGATAAATACTACAATCAATGTATACTTATACCTCTGTCATTGTTAAAAGAAGTTTATTTAGCTTGTCCAGAGCTTCTTTACTCTTCTTTTTTTCTTCTACTTTTTTCTGAAGTTTAGTATCATCGTCTGAACTGCTACTACTACTAGTACATAACGAGACTTTTTGTAATGTTCTGTGACGAACATTGTGAAACGTGTTTTTAATGTTGTTGGGGAGATGCCTGTAACATGTAATTTTAAACATTGGGAAACTCGAAAGATGTATGGTATTACCACGTTATGAGATATATTCTACTCATTTCGGCCTTGTATATCCGGTCCAATATTGTGTAATAAATTACATTAGTTCATTTTCTGTTTTGTAAGCACAGAATTTGTAAGGTTAATTTTTTGTGGTTAGTTTCCTCTTGGACCTCTTTTGGACTGTTCCGAAATTTTGAATCTTACATCTGCGCATGAGCACAAATATGAAGTTGAAGTTATGACGCATTTGCATTTTTGAAAATTTAATGTGTATAAGGTTACATTATTAATCAAAAAGTTAAGAAATAGCTGCTCGCTGATCGCCAAAAAATAAAGAAAACGACAGTCGACACATGTCCTCTGATCACTGTTGTATTTTTAAGAATATGGAGGCACTGTTAAAAACACGATTAAAAGTAAATTCATTCATTAACAGATTTTGACAGTTTGGTTAATTTTTTGACAGTTGACGCCTACATCACATCCACATCTGACAGAAGAAATTTTTGCAAAATTAATTAAAAAAGTTTCACTTTCATTCTACTGTTATATCATGTATATTTTTATGTATCGTAAATTTGTACAAAACCATTCATAGCATATTTACCAAATATTGATTGTGTTTCGTGTATCAGTGAAAAATTACTCAGAGAAATGTTATTTTTAGTTCAGTGTTACAAGTGATCGTTAAGAAGTTCGCAAATTTGGAAATACTGTGATAACAAGAAATTTGGTACCATGAACAACCGACCCAAGTCAATATTTAGAGATTTATATTACCTTCCCTATAAAAATAATTCTTTTAAAATATCAAATAATGCAAAAGGTAAAGTGAGTAGTGTTTTTTAATTATGGAATAATAAACTTTGTGTACTAGACGACGGAGATCTCATTCAACGACTGGGTCTACTAAAAAAATTGGAAATTCACCAAGGCTGTGTAAATACAATTTGTTGGAACAGTACTGGAGAATACATTCTTTCTGGATCAGATGATCAACATTTAATAATAACAAACGGTCACACTTATAAAGTAGAGTCAAACTACTGTACCAGTCATCACGCAAATATATTTAGTGCAAAATTCTTACCTTGTTCTTCAGATAAGCAAATTGTGTCATGTTCTGGCGATGGAATAATTTTACATACAGGTAATTAGTTGTGTTGAGCATAGATTTACTGATCGCATGCAATCTTGTTATTACTAGACCTAGAGGATACAAAAAACACGTATTATAACCAATTTAGTTGTCATGCTGGTACTACATATGAGGTTATTACAATTCCTAATGATCCACATACTTTTTTAAGTTGTGGAGAAGATGGTACCGTCCGCTGGTTTGACCTGAGAACTAAAACAAGGTAGGAAATCGCAATATTTTTTTAAATAGAAATGCAAGTTGATTGGTTTAAGCTGTCGGAAACAGCGTTGTAGAGACGACATTTTAATTACATGCCAGCGAGCAGTGACTGCTCTTGCTATAAGTCCCACAGCGTCTCATCAGTTAGCTGTTGGGTGTGCAGATTCTACAGTTCGGGTATATGACAGAAGGTGCTTGACAACTAATCTTGAAGGTTAGATGTACGACAATAAGCAGCACTTTGTTAAATCTACATTTTATTTTCTGTAGAAAACGCAAAAGCACGGCCTTTCTGTAGTTTTATTGCTCCAAACTTGGAAGATAGAAGATATAGAATTACATCACTAAGTTATAGCCAAGATGGTCAAGATATGCTAGTCAGTTATTCTTCCGATTATCTGTATTTATTTAGGATACAGGTAATGTGACCATAAAATGTATAAGTTTTTTGTACTTTTAAACTTTTACACTTTTTCTTAAGGAAAATCGACTAACAGAATTAAAAAAGCCCGTTAAAACGTCTCCCTGGGAGAGAGTTAAAATGTTAACAGGGAAGCGGGAACGGGTAAATAATTCACCTCCTCATGTCCGCAGATTGAGGCTGAGAGGTGATTGGTCAGACACAGGACCAGACGCACGCCCCGAGAGAGATACCACGACAACTGTTAGTAAGTGAAATTGTATACATTTATTTTATGAAAATTAAATTAATACATTTAGGTATTGGTCAGGCTAGGCCTCAGCTACATGCTACTTTAATGCAACGAATGACCGACGTTTTATCACAAATGTTGAATGATCCTATGACTCGGGCTGCACTGAGTGCTGGAGGGGAGGATTCACTGGATCAAAATGAAGGACAGCAGAATAATACGTCAGCGCAAGGTGAAAATGCACAAAATCAAAATGAAGGGGAGCCTGGACCAAGCAATTCTGAAAGTGTAGCTATGGACACTGCTGCCCCTGAAACTAGCAGGTGATTTTTTTATATTGTTATATTTATGATCACGACCTGCTAGATAAAGACTCACTACACTCACTACACTTGCGCAATTGCGCAGTATGACGATTTATCACATAATTGCCGAAAGTGATGAAGTAAAAATCTGTTCCAAATTGGGTCATCGAATTTAGGCAACACACATTGCATGTTAGTGATGGGTTTTCTTACTCTATTTTTTCTCCTCATTCTTTTAATATGGCAATGTGTCCCATAAAAGAGTAAATAATCACAGGAACCATCAACTTTAAATATAGAAAATACTCAGCAAAAAAGAAAGACAATAAAAATTTAAATATGATGCAGTAATAAAGTATAGGATGTTCTTTTTGAAAAAACTGAAATATCGATATTTGAAAATTTTAATAATTAAAACATGTTTTATAAACACTCGGTATACGAAAATGTAATCTCATTTATATGACAACAGAGCGCGTACCCTTCTTTATCTCTCTACAAAATATTATAACACAGATTTTAAAAATAACCCTACTGTGATTTTTCGTGAACCCTTCCATAGAAAAACAAAAATCAAGAAAATTGGAATAACGTGGGTGGCAATGTCGCACCGTAATTTCAAAAATAAAGTGTGGTTGTAAAGCCTAAGAGGAGGTCATTCAAAATATGTAAAGGTGCTTCATTTAAAAAAAAACTAAGTTGTGTGTTACGCCTTAAAAAAAATATTGTATAGATAAAGATAATTTTAGAGTATAATCTTCAAAGAACCGTACAATTTTGGTCTTTGACTTTTTTTTTATTTCTAATAATTAACGAGATTCGAGGAACGCGCGCTTAGTGACTCATCTGTGTACTGACGATGACGCATGAGAATGAGAAAATTTTTCATTTATTCACCCAAAGACAAAATCCACAAAGAGTAAAAGTCAGTTATATATACAGGGTGAGTTACTAAGCGCGTACTCCTCGATACTTTGCTAAATACTAGAAACAGAAAAAAGTCCAAGATTTTAAAATTGTACAATTCTTTGAGCACCATATACCAAAATTATTTTCAACTATAGAAAGTGTTCAGTTTTTAAGGCGAAACTCTTAGTTTTTTTAAATGGAATATCCTATATATTTTTTATGCATTCTAATTGACCTTTTCTTAGGTTTTATAATCATAGTTTATTTCCGAAATTGCGATGCGAAAATGACGGTAGGATTATTTTTAAAAATCTTGGTTACAATATTTTGTTGACAGATAAATAAAATCGGGTTTTAATAGTGTTTCTAAAAAATAAATTATGACAATTTTCAAATATCGATATTTCATGGTCTGTCAAAATCCGTAAAATTATCTTGCAATTAAAAAAAAATTGGGTGAAGGTTACTTTGACAGACCTTCCCTCGTCCAGTAGTTCGACATTTCTTTATAAATTTGCAATTTTCGATTTGTGATACACCCAATATATTTAAAGTAAAGCATATAACCAACGGGGAAAAATGTAGATATTCTCAATCTCTCAGTCCATGCTTAACTGCAACTGTTTATGTTTATATTTCGAAGGAATTCAACTATCAGCTTACCCGATTATTCAGATTACAAGCATGAGCGGTTAAAAGAAAATTAAATTTGATTGATTTTATCTCCTCGATGCAGAGGAAAGAATTGATTAATTAATTAACCACACTCAGTTTTTTTTTTTTTTTTCAAAAACACTCAAAAATTTGAAAACATTTATTCGGTAAAAAAGATGACGGAAAAATTTTGATTAACGATTTACCATTATTACATATTATTTCACAGCATTCGATTTTTGCAATTTCAAAGTTAAGTTATAGAACTTAGTTATACAATTTTGATTATTTTCACAAAAATCTGGATTCTAAGGGCAAAAACTAAACACGAATTCGTAAATCACATTTATACAGGAATATCTTATTTTATAAAATTTAAAGAATTTTTAAATTTTATAAGAAATTTTAAGAATTCGCCATAATTGTAACTATTACTATCATTTTTTGGGGAGGCCATAAACGAATAAATTTTTAGGGGAGTATTAACTTTGTAAAACCTTAAAAAGTTTGCAAGATTTCGGAGCACTCAGCTTTGCAATTATAAATTAAATTGTAAAGTGCAATTTTGAATTTTTTCCCAAAAATCTGGATGTGTAGGGTAAAGACTCAATATGAATTCTTAAATCACACATGCAAGAGTACATAATTCCACAAAATTGTAAAATGACGTCTCATTTGTTAAGGGGGTATAAACAAAAAAAAAAGATTAACAATGCAAGTTAAATTGTAAAATGTTGTTATTTTTCTCAAAAATCTGGATATCTGGGGTAAAAACTGGACACGGATTCATAAATTACACATGTATGTATGTATTTATGTATTCGGCATAAATGAAAAAAAAAAATTGATTAACGATTTACCATTATTAGATCACCTTAAAACTTTTGCAAGATTTCAAAGTATTCGGATTTGCAGTTTCAAAGTTAAATTGCAAAATGTTACTATACAAATTTAATTTTTTTTCCAAAAATCTGGATGTCTAGGGTAAAAACTTAAGACGGATTCATAAACCAATGTGCAGGATTTTATAAAATTTAAATGATATTTACTAGTGTAAATGATAATTTCACAACAATAGGTCCAGTAGTTTCGGAGATTGTGTCTAATAATAATAAATATCCGGACAGACGGCAGATGGATTGACGGACGGACGCAGAGGCGGACAGAAACGAGAGATCTATTTTTTCGTACTCTCGGGGTCATGAAACGTCGAGAAAAGATAAAACTAGCGAGTCGTCCAATGGACTCTATTACAGTACTTCTTTAGTTTACGCGCAGAAAGTAAAAATATAGGTTTGCGCCGCGATGCCCACGCCATGTATGCGTCATATTTCCACTGTACTAAATTAAGCTTCTCGCTTCAAGCTAAAAACAATGGCGTTTACAAAATTTCAATCCGTCCTCAAGATATAAGGCCGCGGAGTTTTAACTGGAATACCTGCATATGTGTATCTAATCATAATAATAATTGTCGTAACTTTGCTAGTTCCGAGCTTTGAGGAAAAAGTAAATAGGTACATTAATTTTTTGTGACATCCTGTGTAAGTTTGGATTTTTTTCAATGGATCTAACAAATTTTTGATATGATGTCTTATTTCCAAAAGATAAGTAAATAAAATTTAGTTAATGTTGTGGTGTACAATATGTATGTGGATTTAAAAATCGAGGTGGGTTATTATTAAATTATAGAAATTTATTTAACAATAGTGTAAGATAACGTCATGTAGGGAGTGAATAGACAAATTTTGACTTGTGTATTATTCTTATTAATTGTTTACGATGTACGCAGGCTCGTTTAAAATTTCAAAGCAATTATTTTGAAATTTAAGAGACGAAAACAACAAATGCCATTTTACATTTCACAAATTTTAAAATGAAAAATCATGGAATTAAAATGCCTTTTTTAGAATATTTCCCTTAGCCATTGTTTGAGCAGTAAAAATAAAAACAGATATAAATTAAACCGGATTATTGAGTATCGAGTGTTTCAGAAGCACGTTTTCGTCAGTCCATACTTATTATCTTAGTATTATTTATTAATTTATATTACTGTAGAGTGTAATTATGTAATGATACAACGGTTTACCATCGAACGCCATCCATCTATATGTGACTATAGTTGGTAAAGGTTAAGTGTGCAGTAAAAAACTGGAAATAGAAATGTTTAATTTGCCTGTAATTTGATGACAAGCTTGTCCTTATTACGTCTGAAGAAAAACAATACAATAAATTAATTTTTTTTTCAGTACCTATTTAAATAACAAATGAACATTTATTTATTTATATTAAACAGGAATTCAGCGTAACGCTTTATGGCAACTACAGGTCCTGAAATGCTAGAAAAATGTGCAGAGCAGACTTTAATTTTAAACAGCTGTATTTCCCCGTGTGCTCTTCATATCAATAGCACCAACTACTGTAAACTAACTTTTACAAACTATACAGCTATTGATTATAAATCCTCAGAAAGAGGGGCACATAAAATCGGTTGTATTGTTGACGATTAAACTAGCCCGTAACAGTCTCAATACATCTAGCAGGTCGTGTTTATATTAGATGACTAAAAAAATATGTTTGAATAAAGTGAAGGACAGTCTGAAAGTAGTCAAAACGCCAACGAAAGACAAGGAGAGGGTTCTGCCTGTGTAACAAGTTTGTATAGTCATTTAACAACACTCCGAAACTTGAGAGAGGGTTTCATAGAGCAACATGGTTCGGAGCCTTCAGTTAGTTTGAGATATTCTCAACAGAGTACAGCAAATGCCACAATTAGTTTACGAGTTGGTGATGAATTCAATAGAACGAATTTTGAAACATCACGAAATGATGCCTCATCAGTGCCTTCGACCTCACAAACTGAGCAAACAAACATCAAAACCTCGTCTTCGCTACCAGAAGATGGATCAGTAATTACTCGCCATCTTCCAAAATCTAGTCATTCAAAAGAATTGTTTTAGAATTCAGATATTGATTTTGATGATTATGAAGATGAATTCTCTCCTGAGTCGTATAAGAAGACTGACACCACAAATACATATGAGGCAGAAATGAAAGTTAAGTATGTCGGACATCGAAACGCTCGGTAAGGGTTTTTGTCATGTTTGATAGTTATTATTGTAATGTGTTGTAGAACTATGATAAAAGAAGCTACTTTTTGGGGTAACGATTATGTAATGTCAGGATCAGATTGTGGTCATGTTTTCGTTTGGGATAAAAATACCGCAAAATTAAGAATGTTATTACAAGCTGATCAGCACGTAGTTAATTGTTTGCAACCTCATCCAACACTGCCACTTCTTGCAACCAGTGGAATAGACCATGATGTAAAACTGTGGGCTCCAATTCTCGAGGAGCCTGGCTTTAATGTAAAAATGGCCGAAGATGTAAGTTTTCGTCAAAACTCATACAAATGTTGAAAAAGTTGAAACCTCCACTTCTAGTTAATTAATCGAAATGCGATAATGTTGGAAGAAACTAGAGACACTATAACAGTACCTGCAGCTTTCATGATTAGAATGCTGGCCTGTTTGAATCAAATTCGTCGAGGGGCTAGAGCGAGGTCTAGACGTCAAGAGGATGAAGATGAAAACAGTTAAATTTTCTTCATTGTATATACATTATTAACTGCTAACATACCATAGTTGTCAGAGATAATGTAGAGAATATTCATTCATTTCCATTTCACCGAGTTGGATTGTTCTGAAATTTAACCGTTTTAACATCTTTTTGACAATGACATATTTAATTTCTTAATATATTTTATCGTTTTCCATCATTGTAAATCATTCATCAAAGCTCCAGTGTTTGGATTTGATTTAAATGTTCTCTGTATTTACTGCGTTATTTACCCTAATATTTAATTAGTTAATATTAAATTATTATTACAATTAAAATATTTTTGTGCCTTGTTCTAAAATGCAAGAAGACTTACGGGAAAATTAACTACTTTAAATGAAAACTTCCGATTTATTACATATAAGAACAGTTTTGACCAACTGGAAAAACTAACAACTGGAAGCATCTTCCATGACTTTTCTAGCTGCGTAAGCTAATATCTATGATGTCTAAAAGTTGGACGGTTCTAAAATTTTTTTCAATTTTGATAAGTAACATGGTTTTAGCATGAAGTCAACTTGAAAGTGCAATGAAAATAAGAAAACCAGATACTGGAAACTACTGTAGTCTATTCAATTTGCGAATTAAGTAATTAAATGTATAAATATGAACCGAAAATCACCAGGGTCTGAAAACTTATGCGTAAAGATAACGTCAAAGGTAGAAAAATCCCACAGGACAGAACGAGAACCAAAAACTGTATTGGCTAAAATATATGTATATACATAACTCTTAAATAGGAAAAGTAATAGCAGTATATAGCGTCTCCTAATAATACATTACATAAGCACAAGTGCATTCGCAGTTTAATACTCTACAGTGGAATTAAAACAACATTATAAACAAAACATTTATTTTTCCCATAACACAATTGTGTTTAACAATTTTAAATTTATTGAACTAAACTACTCTAATCTAGTATCACCCAACAAATTATTTTTAACAACAAAATTTGACGTACATTTTTTTGGGTATATGGAGTTGGACTATTTATTTTCTTTGTCAAAATGAGCTTTTTGGCAAAACAATCTGGTCCAAATCTAGACATTAATGGACTCCTTTGTCTATAAGGACGAAAAATAAAATTACCGTTCATTTATAAAATGATTGTTGATCATGAATGAACTCGCCATCACCATTTATTTCAGGAATTATGAATAAACATTTACTTACATGGGTTTCCGCAACAATTCGTGCGACAAATAATTTCATAACGCCAAAAATTGAACAAATAGTAATGGAACATCAATGACCCCCATTAAATTTCAGCATGCTTTAGTTCTATTGAAAATGTAATGCCGTTCTATTGTACCACCTCATACGTAAACCTCACAAACAATTTTAAATAATAAATAATCACAGCTGAAAGACGTTTGTACATTTTCTTAAAATACTTTTAACTTATTTATACATTTTTATACTAGATATAACAGCCTAATATAATAATCAGATTTAACGACAAAAAAAACACAATGTGCAAACTAGTTTATTTGGTACAAGACTAGTACCGATATTTCTAGATTTGAGGACATTAAAATTTCAATAGAATTATAAGAAAGTACGGCTCATGCACCACCAAGATGAATGTTCATAAATATTTTAAAGTTCGACTTAATACTTAGCTTAGCGTGTAGGTAGGGATATGCGTGCTATTTTATTATATAGTGTGGAAACTACAAATCTTTATTGTAAGAATAAACCCTGTGGTTTGAAAACAAAAATCTATTTTATAAAAATTAAACTTTATTCACTTGTTTGTGATAATCAGTTAATGGGCCGTCCTTTGTCTTTCTTTTTTGTATTTTCAACAGTATTTTTAAATGTTAACAAAATTGGTGGGTATTACCATTTTAGTATTAGTATAGATAGTACATAGCTCGTTTTATTTGTTAACAATACTACTAAAAAGTATAAAGTCAGTGGATTTGTAGCAACAGTAAAAGTAGTAGTAGTAGTAGTAGTGACTATTTATACAAAGTACGTATGACGTCAGATCTTAAGAAGCACATCACAAACAAATGAACAACAAAATTAATCTAGGTGTTTTTTTTTATAGAATATTTATTAATTTTGAAATTGTGATATTTATTCCCACACTATATACGCCTTAAGTGGTGAACTGTTACTTAAATGATCGTAATATGCTTGAAACTGAGAGAAACGTGGCAAGCAAACTATTCTTAGAACGACACAGGTACTCCATACATATTGTGTTTCTACTTCAGTTTCATACTTAACACTAATTAGACGATTGAGTAAATGGAAGGTAAAGTTGTTTAACGTTTAACTTTTATTTTTAGTTCAATTATTATAAACAACTGAATACAGTACAATACACTAATAAATGTTATTGTTATTTCTTTCTTTATGTGTTAGGTATTTACAAAGTTATACCAACAGTTAAAAAAATTGACTTAACTCATTTTAGTTGCTTACCCAACCTATAACTGTATATTACTAAGATCAAAGTTACTTTTTTGAGGCATATTATGAATTTTTATTTTCTGATCTAATATTTTCTTGAAATTGTTTAAATATACTTACTATAAATAATTGGTTAAATTTACTGTACAACTTGGCAAGTTATTAATATTATTTCTACACTTGGATATAATCTACTGTTACTAAAAATGTCAAGATAGTTTAGTTAAAATTGGTGTACGTTATGTTGTAAACTTAATGTTATTTTATTTTTTAATTCCGGTCATAACAGTTTGGGGATACATAATAATAATACTTAAGTCCCAAAACTAAATAATTTAACTCTAAAATTCAGAGTCATAGCATTAATGAATGTAGTTTTGCTTATGAAACTATTGGTACGTACGTTTAATATGAAAAATAAATCCAAAGTGGTGTATAAACATCTTAGGAAATTTTATTAATAAAAATTCTTTTCATCAAGATATAAATATTAAAAATATTTGAAGTGAGTGAGATTTAATCTGAAGCATTATGAGAAAAATAATACAAGTTGCTTCTTTTCTAATGTTAAAAACTATTGGCAAATTTTGATGGTGCAAATACGTCGTTAAACAATTGACTTTCGGTGTGCACGCAAACAATTAAGCTAAATGAATGGAATAAGTCCGACTGGTTTGAAAATTGGAATATCGACTGTCTTTGGACGGGTAGGCTCGGGGATTCCCAACAGCATTACCATGTAGAGTCGGTATAGTGTAGCGGAAAGAAAAAATAATGCATTTACATATGAATTTCAAAATATCTAATCAGAATCAGATATGATTTTTTTCCTTGAATTGAGATATTTCTGTGCTACATTTCCATAGTTTTTAAAATAAGGGAATTTATTTTCATCCAACTACGGTTTGCTCAAATTTATTGCAACAGAAAGTTCCTACATATATGAAATAAATTACACATGCGTGTCAAATATTAAAAACCGCAGATCAACTAATTAATTATAAAAATGTCAAGTAATAAAAAGGAATTTACAGTTTGGGGTTGCAAATTTTTACAACATTAGTAATGTACCCATGCAATGATCCACGAGACAGGATCTTAAAAGAAAAGTATGATTGTAGTATGATTCACTATACCAAAATGTTCATAAACAAACTGATATAACATTAAGGTTTCAACACAACCCTACCAGATGCGGTGAAACGCGTGTAACATAAAAACATTTTTAGGTTTTGTGAGTTAATAATCCTAACTGGTACATTAAACTGTAACAGCGCTTGAGCACTCGTCTGTGGCATTAATCCATTACTGGCTAACCATTCAGTAAACAGAAAATTCTTTACCTATTTTGCCTACGTACCACTGAATATGTTCTAGTGAATGGTTAACTTTCATGCAAATGGTATAAATAATCAGTTAATGGGCGGTTACTTAGTTACAACCATTGGCAAGACACAAGAATCAATGAAGAACCAAAAGGGTTAATATTTCATGCATCTTCTGGTTCGAGTAAATGTTGTGCCTCAATACTACCATGAAAGGTCTGAGGAAATCGCTTGTTTAAGGCAGCAGTGGTTGTAATGCTTTGTTGTCTTTTAATCATCATTAATGTAAGTACTGCTGCGCAACTGATTAATATTAGAGCAATGACAATGCCCCCTGCTAAAAATGCAAAGATTTTGTTAACATAAGCAGATTCTTCAAACAGTGAAATAGAAATTACGGGCTATTAGTACCAAGCACTAAAGTACTTACCAGTAATGGTGAGAATAGTTGTTAAAGAGTATTTTCCATTGCTTCTAGCTAGAAACATATTTGCAATGTTGGCTACCGTTCCATTGTTTTTTGTTGGAGCTATTTCAAGTATTTCACAAAATAAGTTGAATAAGTCAACTGTATTAAAAGGTGACACTTTGTGATTTATCTTAATCCTTGGGCCTCTCACCATAAAAAATGGATGCATTTCTTTCTCTGTATAATCATATCCATGAACACCAAATGTTGACTGATTAGTCACTAAAAGAAATTGTAAGTAATATTTGTGTACTGATAATATAAACTACCTTTTAAATTGTATTTAGCTGCACCTTCTGTAACATAATGTATTAAATCATCAAGCCCATACCCCACATTGGCCATTACCAAAATAGGAGGACTTCTGCGATTTTTTTTGTAATGCCAACGCTCTGGATATTCATCCTTTTTATATACAGTAAAACGGCCATCTTTTATTGAAGCATTTTTCAGTTTTTGATAAACTTCATTTTCAAACCCTAAAAAACAACTGGTATTTGTTCGTTCAGTAAATATAACAATCAATACCTTTTTTTGGATGAAACTCTAAAAGTGGGCTTGAACCTGCATAATTATAAGTGTTTGGTGTTAAATGTTGCGTCACATTAACAAAATTTGTAGGTTTAACGTCTACCATACCATGGTCACTAAGGTGTACAACATGAACTTTTTCTTTTAAGTGATTCACTTCTAATTGTTGCTGAAAAACGAATTTTTGTATGATGGTGTAAAAATATATATAAAGTCATTTACTTCCAGATACTGACTAATATTGTCTAGTTTTTTTATTAAACCATCTACAACATTTGAAGTTATACCATAAATATGTGCATCTGTATCTGGTTCTTCAAAATAAACCATCACTAAATTAGCAGGTTGTTTTGGGTCTTTCAACCAACTGATTACCTGCAGTTATAAAATTTAATAAAAACTCTGTTACCTAGCACGCATTTTACCATGTCTACACGTTTAAACCAATCATATTGGTGATCATAATCTTTACAATACGTAATATTTTTTGCTTGGTAAGGATAACATCCACCAGGCCACATCATCGCTCCAGAGTGCCTGTTACCTCCTGAATCCTCGTTCTTTCGCCAAATCGGCACAACACTGTCATCGTAATGAAACATATCATAACTAATGTGCACTTCTTTGTTTGTTGATGTATCAAAGTAGCTGTTTCCTATAACACCATGTACTTCCGGATAAAGCCCCGTAGCAATGGAGTGATGGTTTGGAAACGTTTTCGTCGGAAAAACATTTATTAAGTAGTCAGAATAACTTCCAAGTTTCCTCAAGCTTTTCATGTGAGGTATATCTTTGGTGTTGAAAAAATCATATTTAAAAGCATCATACGATACAATAATTAAAATAGGATTTTGAGAAATGCAGATTGCGAAATTTATCACGAGACACAGTAGAATAAATCTGAAAATCATTACCAAAAACATAGGTAATTCAGCTTTTAAGACGACACATGATACTGATCAACTGACGGATATCAGCTGTTCACATTGTCAGATGTCAAACGGTTAATAACCTCTAACCACTCCAACACTCGTTTCCTGACATAAAGTGTAGTTTTATTTTTTGACCTTACAGGATTACACATTTTGTAATTTCATGTTTTTGTCCGATTTCAAGTCATAAAAACCTACGAATCCCATTATAAAAGGCTTCATTTTTTTTGTACGCAGGAAGGTGGTGGCCGTGGTGCGATGACATATGTGTCAGGTGTCAAAAGTGTCAAATTTCATTCATTGTTAACTGTCAGCTTTTAAAGTTCTAAAGAGTTTTACGGTGTGGTGGATATTATTTTATTAGTTAAAAACGTGTAAATATGAATATCCTATAGACAGTTTAATGAAACAAATATTTTTACAAAGATCAGAGATAAGAAATGAGTGTGCCAAAGTAGGTGTCCCATACCAAGTCAAAACGGAGTCACTCGCTTTAAGACCACCCCATGGGGGTTAAACATATCGCAGTCCTAGATGGGCTGCAAGGAAAATGGGTAGCTGCTTCGGCAAATGTTTGCCCAAACCAGATACTTCGAAGAGTCTTCGAAATCTTAACATACTTCAGGGTCAAAGAAATGAACTGGAATTTTCATTTTTGGTGGAAGATGTAAGTGTTCAGTCATATTTTTATGTCTCTTACATTTAGTCATTGGCGTACTTTATAATCAAATTGTGGGTAGTAATAGATTTCCTGTAGAATTTCACTGTGATCGCGTTTTCTGTTGGGTTGTAATTTTTATATATTCACAAATGTCAGATATTTCCACATATTGACAAAGAATTAAGACCTATATTATTTTCAGAGTTCCACAACACATCAAAGAATTAAAAGGTAGTAATCAGCTATTTAAACTTATATTATAATTATTAATCATATTACACGCTTTCTTGGATGCAGGAGTTTCTTATCTCGTTTTTTTAATAAAAGAAATGATAACAGTCAGGTATTCATTTATGCCTTATTTCTTTTTGATATTGTGAATGTTATGACTTTTAGAAGCCAGTTTTGGATTTAGTTGATGGTTTATTAAATCCGCAAGTGACTGCATACAGTAGACTGAATGAATCACAACGCCTTCCATCAACAGGGTATTATATTCTTTATAAAAAACAATGCTTTATTAATGTTTGCCAACTCGTCAGATCCTGCACAAGCAGAGATATTCAGCTCCAGTGCTTAGATGCCCGGGCCTTATTATCACGTACAGCAACATCAACGCCTGTAAGTTCTCTAGATTTAGAATGGGAACATGAAACAATTCCAATTTCAATGATCCATGACCCATCAGGGAGTTCTTGGTATGTTTTATTTAATACAGATACAATATCTATAAATTACTCTCTACAGGACTGCACTCCCAGAAGATTTTTCACATTACCCAAGTGAATCGAGTCCTCAGAATACAGCTCCTGTAGCAAATAGTGATTCAGATTGGTCAAGAGTATCGTCTGCTAATTCGTTGGAGTGGGATAACGTCCATAATTCAATTCAAACTAGTCCTCCAATGTCTGAAGTTGATACAGACACTCAGATGTTACTCAGTGAAATTGAAAGACTTACAAATAAAACCCTCAGTGAAACAGGTCAAGATCTGTTTAGCTGATTCCAAACACCTGTAAACGTGGTAACCTACTAGCAGAATTATTGTTTCAAGTGCAGTATATTAATAGTTGCAATATGACTGATTATGGATGATGTGAATAAGGAATTAACTAACGAATTACTTAATCTTAATGTGTTACATATATTATGGATAAACATGAAACATCAAAACTGGTGCTGGTCTAATAAATTGTTATATTTTTCCCATATGACAGTATATGTAACTGCAAATGTGTATATAAATTTATTAAAGTAAATAAAAATGTTTTATTCATGTCATCCATAAATATAAATCAAATTTTTTTGTGATACTACAAAACTAAAACATCTTAAATAGCAATCGAACATATAACAAGAAAAATTTTGTAAAAAATAGTTTATCATTATATAGATGTCATTAAATTAACTGAAAATATTTTCATGGTAAATGGCAAATATTTGAAAATAGATATAAAGTACTTTTTATACAAATTAATCGTCACAGTTGATTGTTCTGATCTTCGTGTACTGAACAACGTGTGGATCACATTATAGAGAAAAAACTAAACAAACTTCGCAATGTAATTATGATTTACGTTGTAAATGTGGTAAAAAGGTGCATGTATTTTGTGATTTTTAAAGTTTTGCCATTTACTTTGCCAAAAAAATGTCAGTGTTAAATTTTATTTATATAGTCACGTTTGTTATCAGCAAAAAATGTGGTATTAGAGGCCTAAGAGAATGGTTGTTTTGAACAATTCCACCCACAAAGGTTGTGTTTTACCTATGTTGTTAATTTAATTAGTTGTAGTTGTAAGATTTTGTGTATGATCGAACATTTAGGTTTTCCCTAGGAAAACGCGTTCTATCCCTGCATTGAAATGAATTAGACTAACTTAATTATCACTGCGTAGTGAAGAACACATTAGCGGCAGTTATTACAAATTATTGCTTTAATTGAAAGTTACAGATGAACTAGATAATTCTTTTAATGACCAAACCAAGTTGATTTTCAATTTGGATTGCATTTAAAAAATTAATTGGTTAATTTTATTTTTAAAATTGTTGTTTATATGGAGGGAATTTATAAAGCGAGTTAAAAAACCAGCAGATTTTATATTGTTACAGTGTCATCAATTGTTTTATGATGTATAAAATCTTTGCAATAATTATGCAATGGAAGGAATTCAGAGTTCAGATTATCTAATGTAAAGATGGAGAAAGTAAAACTAACGGGCGGGACCAAGAACTTGCTTTTTAGAGAGGCCTTTAAGTGTGTTAGAATGGCAGAATTGCGGGAAATAAATTGTTATAATTCAAGTCACTAATCAATCATTCATTATGTTATCGTACATTTGACTGCACAGTTATTGTTGATTATTCATTATATTTTAGTTATGTCGAAATAAAATGGACTTTAAATTGCAAGTTTCATAAATAGTCTTGTTTATTTTCATAACAATTATTTGAACTTACAGAACCAAAGATATAAAAGTTCCATTTTATTTATTTTTTGTCTTTAATAAATATAGCTTTAAATTGGTGTAAATACACTACATTTCATGTATACATATCACCCTTGCAAGAATGTAATAAAAATAGTACCTAAATAAAAAAGTGTGTATCATATATTAGAAACATTAAAATTGGAATAACAATAAAATTCATTCGCTAAATTATTTTTGTGCTGGGGTTTTAAAGGAGTTTTCTTTAAGTCTAACAGACGCTGTGCCAAATTTTCCATTACTGCACCTATAAAATTAAAACAAAGACACAAATTTGTTGTTGTAAAAATGTGAAATATTTACCTGTGCACAACATAATTTTTGCAGAAGTTAAAAACTTTATTGTCAATGCAGTTTTTGTGAGACATTCATCGGACAAAAATGGTGGATCGGCAATAACGAGGTCATAAAAACTTGCTTGATCCCGTGGAATATCAAGTGGTGACTTGTAGTCATAGGGCACAAAATCGCTACCATATATTGCAAAACGAGGATCATACTCATATAAGGTTACTACAATTTACAATTACGTTTTAGTAGTATTTAATACAACTTTCTATTCAGGGCAACCTTTTCCTGTATCACTCATGTTTTGTTTAATTTTATTATACAGAGTTGGACATGAAATAAGCGCGATTTTTGCATCTGGTCCTACTTCTTTCAGCGCTACATTAACCAAACTTTCAATAGTTACATCATCGTACCAGAACTGACTTAATTGCTGAAATAACACACCGTTACCACACAAAAGTGATGTATGAAAACAATACCCAGTCCTCATCAAATGTGGCATTTTCGTCAGCTGACGAAACTAACCGCTTTTCCCTTTCTTCTTGTTCTTGATAAAATTCTTGCAAAGCTAGAAATGTATCAGCTGACAACTGAGGCACATCATCGTCACTGTCTGACATTGCTATTGTTTTACAAACACTGGAAACAGTTTACAATTGCTAACCCCTTGGAGCATAAGACTAAAAAATAAATTATTACGTCTGATTTCCAAATTTCAAATATGTTTCAAAACCTGAGTATAGATATCAGTTTAAATCTAAGGTTATGGGGTGATGGCTTTAGTCCTCACCACGGTGGTATAAGTAAGGTGTTTCAACTCCATTCATAAATTTTCATAAAACGGGCGCTTAAAAACTGGTATCGTAGTAGGTTGTGGGAGCTAAAGTCACTAGATATATAAAGTACCGCAATTGGGCGCCATATTGTGTCCGCGCCAAATTCAAAATAAATAAATAAAAATTAACGGACTCGATACTTGCGTACAAAGCGTAAATGTAGATTTTTTTCAAATAAACATTTATTTATGTTTAAGCGTTATTTGTTCAGTGCACTTAAATGCCATTGATAAACATAAGGGGTGAGTAAAAAATATAGATGAGAAACCTTGCAATACCAGTTTATTAACAAAATTTCGGCCGCAATAGTTTCCTTCCATCTGCTCGCTTTGCTTCGAATTGTTGTTCAGAAAAATGTAACTAAAAGTAAATGGTATTTAACATTGTGCAATTACATATTCAAGCTTTAGCAAATTACTTCGCAAATTCTGGAGTTGTCGTTCAAATCGTCCCGGCCTATTAAATTCTTCCACATCTCTCTTCTAGACCTATTACTAACACCTGCAACAATTTAAATTAGTTGAGAAAACTCAATTGAAAACTTAGTTGTAACCTACCTGTTGGAAGACGAAACAATCGGCTTTTATTTTTACACAAAGGAACAGAACAACTTGTCATTTTAAAATAAAAGTCATAAAACACCACAAAAAAACACAAACAACTTTACAAAAAACACAAACAACTTTGCAAAAAACACAAACAACTTTACAAAAAACACAAACAACTTTGCAAAACAGGACTTACGCCACGAGGTGATGCGTTAAAGAGCGTTTGACAATTAACATTGACGTTTGTCGGTCGCCATATTGTGTCCGAAATATACGTTCTCTCTCTAACACATTGAAACATTCAATTGCGGTACTTTGGTTATCTAGGGACTTTAGTGGGAGCTTAAGATGACCGCCACCATGTGGTAGTTAATTGTACTATTTGCACTATCAACTGATGTTTAACATGACATTTGACGTATATTCCCCCTCATCTTTCAAAAAGACGTCACGAAAGTTAACCTATAAAGCTGACATTTTTGACAACTTGCATTCAAGGACATTTTTACGCAAATTTCATTCATTATTGGTCGACCTTTGTGAATAGTTTCATCATAGTGTCCAGTAGACGGCGCTAGGAACTTTAAGTTCCCGTGGCCTCCTGGGATCTCTTCCAAAAAAGACCATTTTAAACTGGGAGTTCGCAGACCTGTTATATACGGCCGTGGTCCTCACCACACAAGTTCCCACAATGTCTTGGCTTTACTTATGGATGCTGTCTTAAAAAGACCTAAAATTATACAGTATCCTCACTACGGGATTTTCTGTGTGGTATGGATTATTTGGATTATTATTAATTATTAATGATTTATGGACTGGGGGGTATGGGATATGCGAGATGACATAACCAATATATCATAAAGCAAATTTTTTTACGAGGAGGCGGACATAACATTTTACAACACAATAATGATTCCTGGGGTTTTTGTTCGCTCAATTTGTGGATTAACTTTTGTAAGGATTTAAATTGTTACAAATCCGAGACTTTTTTTGTTTATCTTCAAATGTGCCTGATTTTTTTTGTATAGGCAACCAACAATATAATAGATGAAACGTGGATAAAATTCATGAAACCAGGGACTGTGCCAGGGAAGTGAAGCACAAATTAGAACAGTTTATATACCTATATATTATTTTCAGCTCAAGATATATCTTTACGTTCTACAGAATACCTGTTTATATACAAGCTGATTCAGCGTAAATGACGAATTTAAGGGGGAACGCTAGTCGAGAGACAAGTTTGAATTGGGCGCCATTTGTTGCCTTAAACGCAACCAGCAATTCTTCTTTAAATCTACCTGATGCGCTGGGGTATGCGACTACCGGACGTGGGTCATAAAAGCATCGTAAGCCGATAATGCAGAATAATGATAATTTATGACAGGCGGCCCACAACATACCTTCAGCACAGAATAATCATTTCTCGTATTCTTTTGACATATTAATTTTAATATTCGAGATAATTATTATATTATTCAAACACAATTTAGACACTGTAGAGCAAACAAGGCTTATCAAGCCCGTCTATTAGTTTATTCGCCTAATTAATGTATTATTAATACCGTTTTAAAATTACACCAAAGTTGAAAAATCGAAAACTTAATAATTGAAAAATTGAAACATTTTAAATGAAAAAAATCGGTAAACCGAAAAATTGAAAAATCTATAAATCGAGAAATCGAACAATCTAAAAATTAAACAATTTAAAAATCGAAGATTTGGAAAATCAAAAAATCTGAACCGAGAACTTGAAAAATCGAATAATCGAGAAATCAAAGAATCAAGGAAAACAAAAAAATTAACGGAAAATCTAGAACTTAAAAATTGAAAAATTAAAATACCTATCGAAAAATTGAAAAATCGAGAAATCGAAACATCAAAAAATGGAACAATTGAAGAACCGAAACATTGCAAAATCTCAGAACTGAAATATTGAAAAACTGAAAAATGGAAGGAAAATTGAAAAATCGAAAAAGTGAAAAAATTCAAAACTGAAATCTTGAAAAACTGAAAAATGGAAAGAAAATTGAAGAATCGGAAAAGTGAAAAAATCCAAAACTGAAACATTGAGAAATCCAGAAATCGAAAAATTGAAAAATCACAATTGAAAAAAGAATTGAAAAATTAAGAAATAGAGAAATGGGAAAATCAAAAAATCAGTTAATCGAAAAATTTAGAAACGTCAAAAATTGAAAACTGAAAAATAAAAAAATAAACTGAAATATCGTAAAGTTAATAAATTGAAAAACTGAAAATTTTTGAAAAAAAAAATCGTATCAAAAACTAAAAATTCAAAAAATCGAGAAATTGAACAATCAAAAAAATCAAAACATTGAAATCCCAGTAAGTTGATAAATAGGAAAATTTAAAAAACAAAAATTTTAAAAATCCAAGAATTGAACTACAAAAAAAATCTAAGCCTGAAAACTCAGAAAATTGAATGATCGAGAACAAAAAATCTAAAATTTAAAAATTCGACAAATTGAAAAATCATGGAACTGAAAAATCGAAAAGTCGAGATAGTGAGAAATCTAAAAACCTAAAACTTTAAAAACTGAAAAATTAAAATATCGAAAAATTTAAAAACCGAGAAAACACAATATTAAAAATTTGAAAAATTGAAGAAACGAAATATTGTAAAATTCCAAAGCTGAAATATTGAAAAACCTAAAAATGGAAGGAAAATTAAGGAATCGAAACAGTGAAAAAATCCCAAACTGAAACATTGAAAAATTGAGAAATGGAAAAATGGGAAAATCAAAAAAATTGCTCTAAAGAGTTTAGACAGTACTTCCCTCGCTATCGGAAACGTGACGACTGCATGCCTATTATGTTTTTTTTTCACATTAGATTTCAAAGCAGTCGGTTTTGTAGTTCCTGATTAAATCAATAAAATAAATTTGCGCATTCATTAAATTTTTTGAGTCACCCTGTATTTTCGAATCCAAAAAATATGAATGGAATGATAAATTACAAGAAGAGACTCATCATATTTTGTAAATTTTAATACGGCAAACTTTTGAGCTGACGTCATCAATTTTTTGGAGGGGATAAGCAAATATATTTTGACTAAAAATTTATTATGCTCTTTATAACCTTAAAACATTTGCAAGATTTCAAAGCATTGGGTTCTGCAGTTCCTGATTAAATCAATAAAATACAGCAATAGCTAAAACTGTGGAGTCTCTGTTGTACAGTACATTTAGAGGTAATAGTCATACATACTATCGACAGCAGAGTGAGGAAAAAGCTGTCAAGTGTTTTGAAATAAATAAAAATATAAAAACTGAACGGTGTGGCTTGTTTATTTCAAAACAATTTCCTTACTTGGCTGCTAGTCCAGACAGGGTTCTAGAGGATAGGAGTGCATTAGTCGAAATTAAATGCCCTTCAAAATCGCAAGATTTGTCTTCCGAAGAAGCGGTTAGAAAAAAAATAATCAAATTTTGTACATTGACAGACAGAGAATTGAAACTAAAAAAAAAATCATGATTACTACTTTCAAGTCCAGGGACAAATGCTTGTTATGGGTATTTGACAAGTTTATTTTGTTGTATGGACACCCAAAGGAATAAATATAGAAAAAATTTATAAAGACGAAGAAATATATGTAAAAAGATGGCAGATAAACTTGGCAGATTTTACTTTGGACACCCAAAGGAATAAATATAGAAAAAATTTATAAAGACGAAGAAATATATGTAAAAAGATGGCAGATAAACTTGGCAGATTTTACTTTGGCGCATTTATTGCCCGAAATAATTGATTCAAGGAGAAAGAGGAACCTGCCTTTGCGAGAGATTTTTTTTTAATAAATAAAATTTGTTTCTATTTTTTTATGTACTTTAATAATTTATTAGGAGTATATTTTTCATCACCAAGGCTTGTATATTTTTATTATAAATATATTTTGAAAATGATCTCTCGGCAAATGAAAACATATACGAGTACTTTTTTCGAGTAAACAATGAAGGGTGAAGTTACTGGGCGTAGGGCTTTTTTAAAACACTTCCTTTCTGGGATAAGTAGTAGATACACTTAGCTACTTATACGTGTTAAACAAAAGCTGTATTTTATATATTTTTTATTATTATAAATATGTTTATTAGTTTTATTAATTAAAAAAGCAAAATATATATTAACAATAATATTACAATGAATTTTTAGTAATCATGTGTATTGAATTCAGGATCCTGAGTAGAGTAAAAATATTATAGTTCCCCAGTTTTAATTCGGTTTTATGATAGTACCTCATTGCGTAAAAGTTAATTTCCTTAACAATAGATTACTACGGCCGGTCCTGGCGGCTTGTTATAAAACTGAGTGCCTTGCCATAAATTAGAAAAATCAGCCGAGAACTCTAACAATCAGCTTATGGTAGAGCAGGCGATAAGGGTTTTACCTGGAAAGTCGCTTCCGTAAATTTTAGTGGCGCTCCTATCGGCAAAGTACTGAACTAACCGCTCAAATTCTGTCGAATTGATATCCATTTTTTTCAATAATTGTTAGTTTTTGTTAAAAACTCTGCTAACCAATAGATCATTAATTTTCCTCTGATATTCCTGTTAAAATTATTCGACGTATTTTGCATTAATTTGTGGTATATTTTGATTTTAATAAACACATTATTATTTAAACAAATTGTACGACTAACAAACATTTAATGGCTCTGCGCCCTGTAAAAAGTGATGTTTTATCCATGTGCGAATTTTCAAGCGATTCTATGATGGTTATGACTCAAAAAACTTGAAATGAAAACATACAATGGTGCTTTTTTTACGATATTTCTCAGCCATATTTTTTTAGTTGATTGAACTGGTCTCTGCGCTCTAGAATATGAAAAAAGCTGCAGTTTGATGTATGATACATAGACAGCGGATTTCTGTCGGGCTACGTCACGATATGGGTGGGGACGCGCTGCATCGCCGGGACTCAGTAGCGGGTGATAGGTAATCACTGAATTTAATTGTCACTTGATTCCATAAATACAATTAACGATTTATTAATCAAACGGCTAAGTAAATGAGAACTGGAATTAACAGCAGAGTGCAACGAAGCAGCGTTATTCTAATCTCAAATAAACGAAGTGCAGCCGGTAACTGCAATAAATTCCCATCCCGTACGAGCCGTACCGAGTTTGGCCTTGTCTAGCCCGACAGAAATCCGCTCTCTAATGATACATCTACCTATATTAATATCATTTTTTCATACAAAAAACCAAAAAAATGTTATACCTCGTCTAGCGAGTCCCCTTAACCTGTCCCACTATCCCGATACTCCCGATAGGCATCCCAAATTTAACTTGATTAGAAAGTAAAATCATCAGTCAGAGAATCTTGCTATTTGCGTAACAGAATGAAAACTTTCAGAAAATCCGTTCATGTGGTGTTTTTACGTGTGTTTCATTGTATAAGCTATGTATAATTGACTGCAGATTTTAAAATTATCTGCTGAAACATAAACGTCGTAATACAAAAATCGCTCCGTGGCCTTTAGATACGTGTTACAAAAAATATATGAGTGTATGATCTAAGAATATTAATAAAACTGTACATAAATTAAAATTTCAACTTTTCCTTTGTTACTCAAGAGCAAGAAGCAAGTGCTGCACATAATACTTATTTGTTGTTACGTTGGTCCTTGATCACTGATAATAATAATAAATGGTTGTTAAACAACATCTGAAATACTCTTGAAGTCCTAAAATCAATAGAACGATGATAGTAAAGATGCAAAGACCAAAAAAATGATAAAAAGTAGTTATATAAAGGTGAGTCACTAAGAGCGCGGCTCTCAATATAGATAGATACTATTGAGATATTATCTTAATAGTATCTATTTAAGTATTAGAGACAGAAAAAAATCAAAGACTAAAGTTGTACGGTTCTTTAAGGATTACTTTGAAATTATTTTTAATTATACAGAGAGTTCTGTTTTTAAGGTGTAACATACAACTTGCTTTTTTATGAAAAAACAATGAATATCTTTACATATTTTCATTAGTCTCTTCCTAGGCTTTATAACCAGTCTATTTGTGAAATTCCGTTGATTCCTATTTTCTTGAAATTTTTTGGCAATGGGTAATTGGCAATTCACAAAAAAATCGCAATAGGGTTATATCTAAAGTCTGTGTTACAATATTTTGTGCAAAGATAAATAAAGGTATGCGCTTTGTTGTGATACCAATTAAATTACATTTTAATACATACAGTATTTATAAAAAATTCTAAAACTTTACATTTTTCAAATATAGATAATATTTCAGTTTTTCCAAATAGAACATTTTGTATTTTATTACTGTATGTCACTATTACTACTTATTCTTTGTTCTCATCCTTTCAGTATATGTCGATGTGTCTCTTAAAAAAGTAAAAAATCGCAGTAACTATCAACTTCAAATATAGATAATAGTTAACAAAAAAATAGAATAAGGTAACAAAATACAGGCTGTTGTATTTGAAAAAAATTAAATATAGATTTTTAAAAGTTATAATATGTAATTAAAGTTTTTACAAACACTCTGTATATCAAGATTTAATATTATTTATACCACAACAAAGCGCATACCTTTATTTATCTATTCACAAAAATAACCCTACTAAGATTTTTTTGTAAACCCTGCCACTGCTAAAAAATTCAAGAAAGTTGTAATAACGTGGCAACGTCGCATCAAAACGTAAAGAATAGGTACAATATATGTAGTTTCACAAAAAAAAACTAGTGTTACACTTAAAAACAGAATACGAGACAGAATACTCTGTATAATTAAAAATATTTTAGATTATAGTCCTTAAAGAACTATACAACTTTCATTTTTGACTTTTTTTTCTATATTTAATACTACACTAGTGTCTATTTTTTAACTATTGAAAAATTGTTTTCAATTTGATAGCTGATTTTTATGTATTTTTGAGTTCTGAATCCAAATATTAACCCCATTTTTCTTCATTACATAAGGATTTTTTGCAAAAAGGCTTTAAAAATATGTTTTCAATCAATAAATACATTATTTACAGGCCATTAAACTCCTAAATTATTCTAAAATATGCTTAAATACATGCAATGAAAACATACAGTTAAATACTAATTACAGCAAAAAGAGTAAATTAAATGAATAAAGTCACAAAATTAATTGCACAACTCACACAACAGTTGTAAAGAAGGTATATTGGACTAACTGGTTTGTTTAGAACAAATTGTATCAATTTATTGCGTCATCATAACAAAAAAAAATGGTCGGAAGTTGTTCGCTCCTGAAATACAATGATATTTTTTTTGAGTCACTCTGTATACGGAAATCCAAAAAATATTAATGGAATGATAAATCACAAGTACAGACTCATCATATGTTGTACATTTTAGGTAGGATTTGTTCGGCAAATATTTGAGGTGACGTCATCAATTTTTTGAAGGAGATAAGTAAATATATTTTGATCAAAAATTTATCATGCTTATCATAACTTTAAAACATCTGCAAGATTTCAAAGCATTGGGTTTTGCAGATCCAAAATTAAATTGCAAAATGTTGTTTTATAATTTTTTTTTTTTTTAATCTGGACGGATTCATAAACTACATACATGTGTAGGACCGTATATACTAGAACCCATAAGCGTCGTACCGGGGCGGTGTATGGGTTTATTTCGTAACAATATTCTATCTTATTAAATTATATTTGTGTTTTAAGCCCAGTATGTGGCAAACGCTTTCCAGCACGCCACTGTTTTCGGAGAAGCTGGAAGAGCCATTTATGACCATTTTCGAAAGCGTGGTATCAGGTACTTTTTCAAACCACCTGCCTTCCTCCCGTCTATATATCTCCATGGTATATTATTATGGTATTATCAGTGAGTATAGATGTTGTAGTGTTAAATATGTACATAGTCACTGGTATTATAATAAATATCACAGATTGCTCTGCAGATGTATTGTTGGTTGCGTTTTGAATTTTTTGGGTGAAAAGCTTCATGTCAATAATCCTGTGTATGTAGTAGACATACAGTACATTTATGATTTATGGAATGGATGAATGATGAATTGTGGCAGATGATAGCAGTTATCTGTATAACTAAAGCCAAAACAAAAACAATTCATTTGCAATAATTATATTTTATACATATTAAAGTTGCAACCTGTACCTCCCCAGGTGTACGTATTACTTCCCGTCCTCAGAGAGCTTACAAGTTCGAGAAATTTCTTATTGTCACGGGATTAATTAGTAGGGCAGAATTGTAAGAATAACCCGCTACAAATTAAAATTATTATGAGTCAAATGCCAATTTTTCACTTCCTTTTTTAGGTACAGAATCAAAAAGGTTTTTCGCTGTTTACACAACTAATAAATAATACCAATGGTAAATAGTAGATACATACATATAGATACGTACTCTACCGTGAAATGTAAAAATGTAAGCGTTTGACCGAACTTTACTGATGCCTGTTAATGATAGCTTTCCATCAGCATCGGAATCCTAAATGGCACATTTGCGGAATGAATATTCCGTCAACAAAATTCTTTTGATAATTAAATTTAAATATTATGCCATCAGAAACAGTTATTTGGATTCGATCATACCTGTTTCGGTGAATACGATCATCTGTCTTCGTCTTATCCGCTGCGTTGATTGTCATTTCATATTTGCGTCTTTGTCTGATGGGCGTTTGTGATTCGGCGTTCGACTTCGTTGCGTCGCGTCGCCGCTTTATTTCTCTAATCACATCATCTAGCCATCATCGAAATAATAGTTAAAAGTGGTAGTGTAGTGGGCACGAGCAATTTCCGAATGTGTTTTTTACGTTTATATCAGTTAATATTTCTAAAATAAAGTGAAATTTTACACGCCACGTGTTTTAAATTTACAAGATGATTTCTCTTCGCTACACAAGGAATCTTTTTCTGAGGTCTTTTTGTATTATTTATCTTTTCGCTTTTATATCTTTTTATGTACAAATTCCAGGTGAGTGTATTTTTGGTATCGTCATGTTGTTTATTTATTTATTATAACTTTGTTACATTTTGGTTAGACGTAAAATTAGTTTTTGTAACTTTTTTGTGGGCATATCCATGTTTGTGTACAAATGCAAATTAAGTTATGTTCTACCATGTTTTCAGGTTTATATGGAGATAATGGAATTTTACCGGCGAAGTCGTTATTAGAAAATAGTAAACACAAAACTTTATCAGCCAAAGTACATTATCAGCCAACACTACTTTGGCTTGCCCCCTACTTGGGTTTAGATGTCAACTATGCGTTGGACGTTTTAGCACTCCTTGGGAGTTTTTTAGCCTTTACTGGGTAATTAATCTTTTTTTTTCTCACGCCATGTGTAGAGTCAGGCTTTTTTTTTTAATTATAAAAATAAAAACTTTAAACTATGTGATGTCAATAAAAGCTATTCTTAGACTTGTAGTAAACATACTTTGTTAATGTCAAAACAAATTATTTTGAAATACCAATTTAATGTCTTTATTTTTAGGTTTATATCACAGAAATTTTGCACGATTCCACTATTTGCTGGGTTATGGTCGTTGTACTTTTCACTGTATCAAGTAGGCCAAGTATTTGTTAGCAACCATTAGTAAGTATACTGGATAAATAAGCAAAATACTGGCGCATTTTCTTTTGTGCATGCTTTATAGATAATCGGATAAAAAGTTATATTCATATGTGGTTTTAAGAAGTAGGTTTGGTACTACGTAGATTGTACCTGCCTTTTTAATTCTCTATATATGGATTGTCAAGAACAGTAATTCAAAATCACCATATTATTTACGTTCAGGTTGTATATGGCGCTGAAAATACACATTTCTACTCTATCGGGAGGGAAAAAAATCAATATTTCTCCCACGGGAGCAAATCGTTTTAAAAATTGCGTTTACTTACACAGAATTAAATTTAGGTAATAATAAACTTCATTGTATAAAAAAAATCGATATAGAATCATTTTCACCGTTGTATATTATTTTTCAAAATTTAAGCAAATTTCAAGGTCGACAACTTACCAGTGTAGTTAGCGGAGATCACAACCCTCGCAAAACTGTAGGGTCACGGACGTTACAGTAAACAACACGTTTTGTTGTACTCGTCTATAATATTGTAAACAAAAGAAAATGTAACTAAATAGTATGTTATATAACACAAAACACAGAATTTACATTGCTTTCACTCTCGTGTTTCAACACTACTGCTGTACATAGCAAGGATTTTAGAGCCGTTTGCATTGAGGGCTTAATGCTGATTGTTGTTGACATTAAATGCCAAATGAAAAAGTGACAAGCTGACAAGTTATTAGAAAAACATTCTGATTCGGAATCAGAATCAGAATCGAGAGAAATTATGATTGGGGGGTATGTCTTCATATGGTGCATTACCCCATTAAACAAACGCTTCCAATCATCCCTGATCAGCCGTTCACAATATCTAATAATATTTTGCCATTTGTCTGCACCTACTGTAGCAAGAGCCTCCCGCCATAAGGACTGTACAACACCAACAGCACCACCGTGTTCCCGAATATGTTTATTGTAATATAGTTTACACTGTCCCCCACGCCAGTTCAATTGGAAAATACTGACAGTGGTAGAAATATTGAAAAATAGGTGGATAATTCCTCTTGCTCTCGTCACTGCCATAGCATTTACCCTAGACATATTTATAAATCTGTTCTTTTAGGATCTCTGCTGGGTGCTTTTAAGTTGTTCTTCTAACTTCTCCACTCCGTAAGAACATAATCTATCATAAATATTGCGATAGAACGCGCTCATAGAAACGATTGAAATTTATGCGGTTCTTGACGTTTAAGCTGACAGTTCAGTCACTATTGCATTGTCGATAAAGTAAAATAAGGAGGTGTAAAAAAATACTAAACTACACAGTTAAGAGTAAATTTTTGGGTTTTGCGTGTCCTTGACCTTCGCGCCCATTTTGAAAAATAATATATGGTTAGTTTTCAGAAGTGTGAGAATATAAATTATTTTGTTGATACACAAGTTTAATCTGTTAAATAAGGGCAGTACTGATATCTATAAAGTGATCAATTGTTTTACAACTGAGTACTTACCACTCTTACCATATTGATTCGCCACTAACATCGTTGAAAGTATTTCATCTGTTGATGCTTGTAATTCACGTTTTTATTTTGAATTAATGGTTTGTTGATCTTTATCTGTTCTCTAAATTTTATTTTGGTAACAAAATCTTGATTTTTGGAGATTCATACCGTTTTAATACTGATCTATTAGAACATTTTACGTGTGACAGGGTAATAAATTTAGCAGTTTTGTTCAAGCTGACATGTGACAAATGAAGATGTCAAAATAAAAAGTGACTGAAACATATGTACATTTATTTGCTATTTGTACTTCCCAAGCGTAAGTTAAGAAGATATTGTAATATCCGACGATTGTTACTTTCATGTTTTCTCGACGTTTCATGACCTCAAGAGTGCAAAAAGTAGGTCTTGCGTTTCCGTCTGGCTGCCGTCTATATCGATTTTTATAGACAGATAATCTGCGAAACTACTGGACCGGTTGTTGTAGTATTTTAGGAATATCATTGTGTGTGATATTCTGTAGGAAAAAGTTATCAGTTTTGTGTTTAATAATTTAGGAATATTTACATCTGTTTCATCTAATAGTGTAGAACATTTAATTTGCCCAGACACTAATTTTTGTAAAGGTACCCATAAGCTTATCCTATTTCATTCCAATAAACAAGCCTTCTATCTATCATCCCCTACATGCACTGGTCACAGCTTCCCTTATCTGAACGCTTTAGAAAGAAAAAGAATATGGAAATGGTTCAATTTTAAAAATTTTCAAATCTTAAGCCAGTTTAAAATAGTCAGTGTAATGTTATTTGTGTTTCCTTGCTTATCGTAAATTTAAATAGTGAAGTGGTGTCGTCAAGATGGATTAAATTCAGTTGGTCTGAAGTCGTTTACTTTTTCTCTGGCCGCTGAAGCACAATCAGTTCAATAAATTTATAAAATTTGATTTTGCGAATTTTATTTTCTTGTTATGATTAAATAAAACTAGGGGTGGAATATTAAACTACAGGTAAAAGAGCCATGATACGTAACTACAGTGTGATCAATAATTATTGTTTTAGTTGGTGTCACAAATTTTGCTTGAAGTTGGTAGAACTGCCACCACCACGTTTCTTGCTGTTGTCAAAATTGACTTGACCGACAGTGACATTTAATTTAAATCAAAATTTTTTATTGATTGTCATTAAAATGTCATAACCTTTTTTTTTTGAGCGCCAAGCATTTGGATCAGGTTCGACAATAGTTGCCAACCCAAACAATATTTGTCGATTGCTTCAAGTGAAAACTTCTTAATAAAAATTTGGTAATGACGTCACCAACGTTTTAGTAATTAATATGTGAGTTTGGATAATTGGATCAATAATATATACACAATGATTCAGAGGACTACTACATAATTATATGTATGGTAAAACACAAATAAATAATGCTAATGGGAGCATAGTCAGTTGTTTAAAATGTAGCTATCAGGGAGGGTGTTGGTCACTTGCGAGCCGTGGTTAGTTTATCCCATATGGCAGGTCTAATTCCCAAAAAGATCATAGGACTCTCCCGCAAATATTGGATATACTGTGGATCTAGTATTTTATGCACTTAAATAAGATTTGTTTCTTGGATTTTTTCGATTTTTGGACGTTTGGATTTTTTAAAATTAGTGGAATTCTTGGATTTTTTGGATTACTTCAATTTTTTGGGCTTCTTGGAATTAGTGCTGTTGCCGTCTCTACACAACCAGCAATACACTAAGTAATAGTTGGTTTCCATACGATTGCGTTTTCTGTCGACGTTACTATGACAACTACTCTTATCGCCCTCGGGTATTATTTGGTCAATAACGAACCTCAAAACCACGTCATTATAGACCAATAATAAAACAAAAAATATGAATGCACAGTGTATCACAAGTATTGACCTTATATATTTTGCAGGATTTATTCGCCAAAATTTTGACCTGACGTCATAAATTTTTGGGAGGATAAACAGATACATTTTGACTAACGATTTACCATACTTACTATAACCTCAGATCATTCGGTTTCAAAATTAAATAATCAGTCCGACAGTTTCTAAGAATATCTATCCAATAAAAGTCTACACAGACGGACGTACGGACGGAAACGGAGACCTATTTTTTCGTATTGTAAACTCCATGAAATGTTGAGAAAACATGAGAGTAGTCATTCGTCCGATGGACCTAATACATAATAATAATAAATAATAAAGATCTAGATTTGCTTTCTTGTACTTCGCCTGGCAGTAATTAAAAAAACAATAATTTCCCTTTATCATTCTGCGCATGACTAGTTTTTCTTTTTCTAGTGAATGCTTATAAATTAATCTTGTAAAATTTTTAGCGACGAGTTCCTATTGGAAGCTGGATTTCTAACACTTCTTGTGGCACCTTTATTGCCGGGACGCAGAAAAGGCTCTAAAGGCTCACCAAGTGACTCTGTCAGTTTTTGGCTAGTACGTTGGTTACTATTCAGATTTCTACTAACATGTGGTCTATTAAAATTTATCAGCGGTTGCCCTAAATGGTGGAGTTTATCTGGTTGGTTTTCAAATAATTAAATTTTACTTTATTGATTAAATTTAATTATTTCAGCATTTAATTACTACTTTGAAACATTGCCGTTGCCAACTCCCCTTTCCTGGTATTTCCACCACATTCCTGGATGGTATCTGAAATTATTTGCTGTTATTACGAATGTTTGTGAGATTGGTTTACCATTTCTTTTCTTCATTCCTATAAGAGCTGTACGCATAACCAGTTTTATTATACAAGTAAGTTTGTTTTTCGTTATTTATGAAAGTTGCAGTGGTTTATGGTTTTTCTTGTAGATCTTCCTACAGATAAGTGTTGTATTAACGGGTAATTACAACTTTACAAATCTGTTGCTCGTAACTCTTTTATTATCTCTGCTGGATGATCAGTTCTTCTACGGCCGGCGTAAACCCTTCACAAAATGGACACTGATCGAAAAAATAATAAACCTTCTTATATACGGTGCTGTTTGTCTGGCTGTAATTAAACTGTATTCATTGAACTTAAACGGCACTATTATTGAATCTAACATTGGTAATTTACTCCATATTTATAATTTATATATGTAATGATTAAAATTATCGATTTATAGGATTTTCTAAAGATCAGTTTGAACAAGTTCTGAAACAAGGACTCACGATTACTATTTACCTAGGATTGCTTTCTCTGGGTATAACAGCATTGAGAGCATTGTCACTCTCTTTATTCGACTCTCAAGGTTCAGGTTCCAAATTTTTGGTTACTATATCAACTCTGGTGTGTGCAGGAATTGCTGGATTGTTATTTATTTCATCAACGGTATACAAACATTTTGTATTAACTTTCAGAAAATTTCATATTTCTGTATCTTAGGTTCCCCTGGCTTCCTTACATTCGACTTCGAATTCTTCAGTTCACACAAGCGTGCGCACTATTTATAACCGCTTGCATAAACTACATGCCGTTAATCAATATGGACTGTTTCCTAAAATGGTTGGAGTGGATGGACGCCCAGAAATTATCCTTGAAGGAGCAGACAACCTAGAAGGTCCTTGGTTAGAATACAATTTCTTATACAAACCAGGAAATGTTAATCATTCATTGCCGTTTGTTGGTATTGGAAATAGAAAAATGAATTTCAGCTTGAGTAAAGAAATCATTTTTAGCTCCCTATTCACCCAGATTAGATTGGCAGATGTTCTGGGCTGCGTATAGCACTTACGATAAGCAACCTTGGATTCTGTCATTGGCTCATAGACTGTTGACTGGAAGACCTGAAGTGTTGGCACTTTTAGATCGATATCATTCTCCGTTTTCTCAAAAACCGCCAAAATATGTTAGAGGAATTCTTTATAAATATAAATACACTTCATGGAGCCAAAGGTAAGTCAGAGATTGTTTACTTTTTATCGTGATTGTTAAAAATTGTTTACATACCTGTTAAGTTTGATGGATTATGAATAAGAGCAGCGGACAGTCGTTTTATAGTTTTATTAAACAAATAACAAGTGTGTTCTAGAGCGAGTATGATATTATGACCGTTAGGTCCAGAGATTGAATACAAAGAGTATGTTAACCGCTTGAAGAGTGCTTGAAGAGTGAATGATGAATAGTGAATGAATGTTCCCTGTATTCGAAGGTGGTGGTGGCCCTGGCTCCCACCCTTACGGGTGGAGAGGGGTGAAACAGGTCCCCGCCAGAGGCACTAACAATACCTACTACTTATTATCATAACTCTAGGGAATAAATTCATTCATAATATATGATATTTTTTTGCAGATCTCAACCGTCTTGGTGGGTTCGCCAAAAAGTGGGCGAGTATTTTCCAGCATATTCAAAAGACTCTCCTGCTTTAGTAGATTACTTAAAAGCCAGGAATTTATGGCCAACACCAAAAAAACAGGGAGTAAATCCGCTATGGAAGCAAGTTTTGGATGGGATAAGGTACGTCACAGGACATCTTGAAGCTACCTTGTTACTGTGGTCAGTTTTCACGGCCGGATGTGCCATTATTACAACTTCTGCGAAAAAATAGGACTGAACGGACTCGTTAGATTTTACTATTTTTTTAATTATCGTGAAAAGAGTCTAGTTATTAAAGAAAATAATTATCTAAGGGTTTTTTTTATTTTTATACATGCACAAATTAATTTATGGTTTTTGATCACGTCTTTCATTTAGAACATGCGAAAGAAACACATCTTCATCGTCTTTAATTTATCACGAGTGAATTTTTAATGTAATACGATTTTGTTATGCATTTAATAATGATGTTGTTTATTGCGTATTTTTATAGATGCGTAACGTGTATTAGATATAGTTGTTACTATGTCCGATTAATTTTTTCAACTTGTGGAGACTAAAAAATAAACGATGTCCAAACAGAACGACTTTTATTTTATATTCTTCATTTTCGTAGTGTTTAGTTATGGGTAAGTTGACGGGAATTCCTAATAAAATTTGTAGATCATAAGTTACAGGCATATACGATACAATGAATATTCTTAATCTCTGGGTCAGCAGACTGATGGTAATGTCCATCCAATTCAATCAATACATATTTATTTTATAAATTTCAGTTACAGGTTAATGTGATGGTAAAAGTGAAAGGATCCATACCTTTTTTGAAAACGAACATAATTTCATAATTTGATCAGAAAAGTTATCAAACCGATTATTTTCACATGATTTAACTGCATGTATAATTGGTTGCATTAAATGTGCAACCGAGAGGGCAATAAAAACACGATTAAAGACAGCCATAAATTTTTGAAGATTTTTCTTTGATAGAATTTTCGTCCTGTCAGATTACTATCAATTTGAGTTGAAAATGCAATGACTAAAAACAATCTTTTAAAAATTTGTGGTTGTTTTTTATGCTCTCTCGGTATTTAAAACCATTCGAACATAGGCGTCATGAGCCTTGGAAAAAAAAAGTTATTGGGTGCAAGCTAGGTTTTACCTGATAATAATTGCAACAGAAGATAATATTTTCGGTTAAACTGACTCGGTGCGCTTCATACATACGGGATACAAAAGAAGGGTATAAATGGAAACAAATTTATACAAATTATTTATTTAACATGATTGCAAAAAAAACTATGAACCCTCAGGATCCGACTTCACTTGAATTTTTTCGTATTGCAGAATCTCTTTTAACAACTGTACATCGCCTTTAATGGCTTGATATTCATCATTTTGGCAACTTGGTCCAGTGTTTGCTTCAGATTTCAATGTTTTCAATAAAGTGTTAAGAGTTTCAACATCTTGCAGGTCATCATTAGTTACAATATTTTCATTATCAGTAGACGGTGACGAATTGCTGCTAATGGTAACACTGTCATCAGCACTTGATACTGATGGTTCGCTTCTGGAATGATTTACATTGCTAGTTGGTTTACTAACACGTTTTATATTTAATCCAGATATTGAATCTAGCCTAATCACCTTTATATTATTTTTTTTAATTAAATCTTCCACCACTTGTTTATCGACCGACTTCAACTGTGGATTCTTACTTAGATCTGTTAAAGCTGATACGTCGATTTTTCGTTTTTTGGGAGCGGAGGTGTTTTGAGGGCCTTGTCTCTTACTATACGTTTTTTTTGATGTTGAGGATAAGTTGTTTGCTGTTACCTGCTCTGGCACGCTTAATTGGTTTGGTTTTTCTAAGGACAAGAAGGCACTCCAATCAAACAGCATATCAAAACGTTGTGAAAATAATTCTCTGTGGTACAAAATTCCATGTTTTTCTAATTCTTGTGTACTACCAGGCCCTTCGTCTGTTTGTGAGGAAACTGGGTTACATTTGGAGGTACTCGCAAAATATTTGCTTTTCTGTTGTGACTTACACTCTTTGTGTTTAAGTATCAAACTTCTTAAACCAACTAACGTATTGAGATTTGGTGGGATCAGTCTACTTACCTCTGTTTGGTTTAAATTGTTGTTTTTTGAAATCCGTTCTAAAATTTTTACATCAACATTATCAACATAATGATCATTTTCTAAGTCTTTTGGAATATATAACTTAACACCCAGTAACTTCAATATTTGATTTGCATTGTCCGTCGCTTCGTTAAGATACGCCTCTGTTATTACTCCACATTGTTTCATCTTGATTGAACTAGTAAAAAGATCAGTAAGCATGGCATCAATATTTTTGGGTTTCGCTTCCGATGATTCAATTGCGGGTTTGTTGATCTTCTTTTGAAAGGATCTGTTTAAATTAGGACTTATTAATTCAGCCTGTAAGCTCTCCTCGATTACTGACAATGTAGGTATCTCATCTGTATCTTTGTACTGTTCTGCCATGTAATTTAAGAAATCATGTTGCCCTTCATTCATCTGATCAAAGCGATGTCTTCTCTTTGGAATGTCTGCCACTGATGCTTGTGGATTCTCTTGTAAAAATGTTTTTATTAATTTATACCTTTGACGAATTTGTGCGTTGCATCTTCTCAGTTTTGTGGCCAAATTACTCCAGCTTTTTTCACCAAACTTTTTAGCATAATCATAAATAACTTCATCATCTTCTGAGGTAAATGTCCCTTTCTTTATATGTCTTTGTAAGTTTGAATTGTAACGGCTTTTCAACTGAACCTGAGAACGATGTGGCATATACTCTGCACATTTTTTGAAATTTCGTCCAAATTTATTGACTAGAATTATTAGCAAGATGTCTTCAGCTTCAGAAAATTTGCCCCTTTTTACATGATTTTGCGACAGAAAATATGTGTATCTATGATACAACTGATGTCTGGAGCGATTATTGAAATGGCACACTACTTTATTCCAGGGAATGAAATTTCCAACTTTGTAGATGTCCACTACTTCTAACAAAAACTTGTCTTCTTCTGGTATGAATTTACTTCTTTTAAATTTATCACAAAGCTTGCTATGGTAGTGTAGGCAAGTTGTAAAGCCAGTGCGATTAGTACTTAACTCAGCAGCAATTTCATCCCAGTTTTGGAATGAATGCTGTTTTGCTATTGTTTCTAAAGATTTATTTTCTTCTTTGGTCCATTCTAATTTATTAATATCAGGATGAAGGAGCATGTGCCATACTGATTCGCATTCTACCGCCGTGTGTTTGTCTGTAAAAAACCAAAGAAATAAGTATCAATTATACCAATATCCAAAATTTATAACCACCTTTTAAAAAAGTTTCTGCTACTTTATACCAACTGATGAACTCATTTGAATTCAATGGTGGCAATTTATCATCCCCAATTTTCAATTCTTCCAACTGTTCTTTTAAATTTAAAATTTCTTCGACTAAGCTTTTATCTTCATCACCACTTTTCATTTTGTTTTTCAAAGCACTTATTTTTGAGACAATATTGTTTTGCCTGTTTATATTATAATTACACTTAACTGCATTATTTAAACGATCAAATTCAATTGGTGTCCACTTTGGTGATGGGTTTAAATCATAAACACTCAATTCATCTCTATTACGTTTCCGCATGGCGTCCGAGTTAAGAGGACATGGAAAAAACTTTTTGTCCTTAAAATATGGAGCAGCAAGTTTCCAAATAAATGTTTGTTGATTTAAATGTTTTGGTTCAGAATTTTTCAACACATTCTTCTTTTCTTCTATTTCAGCTTCACATTCTGCCAAGAATCCTTGAATTTTTTTATGAAGTTTTATAAGTTGCATGTTCTTCGATCTATTTAATATGAGTAACTTTTTCAGTTCAGGTTCTGTACATGAGTCTATGGTATTTTGTTCTTCTTCAGTAAAAACTAACTCTTGACCAGGCGCATTATCTAAATATAAAGTTTTAATGCTGAGAACTTCATAGCAAGATTCTTCGTCATCTTCATCAAATTCCTACGGTTATCATTATTGAAACACACGTATGAATAGCTATAAAATATGTATAAACATACCTGATCACTATAATCTTGCTTGAAATTAACAAAGTCTTCAAATTCTAATTGAACATTATTCTAAAAAAAATAAATATAACACACTGCTATTGTTGTTAAACACGACATACCTGGTAACTAGATTTTTGTTTATTTATGAACTCTGTCATCTTTTTAACATCTTCTTGTTCGTCATCCTCCATTATCATTTATTTTAAAATTCACTTCTGCAACTAAAAAATATTAGGCGACAGTTTTTTTTATGAAAGAAAAATTGATAACCAAGTCATTATTTTATATCTGCCTCTACTATTAACAAATTAATAAAGAAGAGTTATCATCTAGAAATAAAAAGGTAAACCAAATTATTACCAGGAAAGTGTACTAGACGAAACGGCTGATAACAAGTTATTTAGATATTTGTTAATTAAACCAACAAAAAACTGGCTATGTTGAGGTTAGTTTGTTAGATTGACATTTGACACCATAGAAAAATAATTTGACACTTGCAGGGAAGGACACTTTTTGATAGAATATCACTAGGTAATTTCTCGTGATACAACCAACAACCCAGAACCCACTGCGTAGGGACCACCGTGGTACCGATAAATGACCATATGAGTTGGCAACGATTTTTGTGCTCCATTTTTTTAAATTTATGATATTCAAACATATTTTTGTATCGGTTTGTAATATTTGATTTCAATTTTGAAAGCTGGAGAGGGTTTTTGCAGCTGGTTTCCAGATTTTTCCGCTTCAGAATGGGGGAATAAACAATTTGCCCTCCATATTTTGCATTTTTATTTACGGGCATTTTTCCAACCTTGGGATTCACCCCTTTCCATGAACGCATTCCACCATTAAGAAAAAACATTACGTAGGGTTCCATTTTTTGACGATCACAGTTCAAGGCCAAATTTTGAATTTTTCGAGAGTTTTTAAAATTTTGTGCACGTTTTACTTTGGCGGGAAAAAAGTTAACACAGTATTAAAATAATTTCTCGCTGTCACTATATATTTTCCAAAAATGTACGAACATAAGATAATAAAAAAAAACAATGAAGATACTTTTGTATAAATGTGATGTTATAAATTACAACAATAATATTATATGTAAAATTTGACGCTAAGTATTATAACTACATACATATATAATTTACTGTATTAATTCCATAATTGTTGCAGTTTTTTTTAAACACTTATTATTATTATTATTATTATTATTATTATGTTAGGCGATCGGGCAGAGGTCTATGCCTGTTATGCCCGCGCCGTCGCGTTATGGGATGTACCCAATATTTCTATTGGGAGTTGTAAATGTCATATTTAATTTTAAAAGCCATTGTTGATTGTGAACTGACTATTTCTTCAGGTAAAGAGTTCCATTGCTGAAAAACTCTATTACTCAAGAAGTGCTGCCTTACCGTGGTCTTAAACTTTTCTTTAGCCAATTTAAAAGAATGTCCTCTGGTAAGAGTATGTGAACTAAGTATGAAGAGCTTGTGTATCGGAGACGACTTATTGGACATGGCTTGAAATGTCGTGATAAGATCACCTCTTACGCGTCTATTTGATAAAGTTGGAATTTTCATTATTGCGAGTCTTTCATGGTATTGAGGCCGTACTCTACCAAACGGTATTCTTGTAGCCCTACGTTGGACAGACTCAAGCAAAAGGATGTCTTTCTGTAAAATAGGCGACCATACACTGTTCGCAAATTCTAGTAAGGGTCTTACAAATGTTTTATATAATTTGGCAAAGATAATAGGGCTACTTTTTTGGAATGCCCGTCTCAGAAGGAACAGTGTCGAATTGGCTTTTTTACTGACATGTGCGGTGTGCTGAGACCAAGACAAGTCACAAGTTACCAAAACACCAAGGTCACGACAACAGTCAGAGGAGACTAATTGTTCACCGTTCATGTAATACGGCATTCTGGGATTCTTGTTACCAATGTAAAGGACGTTACATTTATCGAAGTTAAGTGGGAGTAGCCAGTCACTGGACCATTTTTGAATGCTTATAAGATCTTGTTTAAGAATTTGATTTTGTGAGCTTAAATTATACAATTTGGTATCGTCTGCGTACATGGAAAAAGGTGACATCAAGCTACTCTTAAGATCGGCAGTATAGGCTATAAAGAGTAATGGTCCCAGTACCGAACCTTGGGGAACTCCGCTCATAACCTCAAAAGGACGGCTGTAAGCATCTCCCACTTTAACTCGAAATGTTCTCTCAGAAAGAAAAGAACCAATCCATTTTAGCAGGTTTCCTCCTAAGCCAATATGTTGAAGCTTATGCAACAATCGACGCTTAGGGACGCGATCGAATGCCTTGGAAAAGTCTAAATACACTATGTCAATTGAGTTGCCTGCGTCCATTTCTTTCGTCCAATCCGATAGGCAGCAGAGTAAATTTGATTGGATAGATTTGCCGGGAAGAAAGCCGTGCTGCTGGAAGGGTATTAGTTGATAATCCACGAAGAATTCAATAACACGGTCGTAAATAATAGACTCCATGACTTTGACAATCAGGGAGGTCAGGCTTATGGGTCGATAATTGGTAGCATCAAATTTGTCTCCCTTTTTAAAGATTGGCCGCACAGTTGCTGTTCTCCAGTCGGCAGGTAGAGAACTAGAATTAAAGGACTGGCTCATCAGAATGCTGAGAGGATACGATAGAACAGATGAACATGTGGTTAGAAGTTTAGCTGTGATTAAATCAGGGCCAGGTGACTTTGACACCTTCAATTTATCTAATTTTTTACGGACAGCGTCACTGGAAAATAGAACATCATCGATAACAACTGCATTAGGTACTCCAAGGATGCTAGGCATTATGTCATTGGGCGGTTCTTGTACGAAAATTTTTAAAAAAGATTTGGCAAATGAGTCGGCTACCTCAATATCACTATCAACCACTGTACCCGTGTCATCTTTTATCCGTAAATTAGTTCCAACTGGGCCGGATAATTGAGTTCGAATGTGTTTGTACAACCGCTTAGTGTCTTTACTATCAGCTATAGATTTCTCGTAGGTTATTCTGGCTTCTATAATTATAGTTGACAACCGATTTGAGAAAGACCTATGTTTCTTATAATCAGCCTCAAGACCTGTTCTTTTGAATGCACGCCATAGAGCTCGTTTTTTTTAAATAAATTTTAGGATAGAGTTGTTGATCCAGGGCTTTTTAGAAGAACGTTTAACGAAAGAGGTGGTTGTGTGTTGTTCTATCTGAACATTAATAACATTTTTAAAGGAGTTCCAGTTGTTAGAGACTGAAGGGTCACTCAATAAATTATTCCAGTCGACCTTATTTAAACACCTGCATATAGCTTTATAATCTGTAATTGACCTCTTAAATGTGTCAATCCTCTTTTTAGAGGGTATAGAGCATATCTGCAAATCCACCTTTAATGTCACGTGGTCTGAGATGCCAATAGGAGGGAGATAATCTAGATTGGCTAGTGACGTGTTATCAGAAGATAAAATGAGGTCGAGGGTGGATGGACTTTGACCAGTTCTGTATCTTGTAGGCTTGGTTACAAGCTGCCTTAGGCGGCTGTCATTAAGTAAATTTACCAGAAGTTGGGCAGAATCGCGGAATGACAGACGATTATCTAAAGGCCATTTTAGTTCACTTAGGTTAAAGTCACCAAAGAAGAATGTGTTTACATAAGTGTTGGTAATGTTAAAAATAGAGTCAAACAGAAGCCTACTATCGTGTAACGATGACGTAGAAGGTCTGTAGATACAAGCTAGAACGAAAGTGGAAGACTTATTATAAAATTTTAAGAATATGGATTCAATACTTCCCGTGTCTACATCCAAAGGAATCAGCACGAAGTCAGCGAGTATTTGATCCAATATGTAAATACAAACACCACCACCCTTTCTCTCAGCTCGGTCCTTTCTAAATAACGTGTAACCATTTAAAAAGGCCATCCCACTAGGTATCGAGGAAGTCAGCCAAGTTTCACTCAACATGATAATTGAAGGACATTCAGTAGCAACTAGAGCGCAAAACTCGTTATATTTGGCCATTAGTGACGCGATGTTGGAGTATACTAGTGAAGCAGTGAAATATTCTGTATTGTGATTGAATGATAATATTAAAAGAAGACAATGGTGTTCACACTCACACGTAGGCAAGAACCTGAAGAAAGAGTCCTTCAGAATCCCACCAATGGGAGGGCATGAAAAATTAGTTGACAGGATTATGTGAGCTGCCGGCCAAGCCAGATAACTCGGTCGGTACGTCGAGGCGCAAATTTAGGGTTCCTTCAGTGGCCTTCTTAATTTTTCTCTGGATCTTACGACACTTATTCTTAATTCCTTTGTGATCAACAACTCCGTATAGGTCGTAAAGTAAATTGATTACGCCTTGAATGTCTTCCGTATGTTTGTGGATCAATGCTAGTACGTCGCTTTCTCCCGAGGCGCTATTCATGAAAGCAACGGTTTGATCAAAATTTAACGGGTAAGCGACACTGTTCTCTATCAGATCTTTGGCGGGTTCCAGTAAGTCTTCTAGTGGCGTTAAACTTTCTGTGGATTCGTTAACTCTCTGCTTTTTTAAGTTAGATTTCCCGTTATTATTTCCCATTATTGTAGACAGATGCAAGGGACTTACCTCCGTTTCAGCCGCGTCGTCTGTTGTTTGACGTTTTCCTGCCACAGTTTCACGGAGTTTGCTAAAAGACGCCATTTAACACTTCATTCGGACAATCGTTTGCAAAATGACCAACCAATTTGCACTTAAAGCAAACATCATCGAACGTGAAAAATACCCGGTAGTTAGTATTTTCGTATTTTAAGACTATCGAGGATGGTAGGTCGACCACGTCATCAGGTTGAACATATATCTGTCGGCGGAAACTTAATACATGGGCATATTCGTCACTCCGCATTCCTGCCCTGAGAAAAGACATTTTTGAGACAGGAGTAAATCCAAAAGTTTTAATTTGGTTTTCAAAAACAGTGTGAGGAATGGATGGGCAAACATTAGAGAGGATAATGCGACGTGCTGGATTTAGCAGCCGGCGCACACTGACTGATTGGTCTTTAATAATGATAGTTGGATGATTATCAACCACTTCATCTACCCAGGATTTAGCACTGAGGTAAATACATACACGATCTTTTGACATCTTAGCAGCGAACAAAACATTTTTTGCTGTCACTATATTACCTATAGCAGCAACATAATCAATTAAAGTTAAGCCATCGGTAGCGTTAAGAACTACCGCTTGCTCTTTCGAGGGAAATTCAAAACTAGCCATAATGACCAAATTTATATATCACGGGATTAAACCCGTTTGCCCGTGAAGCGCCTGCGGCGAGCCGCAGTCACTCGCCTCGACCCTGCTTATAAGAACTTATCAGTGCTTGAGTGTAAGAAAACTTGTTGGTGATAAAAGGAACATGCGAATTAACAAGTATTATGGTGGTTATTATTATATCATTGACTGCTATCATCATTGATGTTAACATGAGTGTTTTGATAAAAATAACTATTTTAAACATGAATTTTGGCGCAGTTTAAAATTTTTATTCAACTCTTGTGGATATGTGTAATGTACATAACTTTTTCATCAAGGGTTTTTTTATTATGATCTACACTGTCGTCATTAAACTGTGTTACCTATCGGCTGATATTTTGTAGCTTCTAAGCAACATTGGTTTCTTCTCCTTGCTGAGTGTCAGTAGGCTGTTCAGGGTTAACATTTTCAGCATTTTCGGGTACGGCACTAGTAACTTCAGGAACGGCGTTTGAGCTATCTTGATGTATTTCCGTCGCAATGGGAACTTCTGGTTCAGTTGGCTGATCAGGGTGAACATTTGGTGTTTGATCCGTCTGTGGTTCTGAACTTTCATTTATTTGAAGTTCAGCAGTTTGGTCCACTTTAGTTTCTGTAGTTCTATCGGGTTGAGGTATCGCATCCTGATCTTTCACCGCAGGGACTAGAGAATCGGTCATCAGTTTGTCCGGAGTGTCAGGAATGTTTCCCTCCTCTGATGCTTCAAATAGAGATTACACGTTGTTAAGTAAGACCAAAATATATAGAGTTGATTAAATGTACTTGTTAATTAGCATTGTGCGGGTAAATTTTAACTTACTGTTAACATAATCATAATACACTCCCCTCAAAAATTATTGCACCACCGGACTACATAGTAGTGATAAATTATTCAAGACAATGCCAAAAAATGACAATATTTAAAAAATATACACATTCTGGGCCTGATTTTGAGACTGCATTAATGTAGGTACATAAATTTATAAGCTTTAATTAATATCGTTTATTTCCACCCCTGCCTTGAATAACGGCTTCCATCCGCCGCTGCATACCTTCGTAAAGGTGTACAATATTATCTTGAGGAATATTTTCCCATTCTTACATAAAAACTGCTTCTAGCTGTTGGAGAGTTCTTAAAGCAATTCTACGGCCCGCAATACGACGTTACAGATCATCCCACACATTCTCGATGGGATTCATATCAGGGCTTCGAGCTGGTCATTCCATATAAAAGGCGTATCGGTTTCTCTGAAATAAGTTTGTACAATGCGCGCTATGTGCGGCCGAGCGTTATCGTTATCATGCATATAAACAAAGTTTCGACCAATGAATGGGCCGTGTAGAATGACATGTGGTTCCAAAATGTCTGTTATGTAGCGTACAGCCGTCAAAGGAGCTCCAGGTAATGGTACTAAGTCTGTACGACCTTGCAAAGCTATGCCAGCCCAAACCATAATCGAACCTCCACATTTGGGATGAAATTACATTGAAAATACCGCTCCCCAGGGCCTCTATACACCGGCATTCGTCTGTCATTTGAGCAAAGACAGAATCTAGACTTATCAGAGAACATCACATTTTCCCAATCTTCAATTCCCCAATTCACATGCTCCCTTGCGAATTCTAGCCGGGCTACTCGGTGAGCTCTGGTGAGTAATGGTCCTTTTGCAGAAACACGAGGTTAAAGATTATCTTCGCGAAGACGATCTCTTACTGTCTGTACAGAAATATGCACATCTCGAGCACCAAACAACTCCATTTGAAGTAATCGAGCAGTACAATGCCTCGTACGGAGCGCTGTTAAGCGCAAAAAGCGATCATCCCATTGCGAAGTCACCCTTAGACGACCTTGTCCTGGTCTTCTGGCAACACTCCCTGTTTCACGGTACCGTTGTGCAAGTCTAGCTATTGTGGAGTGATTAACTCCTAAAACTCTTGCTACGTATCGCTGACTACGACCATCTTCCAACAGAGTCAATGCTCGTACAGCTTCGTCGTGGGCCAAATGCAAGGTTAAGCGTTGACGGACATCCATAATATCGAATATGTATGACAGTAGCGACAGATGTCTAATACATAAATCCTTTGCGAATGAAAAGGACGAAATTCGTATATGTGCACATTTATCCAAAAAACTAGAAACCATCGTTTTAATCCCAATATTGGTTTTTGTTCTGGCAAATAAATAAATAAATAAAAATATGTTTGGATATGATTTGGTCACATATGTGTCTTCTACAAATTGTCAAATTAGAAATATACAAAATTTTGAGGGTGGGTGCGATAATTTTTGGGGGGAGTGTATGTTTATAAACGATGATAAGAATGAATAAATAATTAATTAATGTTTAAGTCTACAATTAATAGTTCTTTTGGGTCATTTCATCACAAGAATGTAGTGCTACCTCGAAAACACCAGACTCAACACAAAACATGATGCGTTTCGGTGACAAGATTGCCATCTTTAGGAGGTTAGTTTTCAATTTAATGATTGAAACGTGTTTTCTGTCAAGTTTTCTGGTATTTTTTGTGTCAATACTTTTTGTGCATATTTAAACATGCATATTACCATTCTCAGCAGCTTCACGAGCTATCATGGCCCGGGCAGCTTCTAAAACTGGACACTCTCTACATCGACAGTTGGGATTGTTTGCTGCTGGATCATTCTTCATTTTATCATCTGCACTTGTTATATCCGGACTTTTGGTGGCAGTGATATCAGTTTCTGCAGGTTTTAGTGCTTCACCACCCGCACCGGCAATTTCTTGTGCTGCAGTATCAGGACTTTGTGTTTCTGGAGCTTCTGCTGCTGGTGCAGTAGTATCTGGGTCCTTACTCTCTGGTGCTGCAGTTTCAAGACCTTCAGTAGTAGGTATAGTATCTGGGCCTTGTGTTTCTGGTGCTACAGTATCTGGAGTTTCTGTTGCTGGTGCTGCAGTATCTGCACCCTCAGCCTCCGGTACTGCAATATCTGCACCCTCAGTCTCCGGTACAGCAGCATCTGCACCCTCAGTTTCTGGTGCTGCAGTTTCAAGACCTTCAATAGCAGGTGCAGAATCTGCTACTTCTGGTGTTTGACCACCTGCACCTTCAGTAGCCGGTGCATCAATAGCATCTTTTGAACTTTAAAAATTGGTGATAAACATTGTGATAAAATATAAAAAAAGTTATTACCTAGACATTTTATAATTTTTTTTTTTTGACAGTAAAGAGTAAAATGACAATATCGAGTTAGCAAAAACGACAGTGATGCCATCATTTCGTTCCATGTGTTGGTTTAACCACGGGCTTAACATAACAATCGTCTTGGTAACATAGAAATTAAACTACATATTACATTTATCAAGTCGTGAGTAACCGCGAGGAATTTGATATTTCTCTTATTAAAACTAATGATCAGACTTCGGCATCATGGAAGTGATGACCTAATAATTTGATTGGTAAGCAGTAAATACTGTCCATTTATGAGAAGGAATATGTTTGGAATAATAATTCTTGGTAAAGTCTAAAAAATGAAATGAGCGCGACATGAATATGCAAAGTCGTGGAAAGTAATAAATGGTCTGATGGCTAAATTATATGAATATGATTCTGGTTCAAATTTTTATTGAAATTCATGTAGGTACAGAAAAACTTTTTAGCGTAACTTTAACTCACTAACGATTTTTCACTTGGAACGGAGGTTCTTCACATATCTGGATTTTGCACATGCATAGATAATGACAAAGCTTTAACAACTTCTTTGTCTGCATCTGATGCTTGTGCAACAACCATTGCGTTGTCAACGTTTCCAGTTTCTTGAACTATTTCTGTAGTTATAACTTCCGGTTCAGCTGCCTGATCAGGTTGATTATCTGGTATTTGATTGGTTTTCATTTCTGTAGGCTGATCAGCTTGGGGAGCAGAAAATTCTGTTGTTGGTTCTGTTTTACTATCTGGCGTTGAAGCTTAAAAATAAAGCAACAGGTCACATGTTATGCCAGTACTAAAGGACTACAGTTATTGTTAAGTTAAATATGTTATTTCAGTAAATTTAAAAATGAATATTTTTTATTTATAGTAAAGTGTGTGTATACCTTTTGTATTAATCTGACTGCCTGCTATGTCTGGGTTAAATATCAAAACTGGACAATCTGTGCACCGGCAGTCGGGACTGATACCAGCTGTAGCAGCTGTACCACTTTCCGGCTTTTTAACACCTGACGTCGCACCTTCAGTTTTTGGCGCTGTAGTTTGAAGATCTTCAATAGCCGCTACGGCGGTTTGTGGACCTTCGATGGCTTGATGCTTCGATTTGCCTAGCTTGGCAGATTTTCCTTTTTTTCCTCCCTGATATTCAAGAATTTCAGTTACTACCTCCACGTTCCCAGAGTTAGTGTAAATTAAAGTAGTTTCGATAACACCTTCAGGTCCTTCGGTTATTACTTCTAAAGTGCCGGAATCAGTAATAGTGGTTGTGACATGCACTCCCTCAGGAGGTTTGTTGAGCACGTCAACTTGCGTATCAATGTCGAACGGGAAGTTTTCTTTTACTTTCAAACATTTAATAGATGTTGCTGACTTAAGAAGGTCTTTACTTTTCGAAGCCGTCACTTGATGAGACATTTTAAATCGTTCAGAGGACTTCGGCCACAACTGATTTACTTCATCACCTTTCGATTCTTCAATCTCCGTAGGCTGCAGTTTCACGGTTTTTCCTTCATCTCGTGCACCGCATTTGCATACCTTTTTACCTGTAGGGCCCACAGGTTGATTTTCCAATTTATGCTGTTGCGATTCTGTTTCTTTCAGTTTTTTAGATATGCCACATTCACACGTCTTTTTTTTAGGTGTCGCAGTTGGAACATCAAGTATGTCACTATCTTTCAGTGTTACAGGACCTTCAGTTTTTGGCCAAAGTTGATCAACTTCTTTCTGTATTTTCGGTTTTATGCATGTACAAGATATTTTTGGTCTAGATGAGGACCCAATGGCCTGAATCATTGGTGTATCATCAAATATTACAGAGCTTCTAGTGCTTTTTTCGCTTTTTGCTTCTGTATCTAGTGGTAAACTGGTTTTCTGAGTTGGTTCACCACCTTCAACAGAAAGAAAGGAATATTACATAGATTCTGCTGCATCCATGAACAAAAATACAAAAAAACGGGTCCAAATCAACTTAAACAGAAAATAAAATTACACAAACCACACGAAGGTAGTTACCTCTGTGGCTCGAACGAAAAAATAGTACAAACTCTTTATTTTACAAACTGATTCTAACAATGAATAAGTCAAAGTTAAGTAAACAATGATCATGGCTTAATGCTGTGTCATAATGTATTATGACAGCTCATTTAAGTTGACCGAGGTTTAGTCGAATGAAATAAATGGTTTGTTGAGAATGGTAAAACATATATCTACTTTAATACGAAATATGAAAATTGTGTCAGTATATACATGTTAAAATTAAAATCTACGTACATAGAATACAAATAAAAAATGTTGAATTTACTTACCTGTTGGTGTCGTATATTCCTGTTTCTCGCCTTCGGGTTCCTTTGGTTGGGGATCTAAAATGTATGTTTTCATATGTAGAAAATACTACGATTTAGATGTGATATTAATGTACCTCCTTCTGCTTGAACAGCGGTTGGAGCTTCTATTTTAGCAGATGATGTCTTTGAAGTTTTCGATGTTTTTCCTTCAATCTGTGGCGCCTTTGGAACAACACTTAATGAATCTTTTTTAAGCGATGACTTCGACGTTCTAGAAGTTCTTTCTTCAATTTGTGGCACTTCTGGAATAATATTTAAAGAATCTTTTTTAAGAGATGATTTTGAAGTTCTAGAAGTTCTTTCTTCAATTTGTGGCCCTGCTGGGGTAATAATTAATGAATCTCTTTTAACGGATGATTTTGACGTTTTAGAAGCAGTCTTTTCAATTTGCTGTGGGGTATCATCAATAACGTCTCGTTTTCCAGATGAAGTTCTTGATGAACGTGACGTTTTCTTTTCAATATGAGGGACATCTGTAATAGCATTTGGTAAATCTTGTTTTGTAGATGAAGTTTTTGATATTCTTGAGGCTTTTTCTTCAACCCGAGGTGGCGTTTCTTCTGTTATAATTAGAGATGCCCGTTTAACGGAAGATGTTTTTGATGTTCGTGACGTTTTTTCTCCAATTATTGGTACACCTGCATTAAATGGTATTTATTAGTGAAATTCCTAAAAAGTGGAATTTAAAATATGCGTTTAGTGGGCTCAAACTTACTCGTTATTTCCTGTACAGCTTGTATTTGTAAAACTCCAACTCCATCAAAATCTTTAGCTTTCGTATCACGTGTTGCGTCGCCTGCATCATCCGAAGTGACTTTTATTACATCTGTTTTCTTCTCTAGACATCTACATTCCTCTGTATCCTCTTCGGCTTTATTGAGTTTAAGATCAACAATGTCGGTGAGACTTTTCAGTAACTTTGCAGCGGAAGTCAAATCTTCTGGTAAATTCACACAGTCACCACAAGGTTCGCAATCTCTCAAAATTTTGCTTAATTCTCTGGCAATTTGGTGAAGATCACATTCATCTTTAATAACACCAGTAACATTAGCCTGAGCAGATAAAGCTGCCTGTAGACTTTTAATCGTTTCAGCTTCACTTATTTTCTGACGTATTAAATCATTCTCTAATTTGGCACATTTTTTCTGATACATCTGAAGTTCTTGCGTCATTTGATCGTTCATTGCATTCAAATTGTAAAGATTTGTAGTTGCGTTGCATAATTGCAGTTTCAAAGAATTCATTTCTTTTTCATATAACTCCTGCACATTTATAAGTTCTTTTGCAGCTTCTTCAAGTTTTTGTTCTAGCTGTACACGTTTATACCTTTCACTTTCTATTTTAAATTGCATAGGACCCTCCATGCGTTCCAAATACTGCCTCACTTCTAATCGCATATCTTTCAGTTCATTTTTTAACAAGAAGTTCTCTAATTTTAATTCGGCATTTGTTTTTTGGTTGGAATCTGATGACGTCGTAGTGTCTGCACAAGGGCAAGGACATGTAGATTTCGTTTTTGAAGAAAAATCGACATTTTTATACTCTCCAAAGACATTGTCATAAATTTTTGCTTTTTGTTCGAGGTCATTCACGTGTTTTAACAAATCTTTCTGTTGACTTGCCAAGTCATGAATATTTTTCATGTAATAAAGATCCATGGATTTTAATGACAGTTTGCTGGGAGAACCAACATTAGTAAAAGCTGCAGCTAATCCATGAGAATAAACGGCCGGCTTGTTGAAGCCTTCGGTGTAATTACAAGGACACTGTTTCTCACCAGAAATGCTGTATTTGCTGCAAGTGCTACAGTTACATCCGTTTTCGTTTCCTGTTCCGGTTCCGTTTCCGGTTCTGTTTCCGTTTCCAGTGATTTTGACAGAACTGTCGGCGACGTTTATGTAATTACAAGGACACTGTTTCCCACCACTCGCACCAGGAATGCTGTATCTGCTGCAAGTGCTACAGTTACATTCGTTTCCGTTTCCAATGCTTCTGGGTTGTATACTTTTTTGTTGGTTTTGCTGCTGAATATTTTGTGGGCTGTTGAAGGATGGTTCGTCAATAATTTCTACTTCGCAGGGATCACATGTGCAACTTTCGATTTTATATACAAAATTTTCATCACGCAGGCACTGTTCATCGTCCCTCGTCATATTTTGTTCTTGAACATTCTGAGTAGTACTAGTAGGTTGTACATTTTCCACATCAGCTACACAAGGGTTGCACATGCAGTTTTGATTTTTATACATAAATTGTTTATTAGGTCCACACAACTCAGGTTGTGGACCGAACTGTTGATCATCTCTAGTAGGCATATCTCCGGGAGTTGATAATTCAGCTACCGCACCAGGCTGGATACTCTCAGCTAATTCTTGAGGAACTGCCTGAGATATTGACTGAGCTTGTGGCCTTTCTTTGGAAGAACCGAATAGAGAAAAGAAACAGTGAAAAATTCCACCTTTTTCTTGAGGTGGGGGACTAGGTTTATCGACGTTCACTGAGGGATGTAGACTAATTATTTGTTCATTTTCTCTTCTAGAGGAAACCGACGGAAGTCTAGGGTTGTTAACAGGTACAGAGGCTGTAGTTGGTACCGAAGTCGTTACTGGAATACCAGAAGTTGGTGGTACTATTTTATAATCAGGTAGGGAGTTAATTGTTGGCACCGCTGGCATTACCTTTGTAGGTGGCATGTAGCTCGTTCTTTGTACTATGTTGGTTATTGGTAAGGACTCAGTTGTTGGCATTGCAGGCATTACTTTTGCAGCTGGTATGTAGTTCGTTCTTTGTACTTTGTTGGTAACTGGTATACTACTGGTTGTTGGTATTACGTTAGGAGTTGGTACAGGATTTATTGTGGGTGTTGTATTCGTGGCTGGTATAACTTCGTTTGCTTTTCTGCCACTGCAGTTTACAAGAATTGCATCCATTGCTTCTAATTTGAGCCGCAGTTCTTGTTCTCTTTGTTGAAGATTTCGATTTTTTTCTTCATATTTATCTTTGAGTTTTTCCCAAAACACTTGCTGTGAACCCATTTTTTATTTATCTACTTTAAGTTAATTTTGAAAGCATATGATAAATTTTTTGACAAAAGTCTTTTGTCTTTTCTACTAATCTACTCGAATTACGTGACCAGAGCCTACTTATTTTCTAGTAAATGACTTTTCCTGACTGATTCTGGCTGATAATGCAAATGTTCTCCGCAGATATTTATGTGGCGCGAGTTCTCGTGAATTAACGTCAACCTAAAATTTTGATTACATGAAAGAATAAAATAGATATAGTGGCAGAAACTGGATGCAAAGACCCTTGCTTTACAGGATGGAGATCTAAAACAACCAGGAAGAAGTTGATTCTATGAGGGGAGTCAATCACTTGACGGACGAGATGCATAATGACTACGCATTGAAACATAATAACGCGGCCTGCATAAGGACATAACAGTACATGCATTAATTAGATCAGTGGAACTTCAGATACAACCAGTCAGCAGCTGGGTGGAACATTTGAGAGGAAAGCTCGGCAATGCGCTGCTCCTATCAGTTGAAGAAGGTCAGCTTGCTCTTGGTGTTATCTTGCGCTGGCCGGAAGTTGGGTATCGCGATCATACTAGGAATTAGTCGAATCGACCGAAAAACTGAATCAGATTAGATTGATTTTTAGGTACCATTCCGGACACAAAATTTCAAACGACCAGCTTCTGTCATTTTAAAAACCTTCATTGTAAATCACCCTTTATTGTCATTCTGACAAGCATTTGTAAATAAATTTCAAATTTTGGCAACTTGAAATTATTTTGTCAAATTGCCGGCAGCATTTCGTATTGATAAAGGGAGAATTATGTCTTCGCGAAATTGGTATGTCATTTGGACATTGAAAAGGCTACAATTATACTCAATTGTTCGCAAGTGGACAGCGACTGGCAGGAGGGTATTCTATGGAGACTGGGTAAGGTAAGGTCATAGGGTAAGGTTAGGTGTTCATAAAGCCACATTTACAATTTAATGTCAATGTAATGTGAAGTCGTTTGAAATATTTTGTCCGGAACAGTACCTACAATTTTATTCCTTCTTATAGGGGTTTTCGAGCGTGAGAACAGTATGGAAAATTCGAAAAAATCCATTTCTCGTAATTTTGTCACCGGAAATGGCGGGGAGAGTTGATATCGATGGACTTCTAATAATTATGTCGCCGTTCGACCATTCAAATGCTAGAGAATTTGTCCGACTTGTGAACCTTGATCACAAGTGTTGAATTTGAACCCCGGGTCTTCTACGAACTGGTGCAACTACGTATATTAATTGCAATTGAAGTCATTTGATAGGGCCAAGATCTGAATAATAGACGTTTTCCTTACATGCTGATGGATTGCCTTCATTCGTATTTGGGGAAGAAAATCTTAGGCAAACAGACAGGTTCGATGTGACTCGCCACTGATTGGCCACGAATGACTATGCGAGGCTATGGAAAGTAATCGATTGCTTTGATGGTTACGTTAGTTGACGCTAAGTCAGAAATTCGGGTACGGAATTTCCGGTCCACCACAAAATCTAATGGTGCTAAGAGACAAAAACTTAAAACTAAGTACATCAAATCTGATGATTTTGATATGTCCTTCCACGATTCTGAAAAAGATTCAGAAGATTTAGAAGACATTCCTGATTCTTATTCTGAACTCATTATAGAAATAATTGTTGGTAATTTCGTTCTGATCAAGTTGATGCCCAAAATACGAACTTGCAGTAGCAAGTTCGTATTTTGTCGCTAACATTATACATAATATTTAGATAAAAACAATGGGTTTAAGTTGCACTATGCTTCTATTATCGGAACGAATGGGTCTTTATACTGATAAAATGTGATCACTGGATAACATACTGTTTTTTAGGCTTAGCAGAAGGAACTGGAGCTCCCATGCCTTTATACGTCTGTTATTTGTAACTTGTTCCAGTAGACCGAATCTGTTTTTATTTTTTATTATTAAGTTTTGGCAACAATTAATTAGTAACACGGGTGTAGTTGTATCCAACTAGTTGGTGCTATCATGCCATTGGTACTAGATATATTAGAAATAGGCATGACATTATTCTTGTTGGCACCGTCGACATCCGCTTCTCTAGTTGGTATTTAGCTTGCTCGTGTTTTGTACTTTGTTGGTAACTGGTAAGATGGTTGTTGGCACTGCGTTATTAGAAGCTGGTATAGAACTAGTTGTGGGTGTTTTATCAGTGGTTGGTACAACGTCATTTGGTTTGTTATTGTGATTACAATTTCCAAGAATCGTGTGCATTGCTTCTAATTTAAGCTTCAGTTCTTGTTCTCTTTGTTGAAGAATTCGATTTTTTGCTTCATATTTATCTTTGAGTTTTTCCCAAAACGCTTGCTGTGAATCCATGTTTTAATTACCTTATAAATATTAAGTTAATTTTGAAAGCGTGTGATGGATGAAATGATAAAAATTTTGACAAAATTCTTTTGTTTTTTCAGGTGTCTATTATATGTAGTATATTACACGGCTGTTATTAGCCAAGGTTGCAGAGCCAAGCATTCTAGACCGAGCGCAAATTAGAACCCGAGACGCGCAGCGTCGAGGGCTCTGAAGCGCGAGGTCTAGAAGTGGCTTTGCAATCGTGGTTAATATACTATTTTTTTCACTTGTAGAAACCATAAGACAATAAACTGAAAAAATAAACGTTCAATTTTTTGACGCAACATGAATTTGTTTTGACTTCTAATCAAACTTAATCTAAATCTTCAACACAAAGAAAACCGTTTATACGTGTCGCTGAGTTAATCATTTTATCTTCTACCGTCTACCAACTACCATGCGTATACTCAAGTAATGTTTGTAGCACACATTTGTTCATTTTTTAAGAAATAATCTTAGATCATATAATAAATAGATACCAATACTCAAACTGAAAGCTGTGACTAGACATGAAGCTACCTGTTGTCGTTTTCTACGTCAAGAGGAGTACTATAATGCTATCCTTGTGTGATCACCACATCTTCATCTTTGTTATATGCATTTCATCTGTATATGTCTATTTCACTTCCATTCTTGTACCGCACCAGCGCAACAAATCGCTTTTGACAGATGTTTCTTCTAACCTCTCTTTCGAGTTCTTGTACGACAAACAATTTTAGAATTTAGAACAAAGATCCTATTTTAAGTGATGTAATCATAAAGGATCACAATTGCTGCCCAATAATTTACTATTCCTTTCATTATCTACTGTGAATTATTTATAAAATCAAGCTGTGAACATCTTTCGTACGATGTTAGTTCCTTAGATCATATAATAAATAGATACCAATACTCAAACTGAAAGGTGTGACTAGACATGAAGCTATCTGTTGTCGTTTTCTACGTCCAGGGGAGTAGTATAATGCTATCCTTGTGTGATCACCACATCTTCATCTTTGTTATACGCATTTCATCTGTATATGTCTATTTCACTTCCATCCTTGTGCCGCACCAGCGCAACAAGTCGCTTTTGACAGATGTTTCTTCTAACCTCTCTTTCGAGTTGTTGTACAAAAAACAATTTTAGAATCTAGAACAAAGATCCTATTTTAAGTGATGTAGTCATAAAGGATCACAATTGCTGCCCAATAATTTACTATTGCTTTCGTTATCTACTGTGAATTATTTATAAAATCAAGCTGTCAACATCTTTCTTCCGAAGTTAGTTCAGACATACTTCCTTAAATTTAGGCGCGCAAAATTCAAATAGTGATCAGGCAAGGATAGCTTCATTGTAATCCCTCCATGCACGAGAGAGATGTGTGACAGGAGGATGTCGTCACAGGCTGTCCTAGGGAAAGAACACGGCATGGTGGTATCTATTTATTATATGATCTAAGGTTAGTTCAGACATACTTCCTAAAATTTAGGCGCGCAAAATTCAATTAGTGACCAGGCAAGGATAGCTTCATTGTAATCCCTTCATGCACGAGAGAGATGTGTGACAGGAGGATGTCGTCACAGGCTCTGCTAGGGAAAGAACTTGGCATGGTGGTATCTATTTATTATATGATCTAAGGAAATAATCACATCAAATATTGCGTACATAACCTCAATTTTTCTTTTTGAACCGGTGGTCGCAAAAGTTGAATTTGCTACCACTAAATGAGTCGACATTTGCATGCTTGATGGCTGCTAGTGAAAAAAATATCTATTCTTATTATTGCACTCAGAGTCTATAGTACTGAATAATGTTTTTTTTCTAACCCGCTAAAATTTAACTGTCGTACACAACATTTTGTTGAATTACCCTCAGATCTAATCTAAAATTTAAAATAATTATTATAAGCGAAATAGGCAATGATTCGAAGAGAAGTTTATTACATACATTTGTTTTATTAAAACGTAAAATCAGGCAGAAAAAATAGGTCGAAGGTTATTTCGACAGAACTTCCCTCGCCCCTAAAATACAGTCGAACAAATACAGCTTCAAAAAATTATAAAATTTATCGAGATTTATTTTTTTTTGTTTGAGTACCCAGGTGCAGTACTATTAATAACAGTAATGTATCCTCAAATTTTCATTTTATGGGCAATAAAACATGTCGCTTCAACGATTCCACATTGTTTATTAATACAAACATAAGATCAACTTAGAAAAATCTTTTTACAATAAATGTTGAAAATGTTGTTCTTGATTAACAAAACAGGTTTCAGCACGTCGCAGCATGTTTGCACGGATATGTAAAAAAATGCCGGGAGTTCCATAAATTGTAGCGGCTGCCACTTCCAAAAGTTGCTGAAGCTTTGCTGAAGCTCTTCCATAGTTTCTGGACACTGTTGATTTCCCTACTCTAATTCTTTCATCTAACCCCACAGACAAAAAGCACACGGATTGAGATCGGGTGAACGCGGAGACCAAGCTACTGGGCCGTTTCTACCGACCCACTGGTTAGGAAAATGGTTATTCAACCATTCAGTTACTGGCCTAGTAAAATGTGGTGGTGCTCCATCATGCAGATACCACATGCGAACTCGTTCACCTGCTAGAGGCACTTCCACATCAGCGGGCTCCAAAGCTTGCATTTTTTGAACGTGGTATTGTAGGCCTTGTTCTTTTAATGTAGGATGCACTACAAACTGTGAAACTTCAATTTCAGCTGCAAGTCGGCGAGTGCTGATGTCGGGCTTTTCTTCGACGTCTTCCAAAATTTGTTCTTCAGCTTGCGGTATTCTTTCTTTCCTATCACGGTGAGTTTAAGCTTTGAAGGTATGATGATCTCGGAGATGCTGTAGCACTGATGTATACTTTGTCTAACAGTATTATAAGAATTTTATGGAGTCTCAACGTTAATTCGTTTTACAGCCCTGTCGTCAATTCTACTGTAAAGCTAAAAAGTTTGTCAGGGAAAAGCCGATGTTTACTGTATCCGAGTTCGCCCCGCTCTTCGGCTGTACAATAAAATTAACGACAGGGCTGTAAAACGAATTAACGTTGGGAGTCTATAAAATTCTTATATTGTTAGACAAAGTATAAATGTTCACGGTAACGGAATGGCACTATTTGGAAAGCGCTCGATCTACAATTCGCGGGCCAACCTGGCGCTCCCATCAGCCTCACCATAAAGCATTACCATGTCGACATGCTCTGAATTGGAAAAATTTACCATTGCCAAAGACGTTAACCGAACGCCCAACGCAAACTAACTGATACATGACTGGCCTATATCGTGTTTTTGTAAACATTGCATCGCTTTTTTGGTTTTTAATCCTAGTCGTTCTGTGCCATTCATTGAAATTAGTAGGTCCAGTAACATTACCAGTAATAATTTATATTTAATTTCAAATAATTTTTTCTAGACATTAGGAACGTGAACTTTACACAGTGCAATAAATCTTATTGTGAGTTATTCCCCATTTTTTTATTGCACATATTTTGAAATCACACTGTATGTATACGCCGAGAATTGAGACATCAGAATTATTAAACGCTGTTGGTTGTGCATTGGGGAGCGTATAAGATGCATTTTTTATGTCCTACAATTTTAATAATGTATTTTTAATTCAATTTTAATCACAGTGATAAATTCCATTTTATTTTATTGTTTGCTGTAAAGATTCACAAGTTAACATTCTATTGTTTACTTCAGTTTGATGATAGTGTATAAAATTCATGTCTTATATAAGACATATTTCAAGGTAGTGTCATCGGTTTTCTCAGTTTCATTAAATTCTGTTACTTTTCACCCTCTGTTGTTAAAATTCTACTTTCTATTTATTAAAACTTCATTGTGACTCCTAATTTTTCTTGAATTTTCATATTTTTTAAGAAGACGTGTATTATCTGTTATCACGTCATATTTTACAATCTGTCCGAAATTTTGTGTTATTTGTAACAATAAGTAAAAGTGGGCAGGTATTTTTAAATTTGTTAAAAAATATATATATTTTTTGTAAAAATATCTTTTGAAATTTTTATCGAGGTTTCTTTTATTAATACTTACTCATTGTTAAACTAACTAACAGCCTGAAATTATTTTTGTAAAATTGAGTTGTATGCGATTACAGAAGAAATGGAAGAAATATTCCTCCAGTTAAAACTCGAGGGGTAGATATGTTTCAGAACTAATGTGCTTCATCTTGTTTTAACTCAGAGCAAAACATAATTTTTTTAAATCCTTAATAACATAACAAATCGCTTGCCGAAAATTTTTAAAAAGGTTTTATATACAAGTAAACGAAAAAAATTATATGCCTTTAAGTTTTAAACTTGTATCACAAAATTTCTTTAAATAAATTATTATTACATATTGTCATTGAAGTGGAGACTCAAAAAATAAATATATACATCTTTTGATGTACGATATGTGGATTCTACAAAGAGAAAAATAAAAAACAGTTTAGTGTCCATTCTGATGAATTCATCGGTTTTTCTTTTTGCTGTTTTACAAATAGCAGTGATGAACACTAGCAACAAATTTTCGTTGACATAATAACTCATTACACAATATATTAAATAAATTATTTAAATATTACATGCAGATATCTTGCTAAAATGAATAGTAGGTACGTACCTAAGATATAAACACGAATCTGCATGAATTTTTAGTTTAAACAAATAAAAGGCGAATAATGACCATTATTTTATGAGTACAACTACCTGCTAAGTGTTCTCCGACAAATTCGGGTGAATTGGTGTGAGCCATAAATATTTCTTACCATTGTACTACTGCCCGTCTCGTTATTGTGAATAAAATTTTATAAAGTAGAATGAAATTTCCAAAACTATACATACAATAATGGATTCCAAAAATTTACGATGTTGGTGACATGTATATTTTCCCATTTTTTGGAAATAATTAATACTTGTTTATTCAAAAAATGTTTCTGTGGCAGTTGGAGATTAAATTTTGTGTACACCGTTGAACTTTACCGTATTACTACAATTTCAGAGGAAGTTTGTGAGCAGGTTCTGAGATAATCGATAAGATAAATTGGTTGACACATTTTTTGATGAGTCAAAATATTATTGTCATCAGCTGTTCAGACGTTTGCGTATTTTATAGTTGCAGATAATATCTTTCAAGTATACATTTCATTAGTAATTTTGTTCGTTTTTTTTTGGCGAAATGTACTTGTAATATACCGTCGTTTCCAAAAAATTTCGGACAAATGAGATTGGCATGAAAGTCATAGTCCCATTGCTTTTCATTGATCTATAAGAACCTGATTTGCCTATCTTGCCTGAAATTTTTGGAAACGAGTGTATGCACTATGTATTTCAAAAAGTTTAATTTTTGGTTTATTTTTTTAAATAATCGCGCCCTTTTATGGGAATTTCAAAGATGGCGCTCCATGCAATTGGCAGTACACATGTCAAAATGTGTGTCAAAATAATTCGTCGAACTGAGGAACTGAGCCCGTAATGTCAAATAGGTAATTGGTGTGAGTGTTCAAGTTTGTGTTAATCTCTATAAATAATTCGTCACAGATAAATTTCACATGAAATACGAAATTTTGATATATATGTGGCAGACTGTAGTGAAATTATATTTCCTATAATTTCAATATTATCCCGATATCGTGTATTACAAAGAGGTGTATAAGTTGGATACAAAACCCTAAGAAATGGCATCAGGGACAACTTTGCAGAAAGCAATAGAATTAGTAACAAAAGCCACCGAAGAAGATCGTAACAAGAATTATGAAGAAGCACTTCGATTATATGAACATGGGGTAGAATACTTTTTACACGCCATCAAGTGTAAGTTCTTTAGAAGCAATTTTTATGAGTAATCGTGTGACATAAATTTTCTGCAGATGAGGCACAAGGTGAAAAGGCTAAAGAAAGTATCCGAGCCAAATGTTGTCAATATCTTGAACGGGCTGAAAAAATTAAAGAGTCACTTAAAAAGGGAAAGAAAAAACCCATCAAGGATGGAGAAGCTGACTCAAAGTATTCCTTTTGTTGTATTTAGTGATCACATTTTTTGTAAGTTATTATTTACAGAGATGACAAAAAAAGTGACAGTGACAGTGATGGTGATGACCCAGAGAAGAAAAAACTTCAAAATAAATTAGAAGGAGCAATTGTTGTTGAGAAACCCCATGTGAAATGGAATGATGTAGCTGGTCTAGATGCAGCTAAAGAAGCTCTTAAAGAGGCTGTAATTCTACCTATTCGATTCCCTCATCTTTTCAGTGGGAAAAGAGTTCCTTGGAAAGGAATCCTGCTCTTTGGTGTAAGCTCCGAAAGTTATCCTACTTATCCGTTTCATTAAATCCATTTAGCCTCCAGGTACTGGTAAATCATACTTGGCAAAAGCTGTTGCTACTGAAGCAAATAATTCAACGTTTTTCTCTGTATCTTCTTCTGACTTGGTCTCAAAGTGGCTTGGTGAATCTGAAAAACTTGTCAGAAATTTGTTTGAATTGGCACGCCAGCACAAACCCAGCATAATTTTCATTGATGAAATCGACTCTCTTTGTTCATCACGATCTGATAATGAATCAGAATCCGCCCGCAGAATTAAAACAGAATTTCTTGTACAAATGCAAGGTGTAGGTCATGATACGGAGGGTATTTTAGTTTTGGGTGCTACAAATATCCCATGGGTTCTTGATGCCGCTATTAGGAGGCGTTTTGAGAAGCGCATTTATATTCCTTTACCTGAGGAACCAGCTAGAGCCACCATGTTTAAGTTGCATTTAGGTAATACACATACTGAGTTAAATGAAGAAGATGTTAAAGAATTGGCTAAGAAAACAGAAGGGTAAATTTGAGGCATTACCTTTTTGTAAAATTTTGATGGTTGTTTATAGATATTCGGGTGCTGACATTAGCATAGTTGTTCGAGATGCTTTGATGCAGCCTGTACGAAAAGTTCAAACTGCCACTCACTTTAAAAAGGTCCGAGGGCCAAGCCCAAAAGATGCTAATGTTATTATTGATGATCTTCTTACACCTTGTTCACCTGGTGACCCAGGGGCAATTGAAATGACCTGGATGGACGTAGAAGGTGATAAACTAGCTGAACCACCAGTTACAATGGTATGTAAGGTTTATTTTTGGTGTGATGCGCTTTAATGTTACTTTTTTGCAGAATGATATGTTAAGGTCCCTTGCAACATCGAAACCCACAGTTAATGATGAAGATTTGACAAAATTGGAGAAGTTTAAAGAAGATTTTGGACAAGAAGGTTAATTTTGAGATTATTGTGAATGCAAAACTGTTATTTAATACTTACTGCATTATGAACTGTTTTTTAGGAAACATGAATGTTGTCTGGAAAATTTATTCATGTTTCAATGTACCCAATAATTGCTTTTAGTCATTTTCAATATACTTTTAAATGATAAACATATTTTATTTTTTATTTAAATGTGTAAGAATGCCTTATTTCGTTTATATAAATTATATTTGTAACTATGAGCGTTAATAAAATGTGAATACTTATTGCCTAAATATATTTTTGTCTTTGTTATATACATAGCACAAAATCACACTGTAAATAGTCGTGTTAAATAAATAGTTTTAATTCACTTAGGGCAAAAAGGGCTGGTACGAAGATTATGCTTAAATTCTAGATGTAATGTTTACATTTTCTTAAGTATTATTTTTTCACAAATTGTATTTTTTTAAGCTTTGGTTGAAATAAAGACAATATTTCGTGAGTACTTGTGTAATAATCTTCAAATGGGTGGGGCATCTTTTTAAAAAATTTTACCTGTGTATTGCAAAAACAAGAACTAGTGGTGGACTGATGGGCGAAATAATATCTTCAAGAAAAAACAACAGTTACAAATTTATTTGGTTGCGTTCAAGCTTGTGAAACAAATCTTTTACAACGGTTGTAATAAACCACAGAAAAGTCTTATAAAAGTTTCTAAAAACATGGAGCTTCTACAAAATGGTACGTAAAAAGGTCAACTTTCATGGGTAAGCCTATAGCGACGTGGTGACCACAAATTTGATGACGCAATTGCCCACAATTTTATTGTCATTAAATATCGACTGTATTCCTTTATTACTAAAAATAAATAACAGCATATCGCAACTACAGGGTTTCCAACAACAAAAAAAGAAAACGTACAAACCACAGAATCAGTCTAAAAAATCTACTTAATATCTAGCAAGGCATACAAAAATTGACTACCTTTCTAGTAGGTAAGTAAATCTCCACTTCATAAAAATGTGCAGTTTATGGAAGATTAAACTGTCAATCCACAGTTGGATGTTTAAAAATTTTCAAAATTCTGCACTAAATATATGAAACTATGACTACGGAGGACAATGTCTTAAATATTCCGAGTCGAAGTAAACTATAGTTATTGTAATATCGTCTCTAAAAACCCTAACTACTTCATCAGGTAGACTCAACATCTCAGACAGTTCACTATGGTCAATTCCATACTCAGTTCCACCCAAAGCGTTCCTAATGAGATGTGTAGCTGCATTCGAATCTTTTGGTTTAGTTTTTAGGCCTTCTTTTCTCTGAAGCAACAATTCGTTAATTTCACTCAGAGACATATTTCTTCGCGGCAGTTTTAAAGGACTGAGGGTTAATTTACCGCTCATGTGTTCACCAACAAGTCGAACAACTTCTAAAGGTGATATGATGTCCCAGAGTCCATCTGAGGCAATGACTAGAAATTTATCACGAGGCGTTAGACGATGGTGAATCACTTCTGGTATAGCTGTTAAATATGGGGGAGTATGATAGTTCGGTGGGACTGCATTTTCACTGAAATATTTGGCCACAAGTGAATACATTATTTCTTTACTCCACTTGTAACAAAAATCGCCCATTGCTCTGAACGGTGCCAGTTGTCCTAGGAGTCGGCCCACTCTAATTACAGTGCTGCTTTCATTGTATGGATGTTCTTTGATGATGCGTTCAACCTCTGTTTTGTTGTAATAATTGTGCTCTTGAGTTAATTTGTTTGCTATCCATGCGTTTGTATCCGACAGGGTTCCTGGAAATAGATTGGTATGGAATGGATTAAGCAGTCACTTACTGACAGTGATTGGCACAAATACTATTAAAAAGTAATGCATTATTCAGCAACAATAGTAATTGATTACAAATTACTTTTTTAAAAAAGGAATTCATTACAATTACTCATTACTTTTAAAAAGTAATGCATTACTTTAACAATTACTTTTTGCATTTTGAAAAATTTGATGAAGACACAATTTTAGATATTTGTTGTACCTATGGGTCCAAAGGGTCAAGAAAAAACATGTTACAATAAAAAAGGGGCTAGATAGAATTCTTGTGGGGCTACATGTTACATATTTTACCAAAAATTGAAGAGCCGATTCTTTTGTGCCTAATTTCATGCTACTCTGGCTACAAATAAAAGTTCGATGCCAACTGCAACAACTTTTAAACAAAAATTTGCATCGGTGGGGGATTTCAAAATATCTTATTGGCTACGTGTAAATGTATCGTAAATATTAGTCCACCGATAATTACCTCCAGACGCAAATCTTTTAATCTTTAATAAAAAGGATGTTCCTAACAGTGCCGAAACGAAAGAATATTTAGGTATAGTCGAACTTTGCGTTAGGCGCCCCTCCTCGACACATAAAAATGCAATTTTACAGTTTTATTTATATTTTTTAATAAGTACGCAAAACAGATACTATGATCAAATATAAAAAAAGAAAAAAAATCGAGTTTATACATATAGGTATATATGTAATATGTATAAATATTATATAAGTTCAAAATAAAATCAACATTAAAAAACCTGTCGCACCGGTTACATGTTTCTGAGTTTCCGTTCAAAATAAAAAAAGATTAATATGACATAATTCTTGGTATAGTTTTGGAAATTTCATTCTACCCTATAAAATTTTATTGACGATAATGAGACGGACAGTACTACAATGGTAAGAAATATTTATAGCTCACACCAATTCACTCGAATTTATTTAGAACATTTGCCAGGTAGTTGTACTCATAAAATAATGGTCATTTCTGCTCATAAGTAAAGATGGTCCCTCCCGGACCTGGATTATTCTGGTTTCTAACATCTGGGAATTATCGGCACGCGACAACTTAAGTTGTAAATATCTTTTGCTATTGTACTACTGTCCATCTCGTTATTGCCAATCAAATTTTATAGGGTACAATGAAATTTCCAAAACTATAGAACATAATTTTTGGACGAATTTGGCGCCCCTTGTCGTTGGCGCCCCTAGGCAAGGGCCTACTCGGCCTATAGCTGGTTTCGGCACTGGTTCCTAAATAGTTAGAAGGGGGCTACAAGATAATGTAAACTTAAAAGTCTGTCTTTAATTGTCTCTTACTTGGCGTTGTGACTTACAGATTAAATTTAGAAAACCTTAGAGGGCGGACACTCTCATAAAATTTTATTGTCGGATCGGGGATTTAAAAGGACGGGCTCTATCTGTTACTTGTTATAGATTTGAGTGGACTAGAAAAATGGCTAAAGCTTGTTTGACCACAAATTTTAAATATTCTGCCCCTGTTTACTCAATTAGTTATTAAGATATTTTATTTCTGTAACACGCAAAGAATTTTTTAATACAGTTTATACTAATGTACCTTTTTGAAAATTTAAAATTGATCCATAAATACGAAGACCAGATAATCTCTTACTCATCATAATTTTAATGCATTGTAGTTTTTCTTGACAACAAAATTTGAAAAACGGAAAAGCAGTCGGGGTAGGGGTTTCTACGCTCATTTCAACGGTGTAAAAACTTAGGCAGAAGTGTATATGTATTTCCCTATGCTGGAATATGATTTAGCTCGCCTTTAAAATGATGAAGAGCATATTATGGTTACCTGGTTTCTTAACAAATTCTGTGTTAAACTCGTTTTAGATTTTAACTCACTACAGGGTTAATCTTCTCTTTGTGGGGACGAACCAGGTATAATAATTCCAGGTAAACGATTCGAAGAGAAAAACAAAACAATATTTTTGAGTAAGTATTTGCAAAAAGTACACAAACTTCATTTGACATACACCTGCCAAAACTTTTATGACTTAAGCGGCTTAAGTCAAAGCACCCTTATAAGTCAAACTGGCTATTGTAAGCTTTATGGACCCGAACCGCAAGATTATTACTGTCCATTGTTGGCATAATGTAGCTGTGAACTGAGTTAAGTCATACAATACCCATTTTGACTTATAAGGGTGGTTTGGCTTAAGCCGCTTAAGTCATAAAAGTTTTAACAGGTGTATGTCAAATGAGGTTACTTTAACTGTAAATGTGACTGAGTTACTTAAAAAAGTAATTCGTTACAATTACTCATTACTTGAAAAGGAATTGAATTACTTCTAACTACTGCTTACTAACTATTAAATTTAAACAAAAATTTACATTTTCCTTGGAAATAAAAACGTTATTCTACGTATGGGTGATAGATTACAGCAAAAATTGTCTAAAGTATTAAGATTCCCTCGTTCATGAAGCCTAATCAAACAAGTCTACTCGCTTTGACAAACTATAGAATGTGATTTTGGAAATTCAATCTTTTTATGATAACCCCTACATACTAAAATATTACTGAATTATTAAAGTACAGGTAAATGAGTATAACATGCTATAAATTGTGCGTTTTAGGTGCGACGTTCTTAAGAAAATTTTGTGATGACTAATTTTTTAGGAGGTCCCTACTGTATAGTAAACTATTTCATTAGTTTTTATGAGACATCTTCTATAAACCAATGTAAAAAATGGAAAGGATAGAAGGAATTGCATGCATAGAAGCTTGCTATTTTGTACATTTCACGTGAAATTTATTTCGGAAAATTTTAAAGTAATGTGATCAAATTTTTGGTAGGGAATAACTTAATAGCGACTTAACTAAATTCTACGATAACGTTAAGGCATGTGTAAAAGGTGTTTACTCTATAACAACATGCGGCAGTTTTATAATGAACACAAATTCAAATACTTAAAACATGAATTTTTATTGTTTTAATAAATGAGATTTTATAATTTTTTGTACAAATAATCTTCCAATATCACCATACATTCTGCGATGTAGTTTCTTATTATATGTTATTGTTACGAAATAAACTCATACGCCGCCCCGCTACGACGCCTATAGGTTTTCTAGTATGTGCGGCGATGACGGCGTTCGATAAAGAAAAGCTTGGAGGCGGAAGTCGCGTTAAAATACTCTCTTAGCTTACGCAAGGGAAGTAAAAAGAAGGTATATTAAATACTTCATTTACGACAGTGTTAATTCAAATTAAACTGAAATTTAAATCAAGGTAATTAACGTTCGGCTAGCTACACTTACAAATCTAAATTTTTACTAGTATATTGAATACAATCCTAATCAACAATAAAATATTTATGTTTCAATGGCTACATAAAGAAGACAATTTTAGCTCGATGGTTACTTCAGAAACTATAGAATTTCATCTATTTAAAAAACAACACAAGAAGCTACGATATTTACCACATTCTACAAATGCGAAACTACCACGTTTAAATTATTTCAGTGTTTGTTTGTTTGTTACTAAACTTTTGCAGAGATGGTTTATGCAATAATCTGCACTTTGTTTATTTCCAGTTCCTCGTTGTTTTGACTAGCCATAAACTGTGTTTTTCAAACGGAAATTATAGCTTGGAACGTAATTAAATAGTCGTTTTCGAAAAAGAACTAATTTGCGAATAAAATTAACATCCTTATGTTGTTTTCTTTGTACGCAACTTAAGAGTTCGTTATTATAATAAAGTGATAAATGATTATCAACTTCAGCAAAATTATGATGCCTATAAAGATGTATTTGGTTTAATAAAATTCACTGTGTAGAATATTCTATTTAGAGTAATTTTAAATTAAAATTATCCCATCTAGCGTCACCAAAAAAGACTGTGCTGCAGTTGTAGTGTGTTGTAAGAAGAGATAGAATGTTCTTTCTACAGAATTTACTTGCTTAGAGAATTTTGTGGCTAAAGCCTTTGTCTAAAAAGGCTAGGATTTGTTCGCCATTAATTTTTTTTAATTGTTATTAACTTTTTAAATTTTCTTTCCTTTAATGAACATTTTATTCATCTTTTCGATTAAACTATTGTTTTAATAGCGAGATTTAACATTTAGCATTTTATTAATAGAAATTGGAAAAAACATCTTTATCTTTAGCTGTAAAATTTGAACAATAGTAATTATAAATTACATTTTTTTGTGATTTCGCTCGTCTTTTTAAGGGGATTTAATTATATTCCTGCCGCTGCTTAAAATGATATATTTTAAATTATTATTATTTATACTAGGAAGTGAACTGTTAACAGTGAGTTTTATTACAGCTTTATATACTCTCTCGATGTTTGAAACTTCAATAGAAATGTAAATTTTGTCACTAATTGACTTATTAATTACTTACTTACTTTTTTAGTTCTTAACAATTTAGATATTAAACGAATTTTGAAATTACATACTCGAATTAAAGAAAAGTGTAGCGATCAAATAAAATGTAGAATAAATTGCTTGATACAAGGACGCTATCTAGTTCACATAGTATGTACTACTTCTCTGTTCGCTGTCAGTCAACGTCGATTTTGTACTTTGTGGTTATAGTACAAAATCTATTTCAATTGTATTTCAGTTTGCTTCTACGATTTGCAATAAAGTCTTTGAATTGAGCGAAAAAGTGAAGTACATCAAAAACATGAAAAACTTTTCAGGTGGTCGATGTTGTCATTTTTCTTTGTTTATTGCTGTCCAGCTTCGCTCTGATTTTTTTAGAAACTGTTACTGCTTTTGGGCTTCTTGTTATAATTGAGAAAGTCGATGCCAATCTGCGTTTCTAATGTTACGGTTATTACATGTAATCAAAAATACTTACGTTGCGTTAATTTCAAGGTATGGCCCTGACACATTTTCCACAAGTCTTTAGCAAAAAGCACAAAATTTGCATGCCAGAATCGAATTATTGATCTGTTGTAATACGTTTACGCCAGAAATAGATTCTAAAATTAAATACGAATAAATACTAGGGATCAACGTTGACGAACTGAAAAGCTGCGTTTGCAAAATAATTTCACTTTCTCGTATAACAAAACTGTACAGCGAGCACCTCATTGCGAAGGCAAAACCGACATTTGCTGGCACCGAATCTACAAGTATAAATGTTATATGAACGCAACCGAAGACAGCTGATTCTATTTGAAGTAATTGTTTCATGACAGCAAGACTTATCTCTAGTGATTGAGGCACAATCTTTTGAAAGACGAAAAAAAGTCAGAAAATATATACACTACCATCCACGGAAATATGAAATTTCGTTAAATTCATTAATCAACATTATTTCTCTATTTGTAGGTATTATATTACCTTACCAAGAACAGCACAACAGTCTCCAACATTTGCGATATGTAGATGAGCCCCATCAATGTGAGCGACGCACGCTACAGCCCCAGACATGGCAACTGAAAGAGTTTTCATGTTCACTTTACCATTTTTTGGTAACGCTTCTCTCGATAGGTCGTCATCCAACCTTAAAAAAGCTTTTTCTAATGCCCTTCTCATCTCGAATCCTTGCTTCTGTCCTACCTATACATTATAAATAAATTTTAAGCAACATAATTATCATCACGGATGTACTGCTCACCTCTACTAAATCTTTGAGAAACTCAAAGAAATTATGTTTGTAAATGTCTCTCACATCATCAATTAGTTGTACTTTGTCGTTGTATGATTGAACTAGTTGTAATGGGCTTGGTGTAGATAGGGAAGTTACATATTCCTTCAAATGATCATGTGGGAGCAGACAAGCTGTAATATAGTGAAACAGTCTTTTGGCTAAAACTTGAGCACAAGCACCTCCTCCGTGACCATCAAATACACCGACTAATAGACCTACAAAAGCAGCATAAACAGGAGCACAAATACGAGGAAAATGATCACCGCTTGTAATTAAACAGGAAGCTTCTGCACGAGTATCTTCGATAGGGTTATTTGAAGCCAGCTGATTAGAATCGTAAGATTTGACGGAACCGCTTGAAAATTCATGAGTATATTCGTTTGCACGTAAAATGTGATCCACCTAAAAAATTAGGAAAAAATTACGAACGTAATTTAAATTATTATAGGGCATAAACATTTATTGTTTGCATATAAAATTCCCTCAACACCAAAATTTCCTTAACGTACAAATATCGTACTAACAATATACTACGTACACATTAAAAATATATTGAAAATCAAGAGCTTCAAGTTGATTCTGCCCAAATTGAAGTTATTTTTTATAGTTATATTTTACTACGCTGATCTAACTCCAATATACTTATGATTTACTGACTTAGAATTTTTGTTATTAAATATGATTTTAAAACGTATCTTTTTTATATATATAATATTTCAAGAGTTATATTTTTCAAATTCATAATTCATAGATAATAACTACAAAGAGGTAAAAAACCACTGCGTGTAAATATTACAAAAAACTCCAAAATAGAACAGAACAAATAAAGATTCTCCGTACTGGAACGCTTAATTCATCACTACGTTGATGCTTATTGTTAAGTTTTTAAATTATTTTGGAATTAAAATAATTATCTAACAACCGTACAATATTAAACTGAGCAAATATTTTAATCTTTCGAAAATAACCAGGAACAAAAAAGAGATAAAAGTTTTCGTAGAAACCACATTCGACTATTTAAACATGATAATGTTAATTATTCGGAGAACACATCAGGGTACTATTATTTACTTATTAATTTTTTCAGTGTAACAAATCCGCATTGCCATCAAGAGAATGACAAATTTTATTAACATAATAATGAATTAATCAAGTACTCACAAACTGAAAACTAATAATATGACGCTAAACGTTACTACTTGGTTGATTTTAGCTTTTCAGTTAAAAGTGGTTCACTGTGACCAAAGAAGTAAAAAAAGATCAATGTGTAAAGAAGTGGACAGGGACAATAAAAACTAAATAGAGAAGTAGTCTTTTTAAATACTTCACATGTGTTCATGCATTTCACAGTGAGAGATATTAAAAAATGACAATACACGTTTGTGTAAGAGAACCAACTTTTGCGCTACCCATGGTCTTAATTTAGTGTGAAAACATCCGTAATATAGTTGTTTCCTAATAGTATTGCTACCCTAGTTAGACACGATTGAAAACTTATAGTAATTTTTTGTTAACTGTGCAGCTAATTGGGAATATAAATAAGAAGTATCACATCAAAACAAGGAACAGAAATATGAAACAATAAGTAGCAAAATTTAAATATTTGGAAACTATAGTTAACAGTCAAGGAACTGTGGTCGACGAAATAAATGACAGAATAGACAATTTATTTAATTGCATAAAAGCACAATTCTTCGTTATGAAAGAAATTCCAACACGTATGAGCAGAAGCGATAATAAAATTGTAAAACCAACCTTGACATTTGGAAGTGAAATGCAGAGACAACGACAGAGATAGAAGGAAATCCTAGATGTGATAAAATTAGATTTAAAACATTTAGGAACATGTTAAAAATATCTTGAGGAGAGATTACAATTCAACAAAGCCAATTACGCTGGTTGGTGCACATCCAAAAAATGAAAGATAGTAAACCGGTGAAACAGGTGTACGATGTAAAAGAACTGGGGAAAGAATAAAACAGAGGTCCCGACAAACTTATGGAGAAAAAATACGAAAAACAGTTGGATGATCAGCTCGAAGTTGGTACAGGACAGGAAGGAATGGAAGAAAATATGAAGAAGAACATAATAAAAGTCATTGGTGTGACACCGAAAAAAATAAAAGTCTCCTAACATTCTCTCAAATGATGAAAGTGTCACATATTTGACTGAAGACAGAAAACTAATGGAAAATTTTTATTTATACTTAAAGTTTATGAACACCAATCTGACATTTGCTACAGCTAACTTGGTGCTGTTATGATATTTTTGCAGTAGAAGTCCGTTTGGGTAGCCGTGTTAGGAAGTTCGTGAGGCGAGGCCGTAGGCTAGATTTCAAATTTATTAACTAAAATTTTTAATTATTTTATTATATCTTATAAAATGATTAAAATTGTATCGCAAATTTCTGCAATACGTTTCTTACATGTCACCACGTTCAGGACATTATAATTATTATTACGCAACGCGTTGTTAAAAAGTGTGATAAAATAAAATGATTCAATAATTATTATCAGTACTCTTGGGTATTTAATTAAGATAATCGATAAAACAAAGCGATTTTTGGGAAAGCGTTTTGAATCGATAAATAATAAATGGTTATTAAAAGTTACCGAAAACTCCAAAATAATCTTTTGAGTAGTTTTGGAACCCCTTTGTAAATGATTTGTCTAATAAGAAAATTGACAGGCAGATTATGGTGTCCAAATTTAGAAATTTAAATTTTGTGCTACAAGAAAAAAATCATGCAAAAATGCAAGCAATCACATGTTTTGGTGCGTTTGGGGGAATAACGAAAAAAAAATTACCCTTTGGTTGGTGATTATAGGGAGTTTTGTAAGACAAGGTAGGTAGAGTGTTTGAACAAAAATTAATCGCATTCGATGCCACTCTTCCTTCTCAACGAGTATAATTAGTGTGACACTAGTTAATTAGCGATTTTCTAACGTGAAATGTTGTGAAATCAGCGAATGCGTCAACACGTGATATTTTTGCTCTATTGTTTGTAAATTCGCAGTTCACATTAAGATTTTTATTTGTTCGTGTAATACCACTTAACTACAAGAATGGAAATGTTCCCGTAAAACACATGGCAGGAAATTCATTTACTCAGGTTCAACTTACTTTAATAACTTAGGTATCTCTAAATTCTGGACGTTTTTATTAAGTTACGAGTATTACATTATTATCATAACATCTCACTCGAGATTTATAATAATTCGAAAATTATCACCAGTTAAATTAATATCATCGTGGAACCCAAAACGGGACGCCCTTAATATTTTCTTACGGGTTTAATAATTTTTTTCAGCTTAAACTTGATAATTTGTCTCGAAGTACGCTGAGAGTTTCCCAAAACCACCTTATTTTGATTCTGATCGTATTACATATCTGCCTACTCTGTTTATTTCATACGTGCTTTGTTTTGTGTAAATTGAGAATTCATTCGGCCCACGATGTAATTTTTGTGAACTCATTTTGATTAAACAGATGTAAGTCTCATGAATGTAGGTGTTAATCGCACGTCGCGTGATGGAAGCTATGATTAGTGCAAACAGACCTTCACGGGGAAGCGTCCATCGTAGTGGACGCTATGTATTCTTACGCTGCGCAATTTGTTTCCACTCAGCTTGGTCCTTTCTTGCTCGACTGTTCATATTTAAATTTACCGCTAAATCATCATAATTTGTATATTACCATCCAGTTACTTTAATGACGATTTCTCTTTTTTCCTTGTGTGTTTAAATTTATTTATTACACGTGTGGTTCATGAATCCATCTTGATTTTTTACTTTTTTGATACTACACATGTATTTTTGATTTCACTTATAATAAGGGTTATCATAAAAAAATAAAATTCGCAAAATCAAGTTAATAATTTTTCAAAAAAGCTAGATATGTTATCCTGTACTTCAGGGGCGAGGGAGGTTCTGTCCAAATAACCTTAGACCAATTTTTTGGAACAACAAAGAAACAAATGGCTTTTTAAAACACGAACATTGGTAAACTTTATTTGGGACTTATTACATTGCAGCATTTTACCTACGTATAACATCATTTAGAAAGGAAATACCGTATCAATAATCCAAAACAACAATGACTGCACAGGTGCTAAAACAATAGCTCCTACAGTAGGGGCAAGTTGAGTCAAAACATTTGCCACTATAGTTTTTAGAAAACTACCGAAAGGACCAAAAATAAGTCCTAATACATCCCCAAGCAATGCAACTAAATTACCAAGTGGACTAAGAATGGAGCTTACTAGGTTTCCAACAAACACCACTACATTCCCTATTGGTGCTAAGACATTACCTAATACATCACCAACAACTGAAACAATGCCGCCAGCTGACGGACCCAAAATACTTTCCACTAGATCTCCGGCTCCGCCCACCACATTTCCAATTCCACCGATTATAGCATCTAAGAAACGCGGATTGAGGTCTGTATGGTTTTCAGAACGTTTTTTCCTATTTAGTACATTGATGAGGCTTAATTCGTCTAGATTTAAAACAACGTCAAAAGGTGCAGAATTTATATCAACCCATGGCTCAACTTTACCGCCGCGTGGTTCTATATCATTGTTTACCTCTAAAATGTTATTTTTGGAAGTTTTTAAGGTTTAAAGTATAAGTTTAAAATATTACCGCTTATATCAGAATTTGGCACTAATGGGTTTGCGTCTACCAATGTCCACTGGCAAATCTAAAAAAAGGGTTGCATAGACGAGCGGTATTTTCGGTAAAGAGTACTTACTAAAGCAATGTAAATTATGGTTAACAAACGACAGAGACCCATATCGACGCGGCAACCAAAAAACTGTGCAGCTCGACTTGATTTTAAATTCATATACTTTTATCTGAATAATAATAACAGGTGTTACGGGTTTAAATGATAAAAAACCATAAATTTACGCATTATGTATTATGTTGATTTTGACGTTTTTCAGGCTAAATTAAGTTGTAAACGTGGGTGAACTTTAACCAGATATTTTGTTTCAGTGTAACATAAATCATTTTAATCCTGTGTTTAACAGTGATTGTTATAGCTGCTTATCTGATGAAGTGTGTTAAGCGGAACTTTAAAAGTGCGTAGAATGTCTGGTAGTTCTCCACACCCGGCACCTCCACCATTTTGAATTTTTACATTTAATAAAATCATGACATTAATCTACACAATGCTTCACTTAGAGTTGGTAGCGTAGGAAATTCATTTTATTTTATGGAGCAATTCGCGGTGGTGTTGTTAGTTATCGAAAATATACCGATTTCTGAAGAAGTTGATATAAGATCTTATACAATTTATCATAATTATATATATAAAAATTTCATGTTAAATCGCATTATTAAATTTTCATACATTTAGAATTACGTTTTGTGGTTCTTCACATCGTAGTCATTTTAAAAACTATTAAAAATTTTGTCTTGGTTTTTTAACAGTAATCGAAGCAAATAGTACTAATTCTAACAATGTATCCTTTATTCTATTAAAACCTTTAAGTTTCATCAAACAAAAAAATTCCTTGTTATCTGTGCAAAAGGTGGATTGAAATTTTCCACGTGCGACTTTTTTTTTATTATTGGAGTAAAAATTTTTAAACTTGAACAGTGTCTCCAATGTAAACTAAATAAGCCGCATTTAGGTATTATTTGAGGTTTGATCTTCAAAAATACTGAACTGGAAGACACGATTTGTTTTTGATTATCTTCATTTTTCAAAATTAATTTCAGTGTATTAATTACAACTTTGTCCTAAATCAATTTCACAATCCTTAGTACATATCATACATACAATAGTATATTAAAGAACGAGTTTCATAAGGCAAATATTGAGGCACGAATCCAAGTTTATAGAACGAGCGGCGAACCCGCGAGTTATATAAAGGATGAGTCCCACAATGGCCTTATGAACGAGTAATTTATACTATTTTTTCTACCGCGCACGTTTTTTCGCAAAATTTAATTGAAATTTACCTTTTTTTAAATCTGGGAATTTTGTCGAGGTTAGTGATGGGTTGGTCTGACACTAACCACGAAATATTTGAGGTTCGAATTTTCACAACAATAAAATACAAAATTCGAATCAATTCGAGTTTTTGTAAGTTAAAATTGGTTAAAATGTCTTGTGAAGAAGTTAGTGACGGCCTTACGCCTCCGGAAATACGGGAAATTTTAATTTGAAATTTGCCACTGACATTCACCTGACATTTCTCGTCATGGCTATCAATCTTACCGATCTAAATTACACCAGATCTATTAAAGAACGCATTTCCGCTATTAACGAACTGCTGTGACATCATTTGCGTGCTTTAATAGCTCTATTAGAAAACTGAAAAACGTGTACAGTTCCATTGTTAATCGATTTACAACAAAATTTTAATAAATAAAAACTGCATTACAACAACACAACTGAGGAAGCCGATACATGAATTTTCACATTTTTTTCTTTAATTTTTCCCGTTTCCATCCGTTTCTCTGTTGTCTTTTGTGAAATTTTGTATTATATCAGGTATATTATGCAGATAGTAAAACGTTAACCAAAATTTGTCTAATCATCTGCATGAACAATTTTATGACGTCGGCTCAAAATTTTGCGCAATAAAGGATTTTTTTTTGTAGATTTGGTCGCATCGACAGCTAGGTCATTAGCAACCTTACATGGTGGTAAAAGACTTAGACTTAGCTATAAAAACATTATAGATGCACTCAAACACGTGGATCTCTTTAAGAAACAAAAGGGTGTTGACTAAGTTCGAGATGGTACTTCCTAGAGCTGCGGCGAGGTTGGGTGATACTTGGAAATGGTTGCGTTGGGTTTGCCAGTGGGGACAAATTTTATAAAATAAAATACTCCTGTACTTGTGGGTTATGAACCCACCTTAATTTTGTTTATTTTATTTTTTAATTCTTCCAATGCTTTAGATACATAATACGAAGTTCAACAAGCGGATCTTGTAGAGTAGGTAATCGAATGCCTGCTTGGCATTTAGAAGTCGATCCTCGCGCGTTTACAATTCTCTTTTTTTATCAAATCAAGAACGGTTCACTCCTTTTTCACAAAAATGTACGAATACAGCTATGTCAGGTCTGCTTATATTTAATAATAATAAAATAATTATCGTAACAACAGCTACCCACCCAAAAATTATACATATAGACCGTTTTTCTCCATTGTGGCTTAATTAATTAATTAGACCTCTCCTCTTTTGAGGAAACAAAATCAATCAAATTTATTAAATTTTTTTAACACAAACGCATATTTTGATGCCGGTTATCTGTACGTGCTTCAAAAACAGGAAACATTATGCTTTATAATTATGTAAAACGTTAAAAAAGATTAACGTTGTTTTCCCTAAGCTCTGATAATGGTACTAGTGGGTACCGAAACTTGTCAGTCAACTTTTTAATAAAAATTTATTGTTTAAGTGGCGTCGACCTAATTTGATCCACCGTTTCCATTTAACATACTTTTATACGTGTGGTTTCTGAACACGCCTTTAATTTTTACCCCAAATATGCAGAATTTTTTAGTTTTTATATTAGCAATGTGTACGAACGCCATACTACAAATATAAACGAAGGACTCTTGGCTTTATACATTCTGAACGCCGTACTTTATAACGACGACGTAGTTTTAAGTGTAATTTTAGTTTTTATTGTATGTTTGTAAAATTGGAATTTCTGAGGAACGTATTTTTAATTCAGAATTACCTATGCAGGGCCACTCAAACATATTCAGGAAGTAATTTATTTTGATTTTAACAAGAACGGTTCACTCCATTTGCCCGAAATTTTGAGAATACAGTACTGCTATTATTAAGTACTACATTACACCTAGTAAATAATGCATCTGTCTTGCTAAAATGTTGATGACGTCATCACAATACTTTGTTATGGAAAAACTCACTTGAAATATATGCATAGCATGCTTATTTACCTGTACTTTAACAGTCCATATATATTTTATTTTAACTTATAGAGGTTGTTAAAAAAAATAAAATTTTATAAGTTTTTGAGGAAGCTAGATTTGTTGGGCGAGGAAAGTCCTGTCTAATACTTTAGACGAATTTTTTAATCTATCTAATTTTGAATTACATATGCTGTAATTCTAGGAACTTGACACTTTTATTAATCTAATTAATGTATATCATTACTTGGCTTTTGTACCCGTAATGATAGTCATTTTCGGGTAAGTGGGTAACAATAATATATTAACATAAGAATAATTGATCATTAGCATTGTTGTGAATACTACAGTTTCAATGAAAAGAAGGTCCAAGGAAAAGTATTGGTGAATGCGATATATTTATTAAAAGATTCCTTTTCTTATAACATTCCTAATGATATCAAAAATTACGCTTGATTTGCTGGTATTAACAAATCAATTATAGCATTTATGACATTCGTAATAGGCGTAAGAAGAGTATCCCCTAGTATAGGTTGCAGTAGCCCTCCAAGTCCCGCTACAAGACTTTTTAGAAGATTGTTCACTGGGGTCAGAATGTTAGCTAAAAACGCAATAACTGGACCGACAATTCCGTCCAAGAGTCCCCCTCCATTGGTAACGCCATTGACAACGTCCCCAATACCATTTGTTATGTCACCAATAAGATCTCGCTTCCTCCTTGCTTCAGCGGCAGTGGACGAACTTGTTGCAGCTGGAGTTAAAGTTTGCTGAATACTTGTTATCACTTGAATTAACCCTTTAACTACGAAATTCAGAAGTCCTGATAAGAAATCCAGAATAGGATCACCAGATCCCGTTACGATTAAAAGACCATTTAAAATTTCCTTAACGTTGTCTAGCACTCCATTGATGATAGGCCCTAGCTGAGTCTGAAGGATACTAAACACCAAATCAGATACAATTTGACCAAGATCAAATGTTTTCGCGTCTAAACTTCTCTTCCTTCTATCTACGCTCAAAGATTGCTGAGCGACATCTATAGGAATTGCACTTAGTTCAACAACTGCGTTAAACTGATCTGCTCCTGCGCTGATCTGTTGATCAATGCTGCTCTGTAAGGCTGCGGCTAATTCAGGCGCATTTGATAGTTTCTTTTGTACTGAAGCTTGAACGGCACTTTTCAAAAGCCCCCCTAAAGCAGCAGAATTTATAGTTACTGCCTCTCCGTTAATATTTAAAACGTTTGCATTGAGCTCTGAATTAATACCGCTAACTGCTTGATCCAAATTTCCATCGGCGGCGTTAATAATATCTTGAATTCTGTCGGCTGAAGTTCCTTGATTTTGTAAAACAGCATTCAAAATGCCGTTCTTTACGTTCGGGTTGTTCAATAATGCATTTATATTGTTTACATCAACAGGTTTTTCTAAGCCTCTACATGTTGAAGGGTCAGCACTCCAGAGCTACGGTATTTTAATAGGAGTATTAATTATTAGTTTATACGAAAATAAAAGTGTATCTACTTACAGTAAGTGCTACAAGGAGTATGATATTATGATGTTTCAGAGCCATTTCGTTCGACAATGAGGAACAAAGCAGCTCATAATTTTGTTTTATACATGCATACCTTCTACTTAATCTTCAACAATGACAGTGGAAAATTAAAAGGTTTATTAATTCGCAAAATAAGATGATAAATAACAAATTTACGTACTTACCTGAGAAGTGTAAAAGGCTTTAGCCATTGTCATTTTTTAAGACTTAACTTCAATACACCTTTGCACATGTTGACTCTAGGATTAGTGATCACTAAATATTTGCACAAGTACATCCGACATTATTTAATTTTAAGTAAAGAAAATGATAAACGTAATAAATTACGTTTTGCAGATTCAAAAGAAAGAATTATATAGGTATGAACACAAGTATTATTATTTCCGAGCATTACATAAAATGTATGTAAAATAAATACTATTTGATTATTTGGATTAACTTATTAAATAATTTAAAGTTACCTCTTGTGGTGTGAGTTTTGCCAAAGTTGTCCTGGTCTCCCTCGACGAATGGAATCTTTTAAAATCATATAACCTAACTTTGGGTATATTATTCGGAGGCACTGTTTTTTTATCAACATAATTTTTAAAGTTCAAAGGTGTATTTCCCGTGGAATAGCTAAATTTTTTAGATAATGTTACGCTTTTACCGGTTTTAATTAATTGTGTACGGCAAGCTACTACCATTTTTGGAAAGTAGTCAAACCTCTTCACTTCAGATAAAATTGTCGACGATATACTTCGAACAGTTATTTGTTAGTAATAGCTGATTTCAATTTATCACTCATAACTCACATTTTTGCTAGAATAATTCTATTTTTGTATTTTATTCGTATGACATTTATCACAACTTTTGAAGGTTATGTTATGACACACAGTGGTTATGTTTTCCACGATTTATTTTAGGAGCTGTCTAAAGCTTGCTTTACGCCATGTCGTTGTATAATCCGTAACTGTAACATAACGTACGTTAATCTTGTGTCAAGTCACATTTATTCATTCAAGCAAAGAATTTCGGTGAATTCTTCAACTTTCATTTTTTGTTATCATGTACTATTATAAGCGGATAAGGAATCTATATTACTAAATAAGAACGCCTAAAATTTAAAAACAAATCTTGTTATTTATTTAATAATAAAAACTGTTCAACAATGAATGAACAGAACAATAAAAACCACAAATTCAAATTATTGTACCTTAAAATATAAAAGAATACTAGTCACGTTTTTACTTTATGTACTTATATAAAGTCTCTCTGTACTGACTTCAATTAACAAAAATAGTACAAAATTAAAAATCTGTAACCGAATTTCGTTTAAGAAATTGCTTATTTTTATTTTCTAAGTATAGTAAAAAAATGCAATGACATCGAAATAAGCATAGTTTAAGTAATAAAATAGACTATCTATAATAATTATGCATGTAACTATCTCATTGCACAATTCCTTGAAGTCGGCCAGTTAAAACTCTTTCCAAATGACTACCGTCCCAATAAACTTTACCACAATCTTCACACACGTAGAAAGGATCCATTTTCGCTAAAACACCATCCGGTATTGATGTAATTTGTATTTTGGCGCCTTTACGAGTTGCACATAAGCCAACGTCAACTTTTTCATCGCAATCTGTAAATTGAATATTACGAAAAGAAACAATCAAATACTAGAGACGTTACAGAGATCCCACTTTCTTGTTGACTGAATCGGGGCACCTGGTTCAGCGTCATATTCTTCATCACTGGAGAAACCAGTAGCTTCATCTAGATATTCCAAATCGTTGTCTTCATCAGGTGGAGCGTATTTTCTCGAATCGTGGGAGTCCTTTAGTGCTAGCATTGTTGAATGTGATACTTGAATAAAATTTCTACCATTGCATGCCTGCGAGGTGCAAATTATATCAAACTTAACGTAACGTAAGGTCAACACAATTACTACCTGGCATACACTGAACACATCGTCTTTGGTCACATTAACTTTGTAATAATCAATAAACTCTTTCAATTGTTCATCTACATCGTCACTAATGATCTTAAGACAATGTCCCTGTGGGACACAACCATACAACTGGAAATTATAAAATGTCAATATTTAAGGTAACTTTAATTCTAAAACTCACTCTATTGAAAACATTTCCCTTGGTTAAGATATATCGTTGTTCATCTTGAGCATACCTGACACACTCCATATGGTCCATGTGATTTTCAAGAATGGCAGTATCAACACCGCATCTTCGAAGATTTTTCCCTAAACCTTGCAGCATTGTATCACAGACAACTTTAATCGACGTAGCTGGCACTTGATTTAAATGGGGAGAAGCAGGTTGTGGAATTTCTTCATCGGATTGAGACGGTCGTTGCTGCTAAAAGCAAAGATAGTAATTTTCGTACTTTTGATGATCTATTTACCTTTTTCTGGACAGGCTTTTTCATTTTCTTTTTGGGCATTTTTTCATTGGTCATTAAATTATAACAAGTTTCTTCAAAGGGAAAACCACCTTTTTCACAACAGGATTTTAAGATGTCATAAACTTGGATAAGACAATAAGCATCAAGTGCAGCATATACAAGTTGACTATTGCGCAGGGGTCTCTTTTCCCAATTGGAAAATTGATCAGATTTATCCAATGGACGACCCAGACAATGATGTACTAAAGTCCCCAGACTGGGTCCACTACTCTGCACTGGAATGGATAACGTCGAACAAAGTCAATTTAAAGATAAACCTCAACATACCTTCATATGGCAGTACAACTTTGGGATATTTCTCCAATATTTTCCAAAGTGACAGTAAATCTAAAAATCCAACTTGTTTTGGTGTAAAATTAAGTTCTGGGAGAGACTGTTTAATCATTAAAATATCACTAGTAAACCCAAACCCTAACTTTAAAATATCACAATTATTAAAAAGGAATTTGCCAAGTTCTTGCCATAAATGTGGCACTTTGGTTCCTATACTGATAATGTCAAGTATGAACACGTTTTTTCGAGACGCAATTTGCATTAAAGCTAATTCATTTTTTTGGCTACCAAAACTTGGTTTCCACTCACAATCTACGCCTACCACGTCAACATCCTAGCAACAAATCATCTTACTTTTAAAACTGTTAAAGACACTTCAAAATCTTACTTGCAATCCTCTATCTAGAAATTGTTCAAAAGACTCTTCTGTATCTATCAAATGGATATTACTAAATGGTAAAGGAAACTGATGATAATCGGTAGGTTCAGTAGTCTGCAGTTCCTCATTACTCCAAGAATCTTCATCTGGCACAATATTTCTCTGATGCAATCTACAGGAATTGGAGATTAAAAAATAACTGTAATTACTGCCTATAATTAAAAATCAATGCACCTCTCTTCGTCAGGATTCTCTTCTAACATCCTCACGTTGTACGGCCAATACTGTTTATCAACGTTATAAAAATGTGCCCATCTAAGAGCTTCAGCAACGTCTCCGTAAATACAAACTTGTACTACAAGTTCTTTTTGGAGTTCTTCATCGTCTCCAATGGCTTCCTGAACCATTTCTTTCCAACTTTCATCGCCTATAAAGATAAAATTTGTGGAGTGCACAACAGCTAGTTAAAAAATGCAGTAAAAAATTATGTATGCCGAAAGCCACAAGTCACATCTTTTTTTAATTTCTTTTCAAAATGTGCATAAAATCTATGAAGAACAAATCACTATTCTGAAAATCAATTCAGTTTTATGAGGAATCTCTGCGTTTGGCTCATGGAATTTTCAATAAATTTTCAGATTTTAATATCTCCATTATTAACACACCCAGGACCAGTTTATAGAAAATTTTAACTGAGATTAAATTAATCACGCATTTAATGAGGCGTTTAGCACATCTGACTGGCGTAAAGTCCGTCACGTAGTACTTTAACGCCGTGTTAAAAATTTAATCGCAATCAAATATTTAACTGAGCTTCTGCAAACCGGATCTTATTTATCAAATTTTAAATATAACCTGCCCACAAACTTTTTCGATACAATGTAAGGGTAGTTTTTTAAAAACACATTCTTCCACATTTTTCGAAATTATATTCTTGTGGAAGGAACTCATACAAACTTTCAAAACTATCAACATCAAAATAAGGAAAGTGTTCAACATTAAAAATATGTTAATTTTGTGTTTGTTTTTTAACATTTCTAATACACTGCCTGACAAAAAAACCCGGACACTTGAATATTTGTAAATTTACGCAAACGTTGAGTATTATAACCTTTTATACTTTTCTTTTGTTTCCACATGTTCTATAATAAAGTTATGATTTCTATTATTGAAGACATTGATGATTTTCTTTTTGGAACATTTTTTACAAACGTTCGTCTAGTTGCAAGTAATCACAAAAAGTTCAAGTGAATACGAATCATTTAATCTTCTGGATGGATTGTGTAGCACCAAACAACGCAAACTTTTTTATTTTAGCTTATCTTTGGCGCTTTCCATCGGACTTCAAAACGAAATACTTTGCAAACAAAATTACCCACTTAACAACAGATGCACTAAAGAACAATAGGTGCATGAATTAGACCACCGAAATTATTTTAAACCGATTTTATGACAGACTTAATCCTCGGACTTCATTTGTTTCTCGCTGGAAATGACGATCGTCTTTGACTTAAGTGCCGCACGTTGCTAACTGTATTATTTTAAACATTTTGTTTAGGGTGTAGAAATAGTACTTGTTCGGAACAATCGCACATCGACCGCCAACGACAGGAATTTGTTTTTAATAACTAGCCTTCGAAGGGCACCTTTCTTTAGTTTACAGCTTCCTCGACAAATAAAAAAATAATAATTTTGCCAATTTTATTTCTTTATGGCAACCCCTATAAGTTAAAACCCGCTTTTCATACAAAAAAAATATGCATTGAAGTTGGTTCATCCATTTGGGAGACTGTACACAGAGAGACAAAGGGGTCAAAGTTATAATAACACCCCTCTTTTTGCGTCGGGGCTTAATAAAAATACGTGCGGACTGTTAAAGTACACGCAGACCCTGCGTGAGTGCGCAGTCCGCACAGGCACCGGCAATGTCAAATATATTTAAAACTTATAACCAAAGCGAAAAAATTAGTCGAAAGTTATTTCGGCAGAACTTCCCTCGCTTCTGAAGTACAGTCCCACAAATACTGCTTCTGTGAAAAAGTGATAAAATTTGATTTTGCGGGATTTTACTTTTTCGTCATAACCTCTAGAAGGTACTAGTCACAGTGCAACAAAAAAAAAGAAGGTTTCACCTGCTTAAAAATAGACAGTTGGAGCCCCGAAACGATTTAATATTCTTAAAAAAAGACACGAGAAGGTTTCGCCTTCTTTAAAAAAGGACAATTGGTACTCCGGAGAAGGTTTCACTCTCTTAAAAAACAAGACATTTGGGGCCCGCGAGCAGGTTTCACATTTTTAAAACAAAAAAAAGACACTTGGGCCCCTCGAGAGGTTTCACATTCTTAAAAAAGATATCTGGCGTCCCCAAAAAAGTTTTACATTTTTAAAAAAGGACAGTTGGGACCCCCGAGGTTTCACTTAAAAAAAAAGACATTTAACGCCCCCGAGAAGGGGTTTTACATTTTTAAAAAAGACAGTTGGGACCCCCGAGAAGGTTTCACATTAAAAAAAAGACAGTTGGGGCCCCGAGAAGGTTTCACATTCTTAAAAAAAGTCAGTTGGGACCCCCGAGAAGGTTCCACATTCTTAAAAACATATATTTGGGGCCCCCGAGAAGGTTTTAGATAAAAAAAACACAGTTGAGACCCCCGAGAAGTTTTCACATTAAAAAAAAGATAGACATTTGGCGTCCCCAAGAAGGTTTTACAGTTTTAAAAAAGACAGTTGGGACCCCCGAGAAGGTTTCACATTCTTAAAAAAAAAAAATGGTCGAAAGTGACTTCTCTCGCCCCCGAAGTACAGTACTACAAATCCCGCTTTTTTGAAAAATTTAGAAAATTGATTTTGCGAATTTGCATTCAATAAAACAAATACAAGAGTATGTTATTTTATAAAATTTATTATAAACATTTTTGAGATATCATGACATGGATAGGGAGATTGGGCAAATTTTGGTCAGCGTTTTACCATCTACACGATATCCCTAACATACATATAAAATACAATCGGTCCGGTAGTTTTGGAGACTATCTGCCTAATAAAAAAATTTGAACAGACGGCACAAATACCAGGAGACCTAATTTTTCATACTCTCTGGGTCATGGAATGTCGGGAAAACATAAAAAATAGCCAGTCGCCCCCCGATAGACTCGATTACAATACTTTCTGTGCTTACGCTCAGGAAGTAAAAATAAAATTTATAATTTTTCGAACATTTTGTATTTTTTAGAACATTTATTCCCACAATACCGAAAACATAAAATATTTGTCGACGCATTTTGCCAACCACGTTGGCATTATCTAGACAAAGCTATACTATGTATTTGTTCGACTATATTTCAAAGGCGAGGGAAGTTGTGCATAAGTAACCCTAGACTACATTTGTGTTCAACATTCAGTGATGTAACACACTTTACTTCGCTACAGCATCCAGATCACGCTTGTTTTTATATTTGGACGAATTGTTTATATGACTGGGCGCGACGGCGATGGTCACTCCGCCGATAAGCAACTGATGCAGTACCTACACGATATTCTTGTAGTTTCCGGGAGAGACTTTTTTAGGCATTCATTAATGAATCATACTACCAATAATAATGGAAAAATATGAATGCGTTGTAAAGCACATGGATAAACTGCCGTGTAATAATAATAACAGTTATCTATTCTATTATTGTAATCTCACATTGTGAGAATGGGGTGTGCTGTTTCTGATTTGAAGGAAAAAAAGTTGAAAACGCCGGGAATCGTAACCGGCTCTTCTGTTTGGAAACCACATATACACATACCTGAGCCATTTTCTGCTATTACGACGTATTATGTGGTAAAAGAAGAGTGATGCTGAACAATAATAATAATAATAATAAACAAAAGCAGGGTGGATTCACAAAACACAAGTGTGGGAGTATAATATTTTATAAAATTTAAGATATATTAATTACAGTGACGGCTCGTGCCAAAAAAACGTGGGTCGGCCAAACATGAGGATAACTCTAATTAGTTTTTTAGTTAATAAAATGTCATTGTCATTCGTTAAATCAGTTTTACGCCGTTTCGCAGATGGAGGAGCTATATCAGCAATTTTAAAGTAGCAATCTCTTCAACATCAGAATATATCTTTGAAAATAATGATCTTCATTTCGAATTCTTTTTAAAAAATTTGCTAACTGCTTAAAGTTGACTTGATTATCCGAACCACTTGTTCCGTCGTTACCTCGAAATGCCATTTCGTGTGCTGATAGAAAAATAATCATATTTATTAAATGTTTTACCATAATTCTGTTTTCTCGAACAGTCTCATTGTATTTATTTATATATGTATTCGTGTCTGGCACTATCCAACGAATTCGCGATATTGTGTTTTCCGAACAATTTAAATTTTAGAGTCAAATAAGTATGCTCCTTAGAAATTTTGCGTTTGGCCCGTGCACGATGAACTTCTTTTAAATTATCACAACCACTAGAATTATAAGGGTTCTTAGATTCTGAAAATAATAAACAATACCAGAAAAATAATTTGTTACGTGTTTCGCTGCCAGCTAACGAAGGATATTTACAGTAGAGTGTTTTAGAAAATGCACGATTATGACCAGGCTTCGTTTGAATCAAATTGATAATTAACGTTGCTTCACAAAAACTTTATGGCCATAAGTTAGTTCTTTAAATTTATGTATTAATAAATAATTAACCAAGTCGCCATTCATGTCAACTATATTGCGAAAAGTGTCCATCGTGAGTTTTTATACGAATTAATATAAATATATTTAATTATTTACCAATTCAATCAAGCGCTTCGTGCAACGTGCAACCAACACTGGTCAAAAATATTCATCGTTCGTTCATCTTCGGTTTACTAATCGTTCAAGTACGTTGAATTGCTACAACCGAGCCGGCCGGCCGACCGCGGGTGGAAACTATACGGGAATTCACGGACTATTTTATGTAAAATATTTTTTATTACAGGAGATGAATACAATTTCAACACTCTACAGTTAGGAATATACCGTATTAAGATATATATGATCAACTGATTGATAAAAAGATTGCATTATTGTTTGAATCATCCAATTTTACCCAACTAAATTAAATTATTAACGACTTTCTTAAATTTTGAAACTATGCTTGACATGCATAATTCTTTAATCAGTTTTTAATAATTTATGAAATAATGAAAAACTGTAAATATTGAAATGAATAAAATAAAAGAGCGATAAGTAGAAACGAGCGCGCCGCATCCACGGTGTCGTCTGCGTCTGCGGCAAAATCGGCCAGAGCGCCATGGGCCGATGTTGTGTGTTTCAATCTACGCCAGAATTGTAACTTAACGCAGCCATATACCGATCGGAAAGCAAAAGCCGTAGCTCGTAGATTCCTGTTGGTAATTTTTCAACGCATCGGCCGGCCGGGCCCGTGTCTATATAGGCATTTGACATAGTAAAATAGTTTCTCTCCGGGATGAATTTAAAACATTAAATTGTGTCTTCCTTATTAGAAATTAATAGTAATTATTTTTATTTATTTATGTTTATTAATTTTTTAATTTTTAAAAATTATAGTATCAGTCTTTCAAAAATGCTAATAAAAAATTTGGATTTTCAAAAAAAAAATGTTTTCTTACTTCTCAAATTATTTGGTACGGCCTGGCCGACCCTGCCGTCCCTGACGAGCCGTCACTGATTAATTACATAAAATTTTGCGGGGATGTCATCATGTTTTTGATGGGAATGATTGGAAAAATTATGGTTAGCGTTTTACCATCTACATGATATTCCTAATATGTATAAATACAAAATTTGACAACAATCGGTCCGGTACTTTCGGAGATTATCTGTCTAATAAAAATCCGCGACGGCAGACAAACAGACAGGCAGATAAAGGGAAAAAGGAGATCTATTTCTTCGTACGCTAGGGGTCATAAAAGGTCGAGAAAACGTAAAAGTAGAAAGTCAGCCGACGGACTCGATTACAATACTTCCTTCCCTTACGCCCCGGAAGTAAAAATATATTATCAGTATGTCTTCGATTGTTTGTTTATACATCGAAATAATGCGACAATTAAGCACGTAGCAAGTTGTCTTCTCAGAGCAGAAGGCGACTAAAATTATTAAGCTACGATGGAACAAAATGTTCTGAATTTTGCCTTGGGTAAGTTAAGTAGGTGCTATTATAATTCTTATTTTATTATTACTAAATATAGGCAGGCGCAACATTACTGCATTCCCAAACTTTCGAGAAAATGGGGTGAATCGTTCTTAATTTCATCAATAAAAAAAATGTGCCCGTGAGTAAATCGAACCAGTGGTCTTTGCGTTAATAATGCAACATTTTTGCGGCACAGTCACGGAGTTCATCATACGTCAGTGCTCTTATACTGCTATAAAATGTGATGATGCAGTTTTTGATTTTTTGCGAAAATTTAGATGTCTAGAGTAAAAAATCAAGGCGGATTTATAAACCATAGGTACGTTATTTTATAAAAGTGAGGGGATGTCATCAAATTCTTGTTGCGGATAATTAGCCAAATTTTGGTACGTTTTACCCTCTACACGATATTCCTAGCATATAGACATTTTGATAAAAATTGGTCCGGTTGTTTCAAAAATTATATGTCTAATAAAATCAACAGAGACAACAGACAGACCCTTAGTGAATCAGTAAAACTGAAGAAAACGCATTCTCACTAGTTGTTACTTTTTTTATTTTTAACGCATAAGACACCGTCTTTCTAACTTTGAATGTGTTAGGTTTTGGCTAACATAATTGAACAAAATAATCCAATTTTTATTCAACTATAGTTACTTACCAAAAGAATTTTCAAAGTATCGTTTGTGAAGTAGGAACTGTAAAGCCCCTTCATTTCTTTTTTTGTTCAAGTTGGGAGTGATATCATTGGGAAGTTTGAACATTTTCACAAGTCTAGTTATCAGCTTTTTAAAAGGTTTTGCATGTAGTTTATCCCATTTTACATCAGGAACATTGAGTTTGCTTAAATTAAACATCACTAAAATCCGTCAAAATATTAAAAACACTACTTACAACACATATGACGCTAAGGCATCTCTAACTGATGGCTTGCCTAAAGTTGAATCTAAAAGTGTAACCAGTTCAACCTGATGGCGAGGGCTGGCAGTTAAGAAATCATCTATTCCATACATTTTGTCTTGTAAAATAAGAGGTAAAACAAAATCCTCCAGTGTAAATTTATCTTGTAGTTTAAACAAAACAGCACTTTGACAAGCCTAAAATAAAACTGATGAGTGAAAATATTATTTTATAAATATGATATTTTTGTGTCCATAAATCTGAAGTTTTATACAAGCCACTATTTTATATTACCTCTTTGTATTTTTTCCTTTCAATCATACATTTTATGACATCTAAAAAAATATCTCCACTTTCGGCCATTTCATAACCATCTACCACAAGTTTTATTAAATTTAAAGAATTTTGCATTGATATTACTTTGAACACATCAATCTTCAATTTGGGCGTTAAAAGATGCCTAAATTTATTTCTACAATTTGCACTCCAGTTTTTGAATTCTTCGATAATAAAAAACGGTAATGATTTGCTTTTTGCACTATTAAATTCTTGACAATTGTACATTAGTCGTATGGTCTGTTCATATGGATTGGTACACATATTAAAATGTTGATGAAGTCTGCTTACTACTTGAGGGCTTTTCTTCACTGTCAACAAATTAACAAAACGTAGGTACATTATTAAATATTTTCCATAACTTACGTAGGTTCCACATATTTTTCAACTCATTCAAGAAGCCAGCACTCATTGGATCTAATTCTAAAATGATATCTGCTGCACTGCAACAATTATTGTCATGTTGTATTATAACATCGGCACTACGAGAACTCCTCATATTTGGCGGTGGCTGAGTGCTTCGACCTCTGTAGAAGCCTCTTCCTCGGCCTCTCCCTCTGTGAGAGTTCATTATTTAACTACAACATTTTGATTAATATTTCTTCACTAATAATTTGAAACAATTCAACAAAACTATATAACCTTATCAGACCTGTCAAGTGCAACGTACTTACTTAAAATAGATAAATTGTCGATAATATGTAATAGATTCTAATTACAGTTTTAATTAAAATGCTGCCTTACAAAAATATTTTTATTCAATCCCATGGCCGATCGTTTGACATCATATTTGACATAAATTCAACAACAGCACTTTTTCTTCGTGAACATCCAGGAAGAAAAACAGTAAATGACATATGGGAGAACTACAGGAAGCAAAGTTAAGTTTAGATAATACGCGCAAGATGGCACTATTTGGGCGGTATTTTTAAACTTACATTCAAGTGTTCCGCCTCTTTCGGAATATATAACTAAAAATACATTAATAGCAAGGAAAGTTCAAATGTTATAATTATTCTGACACACGATATATTAATCATGTTAATTAAAACTTTAAAAATCTCTACCATTCGTTAATCTGCGATTAGTCTATTACTAATGTAGTAAGAATAATAAATATTACTAATGTATTAATAGAAATATATAATGCTACCACTATTAAGAAGTTGCAAATGGTCACTGGATGCACAAAACATTTATGAATGTGCTGTACATGTTGGTTATCGAGGTGTGGCGAATTATCTGTAGTAACAAATTATGAATATGTATATACATATTTTGATATGGGATTTACACAGGAAAATTTTGAGATTTATTGTACAATCTATACGATATGGGCGGTTTATAGAAAGCGAATTAAATACTATTATTAATCTTCGATTCATTTAACAGGGGATTAAAATGTAGAATATGAACCCGTGATTGGTTAAAACATGCACGTTGCATAGCAACGGACTTCAATTAAAAGTTAATCGCGATTAACCGAGCCCTAAAATTTCAAATTTCACAGCAATCCTATCAGTGATCAATAATTTAGGAGATTATTGCCAACGGAAGTAATCCTTTTTCATAATCTAGCAGCGATATGAAACGTCGATAAAAATTAGCAATCCGCTGGATGGACACTACCACAAGACTATCCTACATTCGGGAAGTAAAAAATTACATCTTATTAAATAAAGCTGAGAATTTATTCGACGATAATAGATATAGTTTAAATAAAACAGGAGAGCGTCTACGGTATTTCCTACAGTGAGAAACCTGTCAAATTCATGTCTTTATGCAAAATCCTGCAAACATGGGTATGCATTTAAGGTATATTATTTTCAAGGATTTACTTTGGAAAACTTTTGAGTTGAGTTAAAATTTTAGTTAGTTATCGTTATCAGGCTGCTGTTATCCAAATATGATTTTTTATCAAAAATCTGCACATAGGTAATAGAATAAAAATAACCACGAGTGGATTGATAAACCACAAGTATACGCACGCATAATATTTGGCATATTTTAAATAGGATTTATCTGGTAAATTTATGAGAGATTACTAAACTTTTGGGAGGGAAAAACCGATTACAAGGTTTCAGAGTAATCAGTTTAAGATAACATTTTTACATTTTCTTGGATAGTTTTGAATTCTTTTCCAAAAATATGGTCTCCTCAGGTATATGGGTGGGAAGGTTTTATGATAAAATAAACAGAGGAAAATACTTTTCGATTATTTAACTTTTAATAATTAGTCTTTAAAAATATTGGCAAGATAGGAACATTGCTTCACTTACTTCAACAATCATATAATTAACGACTAAGCAAAAAAGTCATTTCTCCCCATCTTGCTCCATAACATGGGGTACTCTATCGGGTAAGATGTGGTATAGGAGATACAATTATGAAATTTAACTTAATCAATTAATTAACAATGAAGTAATTCTGAATAGGACAAAGCCAAAAATTACATTAGTCTTATAAAATTGGCTGAGATAATATTCAAACATGGACTGCCTTCTCGTCATCATCGTCTACACCACACTGTGTCTATTTTTGACACTTTACACTAATTACTTAGCCTTCAATAGAATCTGAGTACGTGAAATGAAGTTCGATATCTTAGAATTACAGCATACAGACTTATCTGCTATCATTCTAGGTCCACCCCCATGACGAATGTAAACAGGAAAATGTGGCTTTATTGAAGAAATTTTAACAATAATGAGCTTTTTAACAAATATTTACAGTACAGGAAAATATCCTTCTTCGATTTTTCTTAACCGACTTCCAAGCTCAATTTTTTTGCTGACTTCGTAACATGCGCTTTAATTACTGGGTTTATAAACATAAAAAGTGAAAGTTGACTGAAATAAAGCACTCACATTTTATTTTCTAATCAACAAGATTTGTTTTAAAAACCGTTACTTTAGCATATGAAAGGGGAATGACATTTTTTCGAAAATCGTGATGTTGATTATTTTTAGTACACTTTAAACAGGAGAATCTAATGGCGTTAAAAAATAAAATCTATTTAAAATATTAGCTCATTGTTTTTAATATTAAAATATTGGTTAGTTGCAGAAACGAAAGTTCTACAGCAGAACTTTCCTTTATGCAATTAATATTTCTTGAGTTGGATGTGTCTATTTTTATTAACTGTTTTTTTACATTTTTATCTATTTTCTCGTGGAGCAATGATTTAATTGAACGTAACTTTGTAATAATGAGTATACCAAAATGTGATAGTCGCAGTGATGAAGAAATTACTCAAAATAAAAAAAGACATAAGTAAAGGTGTACGAAATGAACATTTGTATAAAATACGTGATTCAAAAGTATATGGTTTAGAGCACGTGCAAAACAGCATTTCATTTATTATAAATGAAATGCTGTTTTGCTCGTTGAACCGGTGAATCTTGTGTGTAATTTTTTTTTTTTTAAATAAATAAATATATATTAAAGCAACGAATAAATGTTCTAAATTGACACAATCTCACAAAAAACATATTTTAAAAAAATTTCACCGAAACGCCATGTTTATAAATATTATATATTAGTAGATGGTAATAGAATACATCGTTTTTGTTCGAACGTTTTACCATCTACTGTTTACAAGGTGAATCAGTGACTTCGTTTCGAGGGCGGGGGTGGTTCATGGGGGATTTGCCCAATTCGATTTTTAATTTGTTTTTTCTATATTTCCACACTACTACAGCACGTGATGCCGTGGTTAAAATGATTACATATATTTGGAAATCACCCTGTATATTAAATTTTAAAAACTGGTGATCAGAGTTTTACCAAAACTTGTCAATCCAAAGAGTCTTATGGAAAGAAAGATCCCAAGGAAACTAAACAAAATAAAATAGCCAGTTTTTTCTTTTTTCTTTACACTTGCGGGTAAATTAAGTCTTCGGCTAGGATTAATGGGCGAAACGTACATACGTTTAAGTTAACAAAAAATAAAATAATTTCATGGCCACATGAAGCAGCATATAATTACAAAATCCCCATAAATTACCAAAAAATGAAAAATCTGAAAGATGTTTTTCAATATATTGTCAAGGAATATCAACATTTTTATGAAGAATTGTTTTCATGGTTAATTACCACTGAGGAAGAAATAGAATAAATGTACGATAGGCGGCTTTTTTTCGATTTTGTGTAGAAAGGAAAGATTTACGTTACCTTTTGTGTTTAAAAATTTTCTTTATAATTAATGTTTTTCAATAAAATTTTTCGAATATGTTTTTTTAATTGCGCTCTTTATGTATGTAAAAGTTCAATTTTATCTTGAATGAATTTATTAAGTAACACAGTTTTTTTTTTCTTTTTCTCAAAACTAGTTTAAGTGGAGAACTTCCTTGTCTGCAATTATAGCGATTCATATGTTCGACCTTTCGTAAAATGGTGGTAGTCTTTTAAGTCATTCAACTTTATTTTTTGTTTTCTTTTATAAATCGTATTTTTTTTTATCAACTGAAAATGAAATGATTGTAATTGCAATTTAACTGTCTATCAAAATCCGTTAAAAAAATATATGTCATAATTTAAAAAATGTAGGTATGCGTCACGACGCCGACAGTATACGTAACCAAATTAAGCTTTCCCCTTCAATCTAAAAACAGTGGCGTTTATAGAATTTTAATATCATTATCTGATCTCATGATGTAAGCCCGCAGAATTTTAACTGGGACATTCTGTATATCACACATATGTTCCATCATTTTGTATCAACAGCCGTTATTCTAATCTGTTTGAATCATTGGGAATGTCAATATATTTATCAATTATATTCTTACGTGGCGTGATCATGGTACAAGAAGACCATTGTATCATGTTGCAGATTACGATGACTGCTCAGAGCATAAGATAAAGTCTTCGGTCTATGTTTATTTATTCACATTTTTTAAATGTAAGACAATTAAATTAGTATATTACCAATAAAGTGCATAAAGCGAACAGTATTCGTATCAATGAAGATATCTGTCATCGTGCCCTCGAGTTACTGTGGAATAAAATAAAAACATCTTGGAATTGTTCTACTTCAAAGCATAATTTCAGAAAATCAATTTTAAATTATTTTTCATTTTGATACTATGGTTAACACTTTTTCTAATGATTATACCGAGTTCAAATAGCTAAGAATTAAACTTAAAAATGACATTAAATTTGCATACTTGTCTTTAACTCACTAATATGATCTAGATTTACTTCCAGCTTTTATAATTTGCTATATTATTTATTATTGATATCCGATAGGTACTTATTTATATAAATCTAATTCCTATAAGTAAGTGGAAATTTTTCGTGTCTGTTCTTTGTTCAAAAAAGGTGGTAGATAGGAGATCATGATTGTGACTAACTTAGTATCACTAAAACCCAGTATCTGGCAGAAAGTCTTGATAAACAAATGAAGAAACTTAAAAACTGCGTATACAAAAAAATGAACTCTTAAAAAGTAGGAGTCAAAAACTGGTTAAGATTCGCTGCGACGGTCGAAACGCTGTTCTCACCTTCGCACGAACCAAGCTGATTTGTCCAGCAACTAGGTTATGAGCTGATGATCCTGAAACTGTTAAAGTGTTTATCATCAAACATAGCTAACGATCATCCAGATTTAACCAGCTGTCAAACAAAAGAAGCGCATTAAAATTGGTTCGTTCGTTTGGGAGCTACGGTGCCACAGACAGACAGGTTGAAAAAAGTAGCTGGACGTTTTGTATGATTTGCCCATTTGTTTAAGCGACATTTTTTTTGTGTACAATAAAAACGCTACAAATCAAAGCTGTTTAAACATAGGTCAGGAGTTCCACAGGGGTCTGTTTTAGGATCCTTATTTTTTTGTGATTTATATTAACGATTTATGTTTGATGAGATGCTATTCATTTGTTATATGAAAATGATCTTACCTATACGAGAAAAATGAAGAACATAATATGTATTTCCATAATAATGTGTGTTTTGTGATTAGCGTTTTTAGAAAAGTTAACAGCATTACCTTTGACTGTTCTGTAGAGATCTTAGTGTCGTCTTCGGCAATAGACTTGCGTTTAAATTTCATATAGAATGTATATATTCTTTAGCTTGCAAAATACGTGGATTTATAATGCTTCATTAATAGCGTTGCAGTACTTATTATTACTATTATTAGTCTTCTATAAAAGACGTTGGCGAGGTCAAAACTAGAATATGCGGCAGACTATTTATCAAATACACATTTTTTGCTTGAAAAGTTTTGACGACGTTTTGCCATATATATATCTGGTATACTTATGTTCAATTCATATCCAAAAAGAGATTTTCTCCATGATAAGGTATACTGTTTCTACAGGTTTAACATCCAACTTTCACCATTTCGAGAAAGTATTTCTCGGTGAAATTTTTATCACATAGGTATGTATTTTTAAAAATTAAATTGATGTCCTTATTTAAATATTATCAAAAGTCTACATTAAAGCAGCACCGTAACAGTAGCAACTAAAAATGTTTCAAACTTATACAGCTAGAACAACCGTACTTCTGATGGCTCCAATTCAACAAATGACACTGGGTTGATATATTTGCTAGGGATGAAAGCGAACTAAAAAGCTTTTTTTGTCAAATAACTGATTAATATAAATAGATGACTGTTGTTGCTTACATTCCACCCCTGTAATTGTTCTAACGCATTCTATCTTGGGTTTGGAAGTAATATTTAGCCGCTTAAATATGAAAAACCAATTATTTTTGCTGTCATCTGTACTATTAATTTCTTCTTTGTTGGTCTGTAAATGGGTATAAACCTGTTGATCAATTGATATAATAAACATAATGGACGTAGCTTTATAATTTCGGTTTTTATTACGTACAGCAAATAGTATTATATAAGTATTACAAATAAATTTGTGTGTATTTCTTGAATTACTTATTTTCAAACCACTTATTAAATAATACTTTCCTAATAGGCTTCAATGATTTCTACGGTGCTTTGTGCTAGCCATGGGTGTGTAAAAAATAAAAAGAAATATTTTGATGTGTTCATCTTATATTATACGAACTTCACAGCAAATAGTCATATACAATAAATAATAGTAACATATCAGGCCTATGTATGTATAAAACATGCTTAAAGCATAGTAACGTAAACGCTTGTCATATCAGCACCTTAATAATTATACCCCGTTTGTGGACTAAATGGTTGAGTGATTCCGGTACCTCCACCTCCACCTCCGCCTCCTCCGAAAACTCCAGGTCGATATTGGCCGTCATCTCCTCCACCACCTCCGCCGAAGCCGCCACCACCACCGCCACCGCGTCCCTCTTCTGCACGATTAAATTCCAAAGACCTGCGTAAAAATAAACATTTAGGTGACCGTACAAATATTCGTGAAATTTTTGTTCGATTTTGTTTCTGAGAAAAGCGTTTTAACAAGTGTAGAATTTAGAAATATAAACTAGAATATATGAGGAAACGACTGAGCATCTTAAAATGCAAGGAGTGTTTTGTAGCTAATAGTAAATTTAAGTCGGAGGATTGGTAGAAAATTAAGAAATATTGTGACTATTTAGTTAACGTTGTATGGTCTAGATATCCAAACAGAAAAAATGTTTAAAGGAGCAGCGAGATACGTTAATTTGTGCATCAGGTATACTATGTAAAATATTTGAAGGGTTTTGAATGTTTAGTCTATTACATACAGTATAGAACAAGTAATAAGAAACGTAATACTGTTGAATATTTTCACCCAGACAGTAATAGAGCCACGATAATCATTAAAATTTCTAAGTTCCCTTAAAATTTTAGACATTTGACCTTTAAAAATAAATCTTGAAAATATATTGTTTTATTCTGCATAACCGTAGGCACTCTAAATGGTAAAGTAGTGTTGAAAGTCAATGCATTTTTTCACAGAACCTTACGTAATAGTTTTTGTGTCCAAAAATTACAACTACAGTTGGTTTCATTTGATTTCTTATAAAGTTAATGAAGAATTTCATATTTACCTCAGAATAGCTTCTGGAATTGGTGGCGGCGTCGGTAGATGGGCACCAACGGGTCTGAAACCATTTTCATCTGCTACATACTGTACAGAATACCGCTGGCCGTCAGGTCCAGTGTAGGAAAACGACCCCTCAGCACTCTCTGCTTCATTTGCGGATCCGGCGTTTTTCAGACGTCCTCTCTCTTCGGCTTGAATACCATTTCCGGTTTCGTATGCATAGTAGTAATTGCCGCTCCCATCATTATCGTTTACGTATTTTAAAATTGGGATGTTTGCTCCTCCGCGCCCGAAACCGCCACCTCCGAAACCGCCCCCTCCAAATCCGGCACCTCCTCCACCTCCTGCTCCTCCGAATGGAGCTCCTCCACCGCCACCACCGCCGCCACCGAACGGACCTCCTCCTCCTCCGCCGCTACCGCCGCCGCCACCGAAGGGTCTACCGCCAAAACCACCAGGTCCTCCGAAGGCACCACCGCCCCCACCTCCTCTCGGAGGAAGGTAGGTAGTGTCCAAACGGCCGCTTATCGCGATTCCAACGACGGTGGTCAATATTATCTGAAAGAAAAAAAATTAAGTAAGACCGAAATTGGTGTACATGAAACGGAACGTGGTAAGCCTGAGCTTCAGGCTTGTAGGGTAGAACTTACTAATTTCATGTCGTGTTGTGTTCTAATGCAAAGGGAATCGTGGTACAATTATTTATAGAGGAGAGCTCGGCGTCCATCCACTTGCAGTTTAGTGCCCCTCCAGCCGAGGATGAGCCTCGGCATTTCAGATGAAAGAATCTGCCCGTAATCCAGATCATCAGCCCATAACTTACAAGGTTGTTGAATGCACATTTTTCAGTATATCATTTTTCACACACCTTAAAAGGCGTTGGCGGTACGAAAGAGTTGTTGCATAACGCGAAATCTCACCATCCATTACCCTCTGGTAATCATTCTTTCAGATGTTCACGCATTATAAAAATGAATATTATTATTAAATTATTTCCTCAAGACATATCTTGATCGCTGAAACATAATTTGCATATAGCACCTCCAGAATGATGGAAATGTGTGTGATTAATTTATTTTCTCTGCTACAAAATATCAACAAAATAAAAAAAAGTGTAGAGTAATTACAGAAATTATTTTGTACGTGCGATTCTCAAATATTAGATATAAACTAATTTATACTATTTTAGCAATAAAAATATAAACGTGTACTTAATTGTATTCTGATGGATTCAACACGATAATTATAACGTTCAGCATGATATATGATTTTATCGTGCCTAATTTACCCATGCGCAGCGTTCGTGATTTATAATTTTCAGACATGTTTTTATGAGAAGATATTGCATATATCGTGATTTCATTTAAAGGAGTATAATATACAATGCTGACTCTGAAACCATTTTTGTTCTAAATTATCTTTTTTTTTCTAATTCCGACATGTGACTTTTCTTTTTCATTCCATAACAATATTTAAATTAATCAATAAATATAATTTAGGATCACTGGGTAGATTTTTGTAAATGGCTATGTTTTATCTATTTGCGAAGTGAAAGCAACTACGTTGAATGGTTTTTACAATTTTTGTAATATAAACAAAAAAAAAATGGTCGAAAGTTGTTTCGACAGAACTTCCCTCGCACGCAAAGTACAATGAAACATATCTAGGATTTTCGAGTTGAGCTTTTTCTTTACACAATTTTGTGATGATGTCATCAACACTTTTGCATGGACACATATCAACATGAATTGGTGCAGTATAATACTAAAAATAACAGTATTGTATTCCCAAAATTTTCTGGGAAAATGGAGTGAGGAGCCGCTCCTGATTTAATTAATAAAATAAATTGATTCATTCATTAATTTTTTTTTAGCTATCTGTTCAAGCAAATCTAAAAAATATTAATGCAATGATAAATCACAAGCAAAAACTCATCATATTTTGCACATTTTGGATAGAATTTATTCGCCAAAATTTTGAGATGACATTATCAATTTCTGCAGAGGGATGAGCAAATACATTTTAATAAAAAAATTACCATGGTACATACATGTCCAAGATTTCAAAGCATTCAGTTTTACTGATTAAATCAATAAAATAAATTCACCCACTCATATTTTCTTTAAACCACCCTGTATAAGCAAATCCAAAAAATATGAATGGAATGATAAATCACAAGTATAGACTCATCATATTTTGGACATTTTAGATAGGATTTATTCGGCAAAATTTTGAGGTGATGTCATGACTTTTTTGGAGGAGATAAGCAAACATATTTTGATTAAAAAATCACTATGCTTATCATAACTTTAAAATATCTGCAAGATTTCAAACTATTCGGTTTTGCAGATTCAAAATTAAACTGCAAAATGTTTTATAATTTTGATCTGGACGTTTCGGGTGAAAACTCAACACGGAGTCATAAACTACATGTGAAGAACTATGTTATTTTATACAATTTAAAACCCATTTACTATGTACAGTTTTGAAGTGAAGTCATCACATTACAGCTGGGGATGATTATACAAATTTTGTTTAGCGTTTTACCATCTACATTCCTAATATAAATACAAAATTTGACATCGGTCCAGTACTTTCGGAGATTATCTGTCTAATAAAAATCGTGATGGCAGACAGATCGACAGATGGACAGACAGACAGACGGAAACGGAAGACCTATTTCTTTTAAAAAATTAATATGTATCTATAAAACAATAGTTCGGAATTTTGAAATATGTATACAATTAAAATTAAGTATTATATGGTACGAAAACTGAAGAACGAATGAAAACTTTTGCAAAAACTGATTTCGTCAGATGTGTTTTTACAAAACAATATCTAATTTTTATGTTTCATTTTTCTATATATTGCGGTATTTTTAATTTGTAACAACATAATAACACTAATAACAATAACATTAAATCGTCTCTAACTTGTAATCATAAAATCGTGCAACCCGTTGAGTAATGTTATTTACATAATGTTGATAGGTATCATACATTTGTCACAACTGTCAGAACCTCAAAGGGACTATTACTTATGTAAGACAATTTTTCTAGTACACTTAACACTTTTTAGTTATAATTCCAGTTCTCATTTTTGAAAACAACCGCTTACTATGAGCTTCAAAAAAACACAACCTACACAAAAATATCATGATATTTATATATTGTTACTGTTATTAGTAATAGTGTAAAATTACACGAAATATCTAGAGAAATAGTAGCTAACCTAACCATGTTAATAGATTTGTTACCCTAGAATACACATTTATAATACAAATGCAACAATGATTTAAAATACATACTGTTTAGATTTCAATCATTTACAAATGATGTACCACATGATGAAAACATTTTTCACATAAAGTGATCCTGTGTAAGTGTAAGGTAATCGTATTTTTTTTAATACATTAGCTTTCTATATTAGTTCTCTACCTATCATGCCTTACGTTAATCAAGTTTACTTATTTAAATTCGTGGTAGTAGTTACTTGTTTTGGAAGTCATAATTGCATCAGGCATTTTTTTATCATTGTAAGTAGATATTTCTGATCTTCCGTACACCTAAGGTTTATATATTTTCTTGAAAGAATACTTCCTATTTGTTTTTTTGGAAAATTAACCAATAGCTGAAAACAGCTATTTTCCGGTCAAAAGCTTTAACAGACGCTGTATAAGTAAAATATATTTAAATACTAAACAGTTCATGTGCAATATGCACTGATGAAACTGAAGAAGATCAAAATAATTTCTATTTTAAAAATATCCTTGTTGTAAGTTATCTAGCTTTAGGTGTAAAATCTTTTTATCCATAGAGTTGTTGGAAAAGGATATTTTCATTGTATTTATTTGAAAATTTAATGTACCTTTACTTAATTTTTCAAACTTTATTATATACACAGAGTGTCCCATTTAAAACTCAGCAGCCTCTTCCATTTTGAGAACGGATAAAATTTATAAATATGAAAAAATGATAGTTCAGTGAAATAAAGCGCTCACAATATATTTTATAATCAACAAGATCTGTGTCAAAAGCCGTTAGTTTAGTATATGTTCAAACTGCCATAAAAAGGTGGTAGTTCTTTATACTATGATCCAAAAAAGTCTTCTAGTATACAACTGAAGAAAGTAAGAATAAAATATCACAACTGGAAATGCACTAAAAAAAGGAGAATAGGTTGCTACTCACGCTTAGACGTAAGTAAACAAAATTTATTCTAAATTAACAAAGAACTAAATCTTTTCATTCATATTTTGTAAATATTATAAAATAAATAACAAAGAACCGAGGACAGTGGCGCGAGTCAACATTGATTTACCGAACACTATAAATATATTTGTTGCAAACTAAATCTAAACTACAATTTATAATTTTTTTTATGTAAAACATGTTACTTGTTGGCTTACAATTTGATCAAGTGGGTTTTAACTTTAGTGAAACATAAGCAGGGCCAAAAATTTTAAAATCTCTGTTGTCTAGTTAAACTTATATTTTAGAACAACTTGTATGTATGAAGTAAAAAATTGGTATAAAGAGTTTAGACAGTACTTTCCTCGCTGTCGGAAACGTGACAACTGCATGCCTATTATCTTTTTTTCGTATTACATTTTTGTAGCGGGCCATTTTAAAATAAATTGAGCATTAATTTTTTCAATTTTGTCATTATTTGGCATTGATATCTTTGCCATTTTGAGGTGACGTCATCAATTTTTTAGGGGGAGAGGAGCAAATACATTTTGAGTAAAAATTTACCATGCCTATGATAACTTTAAAACATCTCCAAAATTTCAAAGCATTAATTTTTGTAGTTCCTGATTAAATCAATAAAATAAATTCACGCATGCATTAATTTTCCAAAAAATACATAAATCACAACTACAGACTCATCATATTTTGCACATTTAAGATAAGATTTATTCGGCAAACTTTTGAGCTGACGTCATTAATTTTTTGGAGGGGATAAGTAAATATATTTTGATTAAAAGTGTATCATGCTTATCATAACTGTAAACCATCTGCAAGATTTCAAACCATTCGGTTTTGCAGATTCAAAATTAAATTGCAAAATGTTGTTTCATAATTTTGATTAGCGTTTTACCATTTAGACATGATATAAATAATATAAATACACAATTTGACAACAATTGGCTCACTTTCGGAAATTATCTGTCTAATAAAAATCCGGGACGTCAGACAGACGGACAGACAGACGGACAGATGGACGGACAGACGGACAGATGGACGGACAGACGGACAGACAGATGGACAGACAGATGGAAACGGGAGACCTATATCTTCGTTCTCTAGGGGTCATGATAGGTCGAGAAAATGCAAAAGTACAGAGTCGACCGACGGACTCGATTACAATATTTCCTTTGCTTACGTTCGGGAAGTAAAAATAGGATTGTATTGTATCATCACATAAACTTGTAGGATAATATTTTGAAACAATAACATTTTTTTTATGGAATTTTAAGATTAGTTAAAAAGTATATTTCAGTTCAATAAACAAATGCCAAAAGGAATAGATGGAAAAAGGAATTTGCAGTTGTATCTAATATTTTTGCGAAATATCAATAAATCATAATGATGTTGTCACCCATGAAACAAAAATAATCTCGAATAATAAAAACTTTAACGATAAAAATTGTGACATGTAGTTCTACATACCTATCTTTTTATTGAAAATGAAATTATTTAATAAAAATTTGATTGAGGGATTCCTAAATGAAAATTGTCAACATTATACACGATTAATTGTTATAATACTTATAAGTTTATACATAGAATATGGATATGGAATTAGGCATTATAGCGTAAGCATCCAGAAAAAGGTTTCGAATTATAATCGCATAGGAAAAATATATTATATAAAAAATACAAAGGTCTATTACCGAAAATTAAAATGTGTATTTTTATAATTAAAAAAAAACTGTTTCCACACTATATTAACAATATTTTAATGGGGTTAGAGT